GTTTGGGAGCACTACTCACTCACTCACGAACACATTAATTTTACTCTTTTCGTACTCCGCTAGCTGCTTCTAGATCATTTGCAAAAATATCTGCAGTATTTTGGCAACAACTATTTAAGCCATTTATCATTTAGGAAGTGTCATTGCTAGAGTCAGACAGTTTTTTTTATTTGCTTATTTTTTATGTATATTTTTAATGATTGTCGAAGTGTGAAACAAATTTAAATAAATCTGAGATTTTCACATTTTAATTTTCCCCTGTGTTTTTTTGGCATATAATAATAATACTTGTCCATCCATTAGTCGTTGAAAATTGTAGGGCAAAGCTGCGACTGGGTTTTCCCCAAGGTTTCTTTCTGGCTTCTCTTTGTCTGATGGGTTTGCATGCAGTTGGGCTGTGTTGCGGTTGAGTGAGGGAAAGTCGGTGGAGCAGAACTTATTGAAATGATGCTGCCCTCCTTTCAGCCGTTTATGATTTCAGCAGTTATAGTGTGGGAATCGAAGTCTTTGTGCTAATGTCCTTCCTTCTTAAATGTGGGGAAACGGAAGGGGGAAAAGTATCGGTTTTCACATTAGTTGTACTCCTCGTGCAGTGCTGGAATAGGTGGACGACCAGCGGAGAAAGTCACAAGGACGCGACAACTGGGAGGGAATGGACCAGTCGAAGCAGTATCCATATCACTTTACTTGATTTACCTACTTTCCACTCCTGCCTACTGACTCACTGTCTTCGCAACAAAGTAAGTAATTTCCTGCTACAGTGGTCGTCCTCCTCTGTTTGCCTGGCTGCGAGTTGATATATTTGTATTTCTTGTTTGTCCTCTCTTGTCCAACTTGCCTGCCCCATGATACGGACAGAAGAGGAAGAGCGAATGGGGTACGTACGTATGTACGTATTTACAAGAGGAGGAAGAAGGTAAAGTATGAATGTGATCAAATTTCGTTACACTCCGTTTAGCTTTCTTATGGCTTCATTTCGTTCCTCAGCGTCTTCTTGCCTCGGCTTGGCCTGTAACATAATACTGCTCGTCCGTTTGTGTTTGGTGACTTATTGGCTTGGCTGCGGGCTACTTTTGGCTCGCTTTGGACTTTTGTTACTTATTTAGTAGTGTGACTCTGGGAATTTGAATACCACCTGAGAAATCCAGTCACGGAAATGATTCAGGTACATGGGAAATATGATGTATGTCGCTTTTTGTACACCGATTTGAATTATGCAAGAGCCATGGAAAGACCGCAAGAATGTGGACAGTGTGAATACTCATGCAGCCCGTTGTTTAAAACTGTGGAGAACATAACACATTTATGTAATGTGATTGGATGACGCTATTTTCTTTATTAGGAAAGGCTAAACGTGTTATAAATTTGGGAATTTATTTATGTTAGAGATGATTGATTGTCGTTGCTTCGTATATCTTGAAAACGAAACCTCTCTAGTATTTAGAATTGATGGCGAATGAGGGTATAATGTTGAAGCAATATCAACTTGCCCCAATGAACATCCGCGCGCGCGGTGGCGGTAGTTTCGAACCAGTTTTTCTTTTAAAAAAAAGCGCTTTCACTTAGCGAGAGTTGGGGTTGTTTTTGTTAAGAACTAGAGTTTGGAGTGGTGGTCGGGTGCAGGCGGCTGGGAACTGGAGTGAGTGAGTGAGGAGCGGTGGAGGACTGAAAGTGAATGGAGAAAGGACCCGGGGAGAAATCCGAAATCCGAGAGTGAGTGAGTTAGCTCACCTCGTCCTTTGCATCGTCCACATACCAGAGAGGCACAAGGAGAGGAGGACCCAACCGGGCTCTCTCTCAGTCAGTCGAAATTGTGCAGTAGTGAAAGCAGCAGAGTTCTAGCATACCACGAGAAGCTAGGACCCAGGACCACTTTCTCCCACTTTCTCCCTCGGGTTACTGCGTGGCTTTTTTAGGTAGGTGCAAAAACCATGTATAGCGAACCCTGCCCTTGTTCCTCTCGGAACAAAGCACCTTTATACCCCGACTTGACAATGCTCACTCATCAGCTCAAATGCAACATTTCTCTGGCAGTATTGTTACTCTGGAAGGATGCAAGTTTGGTTAAAGTGGACTCATGAAACATGATTTTCCATTAAGGTCCGTCTGTCCTGTGGCCAGGATTACCAGACTCCCACAGTTGTAGCGCACAATGCAATATTTTGTCATATTCTCACGACAAAGTGGACATGATAGTTGCCACCTCTGTGCAACTGTGGGAAATCGGGATGCTGAGTACAAATCGATACGTTTATCCACATAGAAAAGGAGAATGTAGAGTCAGAGAGTCTGCCTCTGCTGCTGCTTCTGGTTTGTTCTTCTGCTCCTGAATCTCATAACAGCAACTTTCTCCATGCAAGACTACACCAGACACTTTTGGCTTGCCTCTCTCCTCTAGTCGCAATTCACACTATCTACACAAAACCAGCCATCGCTACCAAGACTACTCCTGGCTGCATCACCGTCCTTTTATTCCATTTTCAACTTTTGTGAGTACAATGATGCCCAATTTTCAAAGCCTCGTGGAGACCAAAGTCGGATCAGGACTTACTTATGTACATACGCATTTAGTAGCAAAAATCTATACATACACGTGCATGCAGGAGAATTACGAATCAATTGAATAAAATTGAGTCTTCACCCATCCCAATCGTGACTATTGCAAGTTCGTATCAATTTATTTTCTTCTCAAAGTGATTTATTCGCTCATTGAGGAAAATGAGACGTGGTTCAGCTGACTTTGTTTGGCAGTGGGTGAGACGACAAGGAGGTGGAATTCGAGGAGGTGGGCCGGATGGATGGCGAGGAGGTTGATTTCGACAGACCAAGACTTAACTCTTCCCAATCGTCCTGTTCCGAAACAAAGAGTCATGAGTTGGCCCAGCAGAGTTGGTTCGGGGTGGTCATATGTATGTATATGTACGTAGTCGTGGTGGTGAAAGTGCGTGTGACGCACTTGTTCCAGGAGTGACGCACATGGAGGGAGAAGAAGGGCTCAACCCTGCAGACGACTCGAGCACGGCACAGAAACGTATCGGGTTAGTTGATGATGGTGCAAATGGAGAAAGTGGGCAAGTAGGTCAACTAACTCATCATTTCTTCTACCAAATATATACCTGTGCTCGATCTGTCTATGCGTGCACATCACTTGACTCTATTTCATACAAGAAATAAGTAAAATGATATTACTTCAAAGGAAGGGCACTTTGTGAATGTCGAGCAGATTATGAATACTGTTATGCTCCATATTCAGAGTTATGAACTGAAGGGAAAGTACACAACCGGTGGGAACAAATCGGCAATGCCCACCTCGAACGGCGTTGGTGGTCAGGACATGGTGTAAATGTGCATGTTGTGTAGCTTTCACACTGTAGCATGCAGTAGGTAAAACTACCCATTTATCTACACATCTAAATTTAGGCGGAAGAGTATGCTAAAATATTTCATTCCTATAATTAAAGATGTATTCATCTGACCCGAGAAGCCACCTTACTTAAATAAATAAATAAATTTTATTTCCTTGCGAAATTTTTCCGTCTTAAAAAAATCCAGTGCGAATCCCTTTCTACAGACCTTGACTTATCTCAAAGCTACATTGGCTGATTCATGTCCTAGCCAGGCAAGAGGATAAAGCGCAGAAAAGTGCGAACGTTCGAGAATAATGGGACCTCTTCTGAAAAGGAGAAAATTGACCTGATTTCCACCACCGCCCAATCATATCCTGCAGAAATTGGAATGATCAAGGATGTCGATGTGTTTCCGAAAACGACATTTACTTCACTTGACTCGAATTTGTCGACCTTGACTTGACTTTTCCCAAATCAAAATCAATTCGTCGACATCAAAATCGAGCTACGGAATCGAGCCCAGAGCACAACGGTAAAGGTAACAATGAGTCCAATCAACAAAAGTCGGACAACTAAAGCGGAATGGAGGTTGCGGTTGTTTTCGATTGTTTGGCATACTCAAAATGTCAGTTTTGGCTTGGGGAAAGTTCATTACAGTATTTGTACAAGAAAAAAATCATCCCTGCTGAAGCAAGCCAGCCGACAACATCAACTGACTAATTGATTTCCGTGTAGGATTTAATTTTCCTCCTCTTTCGTCTCATCCCAATCTCGTTTTATTTTATGTGATGGTTTATTGAGTGGCATTCGAAAAGGATTTCACTTTCTTGTCCAACCTCGGATACGTACGTGTGCCGTACTGTCTATCAAACAGCTCGACTCGACATAAAAAGAGCCATAGAATGCGGGTTGAACCCTTCACCAAGTTCAATGACGAGTAGGTAATGAGATGTCGTAAAATGACATGCCGTGAAATCAGATGAAGGAAGGAAAGCATAAACTCCACTCGTTGGTCATCCTTTAGGAATCCTATTTTCATACAAATACACACGTTCATACGTAGCAAAAAATCAACTCGTGCAAAATCCTAATAAAAAATTCCATACTTAATGTCAGAAAAATGATGTACGTTTCCCAGAACATCTCACATGACACACATATCGGTACATATGTACATACGTACGTGTGTTGGAAGATCATACAAATGGCGAGAGCAAAATAATTTGAATTTGCAAGCCATTCGAAAATTCAACAAGCGGTTTATAAAAAAGCACATATAAAGCATCTCATCCATATTTCCGTTCATGTGAAATAAGGCTCGTACAAACATGCATCCTTGGTTTTAACGTATAAAACTTGGACGAGATATCCTTACCAAAAAAAAGTTATATTAAATGCTTTTTACATCACAACAGACAAATGATATTCGACGTTTAGACATTTTATGAAATGTTTTACAACTCTCAATTTCTCGGTATGAATAATGAATGAGTATGTTGCAATTGCAGTGCGCTATTATTTCCTCGTACATTCTAGAGTTTAAAGAATGCGAGTGAGACACAAAATAGCTGATCCGATTTCGTTCTAATACCCGGGGAGTGCCATCTACCCGGGTATCCTGTAATGGAACATTTTTACTTTCATCACCCGGGTTTCTGTGGACCATCACAACTTTCACTTCCGATCCGAAGAAAACAGGTCCTTAATTTTGTATATTTACATTCAAAATCTGTTTTCAATAGGACAGACAGGATTTGCTCAAATTAAGTTTGAGTATCCCCTTCTGCATTAGTACATCCTACAGAGAATTAGTTCGTAAAATCAGGATTTAAAACGTGTAATTAATGCCCAGCATTATAAATACATCAAATAACACAGTTTTCTGACCAGAATTCCAACTTTGTTCTAATATGGGCACTGCAGGTTCACTAGTCCGCGTATGTATATAAACAATAACATCTACGTTTAATGCTTTGTGGTCACTGGAAAAATGTGAGAAATTGAAGCTTAAGTATAAGTAAAATAAAACGTTTGCATTTCATGTAGTTTCATGCAGCTATAATAATTCTCTGTTCTTGGAAACTGAAGATGAGACTTTTGGATTACTTCTGCCATTAAAAATTCAGGTTCCTGAGCTATTTACCAAGTTCAGAATATAAAACAATAATCAACGAATTAATAAAATTTATATTTCTATGTATGTATGCAGATATGTACACATAGTTCATGAAAAATTCAATGATGCATTACACTCAAGGATGGAAGTGCCCAAACCCTCCATCAGATAAACATTTTTATCAGATAAATAAATTACTATTTTTAAATTTCTAAAAACAGTTGTAAAAAGATTATCCGAGTTGATTATTGCGAGTTGGGCGTGCATGTAGAATTAATTGTTTCCTGTAGTCTGCAGGTTAAAATGCCGTTTATGCATTTCTTGCTAAATGGTGAAGTGACAAAGTGAAAGCGATGTAATCAATTGTGAATGCAAAATAAAATTGAGCTGGTACTCTTACTATAATGCATAGCTTACTCTTGCTAAGATACATTGTAAAAAATATTGCCACACGTGTATAAGTCCAAACGTGCATATGTATAGTGAACCGATCATGATTAATGCACCAAATAAAAATATTATGCATATATTAAAGAACTTTGTAGTTGGACATTTACTTCATGTTACAAGTTTCGCGAATATTCGCAATTTTGTGTAAGGCATACTACTTGAGGTGGTACAAAAAATTAGTCAGACTCATGAAAATAGGAAATGGTTAATATTGAGGATGGTTCATAATATGTATTCCACCATATGCTAACATGTAATAAATGTAATATTCAACGTGAAATAGATTAGTGTACGTTATGTACTTGCGCATTTGACGAATCAGTTTGCTCATCATGGTCTTTCATGGGCTTTGCTACTTTTACTGCTGTTGTTATTAGTTGACTTGACACCGCGTTGACGCACAACCACAGTCGTCGTCACTATTTCCACGAATTTACTGACGATCAAACTGGAATCAGAATAATTCTCACTTGGCGTGAGATGTTTGGCTATCTTCAACTGCCACAAACATTTATTTAGCTAGCCTATTTACACAAGAAACTCTGCTCGAGAGTGCTGGAAATATTAGAAATACCAACCCAAAAATGGCCACGGCTGTAGATGGGCACACAGTGCATCAAGTGTTTTCTGAAGAATACACGGAAATCTGCAAAGACAAAATTTGCCGAGAGGACTTGGACCTTTCTGGAATCGGCTTCTCTGATAAAATCGCCTACGTTCTGCACAACGTATTAACTCTTGCAGAATGTGAGAATCTCATCCAGTAAGAAATATGTCTATTCCTCAAACACAGTAATTTCAGAATAATTTGGAATATCTAATACTCTACTTTTCAGAAAAACCGAATCCGTCGGCTACAGCCCGGCGTTAGTCCATGCCGGAAATGTGGCCGTCTTCGCCCCAGGATACAGGGACTCGCAGAGACTTATGATTGACGACACGGAATTTGCATCCATTTTATTCAAACGAATAGGCCCACATCTCCCACAACAGTTTCAAGATAACCCAGAAGATAATACAACCATATTCAAACTGAAAGAAATCAACGAGCGTCTCAGATTTCTAAGGTGAGTTTCATTTCTCATACTCGTCATACATATCTACATAATACGCAGTAGATCACATCACTCACCCTCGGATTTCTGTAGATCGAGAACAATGTGATTCAATGTACACTTATGTAATTGTTAAGCAAGCTTTTTAAATTCAGATACGACATTGGGGACAAATTCAAGGCGCACTACGACAGTTACTACGAGCGGCCCGATGTGTCGGCCGTGACGTGGGTTACCCTCCAGGCCTACTTAAACGATGAATCGCTGGTTGGGGGCGAAACCACGTTTTTGGGGGAGGCGGGGTCGGAGGATGAGTGGAGTCAAGAGGAGTTCCGAGTCCCCGTCGCCCCCACTACCGGCTCCATTCTCGTTTTCCAGCACGACATTCTCCACGAGGGGAGCAAGGTGCTTGGTGGGAGGAAGTATACGATTCGGATGGACGTCTTGTATGCCCCTGATGAGGACGCGGATAAGGGTTTGGACGATTGAGTGACATAAATATGTATGCTTAGATGGAACCTTAAGCCCAATTTTTTGACCTCTCTCATGCATTAGCGCAGTATATTTGTCGCACTCCCTGGGATTAATTTATACAATGCACATTTTGTTAATTCTGTAGAAAGTTACAATGTGTATGTGTCTGCAATTTTGAAACTAAGAACATCATGACGTTGTCATAAATGCTGAAATATAAATATCTGTACAAATGTCTCACTGTGTCCATTTGCTGTTTTTCCCTTTTCCTTACAACTAGCACTTGATTTCATTAACTGTCTTTAAATAACAAGATCGTGTCATTGTTGGCTCAAGAGTTGAGGGACAATTGGAGATTGGAAGAGCTACACGAGTTTCCACTCTCATTCACTGGAGATTTGTGCGAGCAAGTTCTTTTGTCTCGTATTGACTCGTAGTCGCTGGTCGACACACTTTTCTTTTATAGAAGTTTTCTCTCTCCAGATTTAGCCAAGCATTTTGTATTATTGCAAGCTAAAACCGAAACGATGTACCATGAGGTTGTAATTACAAGTGTATAATAGGCGAGATAATAAAGATTTGGTCAGGGTATCAGTCTCCATTAGTCTTGTTTCTCATGCCATGAGAAAGTAGAAACTTAACCACAATTAGCAGAATCAATCAATCAGAACGACCATCAACTCATCCTACGTACATGAATACACAAGATCTCCGAGTGAAGCTGTTTTGTGTGCTGCATCAATATTTTATTGTATTAATTACATGTACCGGAAACAAACATGGCTTTGCAGTTTTAATTAGACGAGATGTAATTTAGTGGCATGACAAATATGTGTGATACAAATCTCTCTGATTCCCAGCTCAGGAGAACCAAGTCGTCTAAATACACAGTCTACCCAATATCCCACAAAATACATTGGAAAATCAAATCCAAACACAATAAAACTCAAGTGTGTGTGCAAATAGGCTCTCTGCTATTCTCTGCAATCTCCTAAAAGCTGATTTCCTGTCCAACCTTAAACAAATCCACTTTAGGTGGTTGTAAATCTAGGAAATCAATACCTGGTGGAGTTTGAGGACCATTTAGCTGGAACTACATACATACGTAGATACATATTGGAGTAAACGCATGACACAATGTTGGTTTTTTCATGCTCTCGATAAAGAAATGGTGCATTTCACTAGATTTCAGATGTACTAAAAGGATAACGGAAATTGGAAGGATCGGTTGGAACGGACGGATGGCTTAACGGAAATTAAGTTTATTGTCTTCGCCAAATGGTTCGAGATTGATTCAAGTTGTCTTTGAATTTCAAGGGAAACAAAGCCTTTATTACACTCGTGAGAGGAGTGATCGCCGTTGGGTTTTGTAATAATCCATGAGTTATTATGGTCATATTAGGTGCTCCTCTGTCAAATTTTATGACTTTCACCATCACTCCATCAAACTGAAGAATCCTAAAAACATGCTGATATCAATTATAGGACAATTTCAGACCTCTACGCCATGCGTCTAAATGGCCCGGCTATTGCTCAGATATTAATAAATATTATCAATATTGCATTCTGAAGCGTGATGGATGCTACCTTCGTACATCACGACATACGGACACAACAGAATATTGATTTTGTCATGAAGCTCTTTTTTTCATCTCCTATTCATCCCTCCTCCTATTCCTTCTGCAAAATAGAATCTCCACTACTTTGGAGTAAATAATCCATCCACATCCCACTGGGTTTCTGTACTTTCCTTTCTTATTTACCATACATACACACACGCAGTCATTGTAAGCAGTCTTCCCGTGCCGTGGATACGCTCTTATTTTGCTCATTTTATTGCGGCGTGAGTCGTCTGGTCTGATCTGGACTTAATAGTAAAACCCGTAAGTAATGTCGTGTCTCATCCGGATAAAAAGAAACGGGATTGTGCTAAAACCACACCATGCGTTAGATGCGGTCACCATATGGCATGTTTTTTTTCATGGAACTAACCTGTTGAACCAGTGGGAGCAGAGTGTGCTCAATGCTCTTGGTTGGAATTTCTGGCACACTGGCGACGCTGGTGGGGAGCGGTGTGGACACGGGGGTGGTTCCTGTGGGGGTCGGAGTTGAGGTCGACATTGGTGTGAGGGATGAAGACGTGCTTTCTCCGGAATGATGCTGCTGCTGGTGGTGGTGGTCTCCTTCTTGTTGGTGCTGTGTCTCATCGTACCTTTCTCCACCGTCGCCACCACCACCACCACCGGAGGAGGAAGAGGACGAGGTTATTGTCTTTGCTGCCGATGCGACGAGATGATGGTCTGATTGTTCCCCTTCCGATAATGTCTCTGGAGGAAGGACACACGCCATTTTGCGAGATGGCGATGATGTCAAGAATACAAACAAGTCTCACTCATCTCGCCACTCATGAAAAGGTTTAATTGCAACACTTGTACACCACTCTTGAGAATAAGCTTCTCAAGTCGAGTCCCAATTAGAGGAGAGTTTTCCGGTGAAGTTGCGCCTCGCTCATATCTTCTGCACTGATTTATCTCCTGCTTAATGAGGAATGCTCGGGCCATGAAGTAGGAGTTGTTGATCGAGTTTCGTCGTCGTCGTTGATCTCGTCGAAATGAGAATGTCATGCACAGAAGAAACCGTCATCTTCATCATTTCAAGAGCACTTCACTCATTTCGATTGTGCATCATCCACACAAACGCTCATATTACATATCCATATGCTCATTCCAATTTCGTTTCAAACAAACGCTAGTTAATAAGTCGAGGTATCGTCAGCCATTGCCTCGAGACATTTTGTTCCGCACATTTCACACAAAATGAGACACACGAGAGTTCACATATTTATATTGAATTTGCGTAGTTGTATCTTTGTACGATTATTAGGAATCCTTGTCTCCTCCAGGTTTTCGGTTCATTACATCTTCATGTTCACAATATACTTCTCAGAGTGAAGGGTAAATTGGAAATAGACACATGTTGCTCACTCACGAGGCTACTCGTAACAGCAGCAGTGTCACCTCCAGAATATTTCTTTCACTCGAGTTGGCCATTTCACTCATTTCACTTTTATCTAATCATTTGCTTGGATAAGACGACAATAATTTCACAGCTCAAGGCATCCAACTCTATGAGCATGAATAGGAAGATCTAATTTTACCCAATTCGTGTGGAATTAAATTCTGGCCCCTTTCGTGTTGTTCTCGTGGAATCTGAAATAATTTCAAAATTTCAAAATGTGTATTTACAATGGACTTTTTTTTTTATCAGGAAATCAGTACTGAGTATGGTGTATGCATGTACATGTGTATGTACACATGTTGTGCTCAGCATCAATCCTCTTTTATTTCATGACATGACATCATATCGCACTCTCTCTTCTTTCTCTTCCTTCCGCTGGTTCGAGGCTGCGATGGGTGGATGTTGGTGCAGGAAATGGGAGAAACTTGGCAGAAGAGATGGAATTGAATCAAATCACTCTCGACCGATTCAATCAACAAGTTCACCACCTCCCAGTTGGCCAAGTGAGCAGCGTGGATGGACCACCACCGCCGACCATACTTTCTCCTCTTTCACCCACATTTAATCATCAATCCTATTCTGGACGACTCTGGACACGAAATCAAGTTTTCCAGTTCCTCAGATGAACTGAAATTGAGTAGGTCTGCTCCACTTAACTGAATTATTTATGTCTCTCGAGAAATTCAATGCATTTAATAATAAAAAAAAGTATGGCATGAAATTCCAGCAGTAAGGAAAAAGCATTCGTATGTAAGATGATGGATTACAAATTAAAACAATATTCATCAATAACCTTATGTTGAATTTTTCTCGACAAAAGCGCAGCTACTGGACTGACTGGACATTTTCTCGCTGCCTATAAATCTATATTTTATTATATCCATTACATAGCTGTGCATACGTATCTAGAATCGGTATTAGATCGCATGTAAATATTTCATGTTAGAAGTATTCACAGTCACAGTCGCAGTTGCAACTAAAATTGCTCTAACATTTCGTCACGTGACCGAAAGTCATGAGATGAAAGAAATGCAAGGTGTGTTTATTTTCAAGCAAAATGTTACCAGCAGCAGCCCACAAAAGTAACAAACATGAGCACACGCATTTCCATTTAATTATTTTCCTTGACTTTTAGCTCCTGTTATCGGCTCGTGAAATGAGTGTGTGGTGTGGTTGCTTCTTATTATGCTTCCTTCTTGCTTGAGTTGCAGCCTTGATCCCGGTTCTCGGGTTTCGGGGATAATCTCGTGGCATTCCATGTCCCACATTTTCCATACACCACCAATTCATACATACATCACCACACAGAGAGCACACACCAAACCAAGTTCATTACTTATACGACAACGACGACGACGACGAGGAAAAGCAGACGGGGAGGTTTAGGATTCAAATGACGTGACTCCAATGCCATGAGCCAACAAGTCAAGTCTCAGAACAAATTCACACTTTTTTGGCTTTCGCACAAATAAACGAAAGGAAAGTGTTTTGGCCAGAAGAAGAGAGAGAGGCTAAAACTAAACATTTTACGCCGAGCACCACATTCTACGACAACAGCCACTGCTAAATAAAAGGAAATGCAACTACATGCTTGCGAAGAAAACTTCGACTCTGCTTCCTTTCATTCAATTGTATTTATTTGCTTATGGTTTCTTTAAACTGGGAGGCAACGGGGAATAATAGCGCAAGATGTGATGGCTGGATGGAGGAGATGAATATACAACCAGCAAAAGTTGGAACAGTCGTTGGAACATGCATACATTTGGATATGTTGTAAGCTGAGCTACATGAATTCAGCAGTAGGAATGCATTCTAAAACACTATCTTTTGGTTATATGTATGCTTTACGTATCGCACTTTTTACCATTTGGAGAAACCCAAATTATTTTTTCGAAAATTACGCTAGCTTACTTTAGCTTGAGATGGCCACGAAGGTATTCACTTACTTTTTGTCCGAACATGTATTGTATTGAGCATTCGCCACGCTTTCATCAGTCTGCACATGCTAAATCTACATGTATGATATATTTATGAGGATAAGTAGTTTCCTTGTTCTTTTTTACAGAAGGATAAGCACTGAGACTATTGTGAACTTTCTATTATAGAACACACTGCTCTTGGGAAAAGCTCTCCAGCCATCAAAGCCAAAGCTTCGTCTGTGTAATTCCTGGCGTTTGATGTTAGATCAAAAAAACTGTTGCTTCTCTTCTCTCCGGATTTCGGTAAAATTGTGGAGACGTGTAATTAAGGATTTCTTGCCTGGGATTTTATTACTTTTTACACTTGTGCTTCTTAAGGAAGGGAAGTTTCATGCGAATCGCCGGGTTAAATCCCGGAGCTGCCACACACACGTTCCCGTCCAACTTCTGAACACAAACTAACGTCTCCGATTCTCACTTGTCATGAGCTCGGTTGGTTATTAACCATGAAACGTGTGGATATCGGGCGAACAACGCTGTTCACGAAGCAGAAACCATATAAATGGTTGATTTTGCTGTTGATGGGATAAACAAAAGCAACTGTTGCTTGTTTAAACAAACAACAGCCACGCAGAGATTTAAACCGTGTCAAGTAATGATAATTCTTTGATTTGCAGCTCATCGTACTCCATCTTTTCATCATTTAAGTACTCTAAAATCCTAATAATTCTAGAAAGTTGTTATGCTGTAACATTATCATTTGATTTAGGCATATATACTTTTTGAAGAGTATGGAATAGCAAAAGTTAAAATGTATATGATCAATTGAGTGGCATATCCTATATAAAAGTAATTATCAATTGAACAAAGTTGCTTCAAATGTTTGATATGTTCTGCAGAAAAATATTCTATATCAATAGAGCTATCTTAACTATGTCTTTTATGGTTATTTAATTGTCTGTTTTATTGCAAAGGTTGGATCCAAATACCATTTATTCTCTTTGATCAACATGCAGACTTACTTATTTGTTTTCAGGGTGATCATTATAGATACATTCGTAGATTTAGCAATTATGTTACATAATGAATTTGATCGTTTACTCAAAGGGAAATATAAGGTTAAAGTCAGAAATAAATGAACACATATTGCATCGCAATACAGCAGGGTTCGCGTTACATTTACATAACACAACTTACGTAATCTCTATTGTACAATACCGAGGTTCAAGTTTGACAATTCAATCAATGTGGTTTGGCTTCCTTAAAAGTCATGTCGTGCACAAATTTACAAATGCGATGACAGATGCATTTCGAAATTCTATATGAACTGACATAATTCTAAATATGACGCATTGATCTGTCACATAATCTCAACCCCTTGAATTTAGTATATTTTAATCAATTTTGTAAAAGTCTTTTACTAGGATACCCAAATTTGAGTCCATCCTTGCTCAATACAATTTGCCACAATTGAAAGGATCTAGAAAGGAAAGCTGCCTCTGCAAGACTCAAATAAACCGTCCAAACTTTATAAAATCGATCTCCGTACATTTTTCTCAGCCCGGAATGCCACGCGGCCTCAAAATTTCGATGCCAGCACTGAATAGTCTTTGCGTAATCGTAACTAAAATTTTGCCAGTCCTCGATAATGTAGAACCCTTCCATACCCTGCCCATAACACAACTGAGTATCAGTTAAACTTCACATTAATAATAATTTAAAGCACAAAATACCTCGCATATTTTCGTGTAGTAAGGGATCACACCATTGGGGAAGATGTAGCGATGAAGCCATATGCTGACACACGGCAATTGGGGGTGATTGTTCCCAATCGTGTGAAGAAGAAATATCCCATCTTCTTTCAAAAGTTGGCTGCTTATCTGGAAGAATTCACGGTAGTTGTGCGGACCTACATGCTCTACCATCCCAACACTTGTAATTCGATCGAATTTTCCAATATTTTCTAAGAAATTGTTAAATTTTGTAAATTCATATTTATGTATACACAATAATTCTTCCAGTAAACTACTAATTGCAGGTACCTGGTATCGCCAAGTCACGATAGTCACGCACCACAAAAGTGACCAAGTCCATCAGGTCATCTCGACGACACAACTCTTCTCCATATTTCGTCTGCTCTTTGGAAATTGAACATCCTGTGACATGAACGCCATACTTGGCAGCAAGATGATGCGCGAGCGTACCAAATCCACATCCAATATCTAAAACTTTCATGCCCGGCTTTAACTTTAGCTTTTCAGCAATCAACTCCATTTTGTGGAATTGGGCAGTGTCCAGATCTCCTTCTGATGCCTTTTCCCAGTACCCACAAGTGTATTGCATATGTTTGCCTAGCATGACTTCATACAGGTCATTTCCTAGAATTTGCATATTTATTATTTTTAAAGTTCATATATCATTCAGTTTTATGAATATTGTGTCGTCACTAGTCGTCACCAATGTCATAGTGCTTTTGTCCCACGGCCCAAACACGCTTGCCCCTCTGCAAGTTGAAAAAGTTGAGCGTCCAACTCAGAGGGTGCAGAATGTCGCGAGTGCGTCGCGTTGACATGCACTGTGCAAAAGTTCCCACCAGGTTTCTAGAAGTCCAATGACCTGAGAAATAATAATACGCTATGATTTCAGTCTATAATTGTGCATACGTAAAGCCCTCATGTGAACAATTGAGCAAAGAAATGACATATTTATGCATATACCGTCCATGAAACTCTCGTACATTCCGGTCTCTCCCTCCAACGCTGATCGAATATAAAGTTCGTTGTTGTAAACCTGACAAAGTTATCACAATACGCGACATTTAGGATGGATTGAGTGTCAATCTATTTATAAAAATGCTAAATACATATGTATACCTGTGGATCGATGTCTTCATTTCCATTCACCTTTAACCCGTACGACTCCATCCGCTCCACCACCAATCGCTTTACTAACGGCATTATCAACTTTAGCACAACTCGAGCAACTTTGAGATACAAATTAAACACAAATTCAATCACAAAAAGTGCACCATCAGTCAGCACTGATTTTATCTCTTGGGAGTTTATCTTCATTGTTGCTGCAACTCTCAATATGTTTTCAACTTTTCGCAATTTCAGGTAAAAATTACCAAAACGGTAAAAATTACTATATCTCGTGCAGTCATCTGACTTATTTGATGCCGTTTATCTTAATCCTGTACAAACGCTGTTCGCCTATAAATCAGTCATTCACCTCACACTCACACACATGACGGTATCAATCTGACTACCACCATCTGCCTTTACGATGTGTACGTACCACCGCCCCCGTTGCCGTTTGAACACTGGACAAATAGTTGGAGGTACACAAGTGGATCCGATAAATGGATGATAATGTGAAACGGAAAAGTGCGTGTCCAAGAATAAATTCAGAGATGATGGCAATCCTGGCAGTCGCAGCAGTGTTTTAGTCGTCGTCGTTTATTATTTGTTATGCCATCCTCCTCACTCGCTCACCCACGCAACCTTCGAGTCTCTGGAAGAACATTGAATGATTCGACGTGCAAGAAATTCACTCAATGTCGTCGGACTGATTTTCCTACGACATGCTTCTACTTTTCCATATTGTTATTCCACTAATCAAATTGTCTACGTGGGGATGTCTCAACTTTTCCTCTTGTCCAACGAAGCGATATATTCTCAAGCAGTCACCTTTACGCATAAGCTGTATGATTTTGGTTTAATAGTCAAATCATTCAATTCTGACTTACTGTATGCAATTGAAACTAAATGGGCTTATTGCGGTAGATCACAAGTTCTTATGATCATTTACTGGCAGTTGGATAAATATTGCATGCAGGGAGTGGACAGAGTACACTAATTACTGGACACAAGACCTCATCAAGTCATCGACAATATATTAAAATCCTCACTGTAATGTTCATGGATGAAAAGAGCATGGAATTTTACGTCCTTGTGGCATTTGCACCATCATTAGCCCCACACTCTCTAACTTGCTTGCTTAGTTAATTGGCAAACAAACACGGAGGAGACGGATCTTGTTGGAGGCTGTGTGATGGAGGTGTGTTTGGCCAAGTATTATTGGGTGGTTCTCTTAATGGTTGAGTAAACAATACAGATTGAAACACAAACCCTCCAGACGAGGTTACATTGATCGAAAGACGGATGTGTGGAGGAAGCTCTCTTGAATCAACATAAAAATTCCAATTGTTCCCTAAATTTATGCAGCGTCATAAGTGGAACAACTATATGTGCGAGGAAATTATATTCAATAACTGCAATAATATTAGCTACGCACCACTGAATTCCGACTTCATATTCTATTCAATATGCATTGCCAGAAGAATACGTACGTACACACTTGGTGTGCGTAATGGAGATAGGAATGATCCGATACTAAATACATCAATATTTTCTTTTTACTGCATGCAATCAAGCCTTCACCATTATATCAGGATATGCAAATGTGTATTACTGGAAGATGAATTTAATATATCCTACAGCGTGAGTGGACCTTTTAAAGTTTCAAATAAAAATGATGCAGTGTGGAAAATAAATTTCAAACACCTTGAAGTAAGGACTTCCTGCTAAAAAATGCACAAACATTATGATGTACTTGCGTACGGCAGAAATTGTCAATTGATTTGATAAATAACCGGTTTGCCGGTTTCGTATGCGTTTGTAATCATCAAGCATTTGAGATAATTTATTCCTAACGTTCTGTAAGAAGCAATTTTCCACCATAACGCTTATTACATGTTACGATACGACCATGCCATATCATCCGCCTATTTGGTCCTACAACCCATCATTAAATTATTTACGCCGTCACATTTTCCTCTTAAATACAGGACACGACACTTTCCTCGCTCCAGCCAGAACAGCTCGTGTGGATCGTCCAGATATGTAAGAGGACAGTAATACGGAGAAAGTCACTAGCTTCTAATAGTTTGGATGTGTCGATAAACCTTGCATAAGACGGGTGGGTCAAAACCTAGTGAGAATGCATTCGGCATTGCGAAAGGAAATAATATTATGGGGATGCACACGTCCAGGGCGTTAGTTACTAAAGTACAACCATGCTTTCAGTTTGTATGCCAGTTTTCCTCTGCAAACTTTCTTCAACAGCATTACGAATAAACACTGTTTACACAAAATAATTAACAACTACAATATAATTGCGTTAGTTATCCATTTGTCTAGTTGTAGAAATATAATACGATACAAGTAAAACATATAAACAGGTGTTCTGTGGTAAATTTAATTATTATGGACCAACATCCACATAAGCATAGAGGCGCAAAAGGCACAAGTCGTGGGTTAGAATTATAGGAAATATTAAATAAAATAAATTCCATTCCACAAGTCCTTTTTTTCTCGGGGGTTGTATTTATTTTAAGTGTGAAAAATTAGTACAAGTTGGGATACAATTATGATATATATGATTTAGATAACGAACAAATCACGTGAGTCTTCCTCTCACACAGTATTGTGATGCGTTTATTTTCGAGCATTTCTGTCGGATTTGTGATACAACGACATAAATTGATTCATAACCCATCAAGTTGATTACTAGAAGAAGGTCTCTTTAATAAAGACAAAAGGGGGATCGATAACCCTGCGTTCTGCAGTTTTCATCAAATTAAGTAAGATCAGAGAAAATGGCTTTCACATTTCAGCCCACGTGTTTTAGCATGTTCATTGTTTTCCCCTGAGTTCACTTTGACAGAGAGAAAGCAAGACACTTGCTGTCTGTGCGTTAGTATAACCTATTGTGAACTGCTAGTTTGTGGTACGGCGCACCAATGGTGCGAAAAAAAACCCGTACCACACCATGGTCCGGAACGGGTTCGGTGCGACCGTACTGCTGAAAAATGTTGGTCCGGTTGAAGATTTTTTTGGAGCGGTACGGGTCGCTCTATTAAAATTTTTGTTGCGGTACGGGTGCGGAGCGGGTTTTTCCCAAATTATTTTGGCGTGGTACGTGTGCGGTTGGGGGAGTTTGAGATTTTTTTTGGTGCGGTGCGGGAACGGTACGGTACCATTCAGAAATCTGCGGTGGTACGGTAACACAAACTAGCAAGTGTGGTTGTGAGTGTGTGTTGGTGCTAAGTATTACAGTTTTAGCTTGAATTTTTCGACACTCTTCTGCAGAAACTAGGGGTATTCACAGTAACCGATTATTGCGATTATAATCACCCAAAAATTCTCTCTGCGAAAAAATAAACCAATAATAATGCTACTTAATTCCCTGCGATCAGTGCATGACAGTGAATGACTTGTTGTATTATGGGTTCTCACCGTGTGTTCACGAGAAAAAGTCGCGTAGTTCTCGCGATCGTTCTCGTTTTCATCCTGATTTCATTCCTTGGCCTACATAACGAGCAACTTATTTCCTTCGACTCAACAAAGAAATCCTGGATGGAAAAGTATGGGTCTTTGTATCCTGAGCATATCAACGACGTCTTACGAATACTTGACATCACACCAAACTTGTGGGGATATCGGGGGCAGAAAAATCTCCGAAACGAGACAATTTCTTCGAGGATTCATGCTCAGATTGAGTGGATAAAACAACTTGCGGGAACCCAGTTCATTAAAAATGTCAAGGTACACACATAGAAAGCTACGAGTAATAAATGATGTCAATAATTTGGTGTTTAGAAATTTGGTTTTATTTCCATATGCAAAACCCTATGCCCACTTAAAGAGAAAGAAGATTTTGGTGTACCTAGAACCCAACCCAGGTGACCAATACTTTTTTACAGGAAATAAATTAAAATGTCCATACGCTCCGGAGTTTGAGGACAAATGTGATCTAGTCCTGGAGAACATGGGCTGGAGACACCTGCTTAAGAATCACCCTTCAAAAAGTCATTACAGGTACAAAATGGACGAACATTTTAAGAATCCAATTAAGTATACCAAGTAAGTAGCAATTTGTTCAGCCATAATTATGTCAAATTATTCCTAGGAAATTAGGAATTGACGCCGTGATTGGGATCAGAAATGGATACTGGGGTCAAGATACAGAATTCTGGAATTCAGAGCCAACGTTTCCACCGAATGTGCAACAAATATTCTACGTTTTCGAAAGCCCTTGCCACACAGCGTCTGCCCAATTGGGAATAAATAATGCTTTGTTAGCATCTTATTGGAGGGGTGCAGATATCCCAATTCCTTATCGACATTTCACCAAGGATGCTACCTATCATTACAACAACAATGGGGAATCCATAGAAGACATCAATCATGGTATCCAATATCTAATCTTGATGATAGTTACAATGTAGATTCATTTACCGCACATGATATGAATATTAAAATGATATTTATCACTGTTTTAGAGGATGTTCGAAAGTTAGCCGTGGCTCTGATTTCAAATTGCGTTTCTGTAAAAAATGACAGAATGGGGTACATCCAGCAGCTCAGAAAGTATATCCCCGTAGATGTTTTTGGACAATGTAGAAGCACACACCAAAATACTTGTCCCCCCGGACGAGACTGCTTGGAATATCTCGGCTCACAGTACAAATTTTATCTTGCCTTTGAAAACTGCAACTGCGAAGACTACATTACGGAGAAACTTTTTGTGAATGGGCTGCAGTAAGTTCATATTCCCTTGTAGGCTATTTATGCATGTGTTCTTTTAGCCCGAGTCATGGCATATATATCCGTCATATCTGTATGTTATCACAATAACTTACCACGACCAACCAACACCAACGTTTTCAAAGGGGGAAAATTGAGATTTAGTCAGTTTTTTTAAAGGGGTTGAATATAATTAAATTAAGCCTCACTTACAAAAGTATTTAGCCTCGCTTGAAACTGTCTAGGGCTATGCAAAACTGCTGAAAAGGTGTTTATCTAACCAATGCATTTCTCAAGGTACAAAATGGTGCCCGTCGTAATGGGAGCGGCTCCTGAAAATTATAAGAGTGTTGCACCCCCACACTCGTTTATCCATGTGAACGACTTCGCCTCCCCACAACAGTTGGCAAACTATTTGAAGCTGTTGGATAAAAATGAAACTCTATTCGCAAAATATGGAGAGTGGAGACAGTCGCAAACCCGATGGCATCTGACAACTGCGTTGGGCGCTGATTTTTTCTGTAGGGCATGTGCCCTTTTCTACTACGGCGACTTCAGACCACCCCCATCATACCCAAGTTCATCTACAAGATGGGCCGATCTAAACAAGTGTTTGCCCAAAAATATATGGAGGTGGCCAGACTAGAATTATTTAATACGTGAAACCGGTGGACTGAATTAAGGAGTGAATAGGGTTTTGATATAATTGCGATCTGATATATGCATATTTGTAGTACAGATTCTGTATATATAATTTACACGATTAGGAATAATAAAGACGAAATTGATTGCAAAACCCATACCGGTGTATATTTCAACATTTGTAAACTGGTCTTATTAAACTGATATATATTACATTTATTATTTTTAATATTACATTTGAACATGCATATCCATTTTTCTAACCTAAGTACATACGCACATTATGCAAGCACCGCTAGCACTACATACTTATAAACAACAACGCAAACTGTAAATGTTGTCAATAATCCAGAAAATGTCCAATTATTGGAAATCTTTTCTATCCTTCGGTACATATGAGCGAGCACAGGTACAGGAGAAAGCATTTTGCAGATATACATGTAAATGGTTTAATTGATGCATATGTAGTATCTGATATGATTTACAATTTGCTCGTGTAAATTATTGTGTCTCGACTGACCATGTAACTGACTATGATAGGTATAAATATTTCTGAATGGTTCTGAATTCATACACATATCCAGTTAACCCAATCCAAAGTATCACACTTTCCCGTAATCCCCAATGGAAAAAGAAACCTATTCCGGGATTTTTGCCAACATGTGTTTGCTAGATACCAAACTGCATCTTCTTACGACGACGACTCGTTATAAAGCGTATCTTTGAAGTCTTACAATAATGCGAAAATGGGCACAAACGTAAGATTAAAATGGAACGATTTAGAGTCCACCTTGTTTAAATTGGTTCAGCACAACGAGTTACAAAAAGTTCGGGAATTTTTTCGCAAAATCGGTGAAGAGGATACAAGCGAACTTTCTCCAATTTTGGGCAGTTGCAAGCATATCATAAATTTATTTTCACTCAAAAAAAGCGGAGACACTGTCCTTCATTTGTGTGCCAGGTTGGGTTACTTTGAGTTATTCAAGTAAGTGCTACAATTTGCAGACAAACTAATTCCAGTCCTTCCTACTTATTATTTGCACTGCAAATTTTGCAGTCATTCTGCATACAAACTTTCAATAATCATTTGGTAGACGTAACTAGACATTAAATAATTTGAAAACTGGTTGTACAATTATATTTTTTTAGCGAACACTAATTTATGTGTTTCTCAGATACTTTGTTGAGGAAGAAGGTGCCAATATTGAGCAGTTAAACAAGGAGGGGAAGACAGCCCTTCACGATGCCGCACAATTTTCCAATGCAGTCATCGTCCAGTACTTACTGCACCGTGGTAAGGACGCCTAATTTTAATCCATATCGATTATGTATATTGATTATGGGGTTTCATTCTTTATATATTGGGTAGGGGCCAACATTAACGTTGTTAAAAAGGCGGACTGGACACCACTTATGCTGGTATATAAGTTAGAAATTATAACCAGGAAAATAAATATGTAAACGTAGAATGAAACAAATATATATTTTTTAATTCAGGCTTGTACGAAACCAGAAAATTCGGACGTGGTGAGGCTTCTTGTCGCCGCGGGGGCAGATCTTGCATTTGTGAACAAGGATGGTTGGAATTGTGTTCATCTTGCTGCTAGGGAAGGAAATGTTGACATCGTTAGTATGCTACTGGGAGGAACTGAGCCCTTGTCAGCATCATTGGACAGGAGCAACAGAGGAGGAAATTATGATCTGTCACAGACAAAAAGCAAAAATGGGAGGAGACCTTTACACACTGCAGGTAAAAGTACCACATCTCATCGGTAACGCATCATTCTTCTGGCTCTTGACGATTTAATGTTGCAGTAATGCACGGACACCTGGAAGTGTCACAACTGCTATTAAATCATCAACCGGATCCTGCCGAAGACATAAATACTCCAGATCACTGTGGTATAACTCCGCTCATGGATGCCTGTCGCTTCGGTTATCTACACATATTTAACTATCTTCTCAAACTGGGTGGAAATTTGCACCAAATCAATCAACAGGGACAGAACTGTTTGCACGTTGCTGCTGAGGCAGGACAAACCAGCTTGATTGAGGAATTGGTGAACAATTGTGGGATGAATGTGGATGAGCCTGCACAAGACGATGCAAAAATGAGGCCATTGCAGTGGGCAGCAAAGGTACTGCTCAAAGCCATATCAACGAAATCCCAAGTTTTATGTGACAAGATTTTGTAATGTTTAGGAAGGTCATGTCAATACGATAGCATTACTATTAAAACTAAATGCGGACACCTCACTGCAGGATGCCAAAGGACGAACAGGTAGCCTCATTGACGAGCATAAATAAAATAAAACATTAATGTCAAATATTTATATTATGCAACTACATATCACTCTTGTAGCTTACGACCTTGCAACGACATTTGGACAACGGCCTGCTGCTCAAGTATTAGCCATTGGTTAAAATCCCTCTGAAGTACACAAAATTCGAAACTAGCGTAAGACATTGAAGCAAGAGACTTTGTACTTTTGAAAAAGATTTAATAAAAATACGAAGAACTAGAAACAATACTCATGACATACGATGTATTGGTCAAATATAAATGTATGCTTCAAGAAGTTCTCGAAGACCTTACTGTCATGCTACGAGGTGATTCATTTCAAGCGATAATTGCCAAATAAATTATGCCACATCGTTATTATAATTAACTATGTATGCATGCATAAATTAAAAATTCATCGGAACGAAACCGCTATGTGTATTCAGTTTAGGTTTGTTCGCGATACTGCATGGCGTTACGCGTGTGCAATTTTTTTGTGGAATTTTTAGAACAACCCCAACGATATGAGTTTTTTGAACACCGCGTGGGGTGGGAGACCAAACGGTGTAAAATATATCGGAGTGAGTGAGAAACGAACGCTTAGCACTCTCCCAGCAAATGTGAAGCACAAAATATCCGAGGTGAGTGAAATGAGTGTTCTGGTAATTTTATCAAGCAGCAAGTCGTCAAGTCCATCCTGACCTCAATTTCCTTGACATTCATGACATATATTCCCATGAAATGTGTGGAACAGGGAAGGACAGTCCTCTCCTACTTTCTTGGAGATTGCAGTGCCCTCGACACTTTTCTAACTCAACAGGAAGGTCTGCTCTGGGTGATTCCAAAGTACCTCAACGCCTTATTTCGTGGCGTTGGACAGGTAATAGACGGATTCTAAAAATTAAACGTTTTTGGTCATAAGGCGTAATGCGTAAGAATTGGTGAGATCTAACGAAAAAGTGGTAGTGTGTTTGGGGTTGATATTAAGTGGTGTGTGGTGTCGTTAGAATTAATTGGCTAGTTGAACAACTAGAATTTCGTTCTCGGTTATATATATATAAATACATGTTTGTTATACAACTGCCGTTGCATGTAAAGTGATTATTTTAATGCTTAAAAAATGCTTATTGCATTCAGTGGGCAAGTTGTATGTTAAACTACGACGTATATACACCTCCCACTCCTCGAGGAGTTGGTGAATAAGTTAAAGTTCAATTTTTCATGCAACATAAAGGGCGCAATATAAGTTTCAGTGTGTGTAGAAAGAAACCCACGTCCTCCTTTTTGACGTGTATTACCAGGACGTATTTTAAAATATTTAGGTGATCTTCTGCAATAACCCCTGGTCCGGATTCCTCGTGCTATTCTCACTCTATTGGGCGGACATTACCGTAGGTCTTGCTACTACTTTGGCTGCATCTACTGCAATTCTTACAGCGTTTGTAAGTAATAGTAATGCTCACAAAATAAATGAACCAGATCAATCAGAATCTCTACTCTTTAAATGAATTTGTAGATTTTCGTACAAGACGAATCCAAAATAAATGCTGGGCTAACGACATACAATGCGGTGCTGGTAGGTCAGTAAAAATCATAAATCTAAATAATTTATGACAAATAATTAATCATTTATGACACTACACTAAAATACGTCCAGGCAGTGTTACATCATCCTTGTGGACACCACAATATGGCGAGCCCATCACGTTAACACTGTGGGGATTTATTATCCTTGCTTCTGCATTAAGGTCAGCGAGTACAGATGGAAATAACATTTTTTTTAAATAGATGGTCCAGTGAAGATTTTCAACTTGATCATCTCGCAATGTTTGTTTTCAGCGTTCTTGTAAATGCCGGATTGGCTAATTTGTTGGGATCTTTCACACCAACGCTACCTTCCTTCACTTTGGCCTTTAATATTGTCACCATTCTTTTGTTCACGTGTTTAATGCCTCGAAACACAAGGGCCAAGTCCAAATCTGAGGAGCAACTTATTCAGCAATTTCCAGTAATTCAGCTATTGCAAGACGAAAATTTGCACATTGTTGGGGTACAAAAAAATATACTCGGTTCAGATCAACAGTGTTTTAACCATCTTTGTATATTTTTAGGTTGTTCAAGGGATTTTATTATCAATGGGTCAAGTAATTTAATTAATATGTTAATTTTTTGTAAAAAATTAAGTATTTAATAAAACTAATTTGTTAGGTGTATGCTATTAACAATCTGGTGGGGAGCATCATCATGTATCTTGCCACCTTGTTTTATTCCCCAATCGTACTCGTTATGAGTTTGGTCGGTGCGTCGGTTGGTTCCATATTCGGTGAGTTTGAGTATAATCCCCGAAAAACCCATACTTTAAAAGCATATTGATTTAAAATGAATTTTCAGAAATATATGCAACGTAATATTGTGAATGACATTTTGATAGGAATTGTGTTTACGGCATCCCCGTATGATTCTGTGTACAACGGGATTTGGGGGTTCAACGCCATACTTGCTGCGGTAAAAAGTGGATTAAATGAAACAGAGTCTTTAGATGTACGCATTGTTCCACCTTTGTTATAGATTGCAGTGGGAGCATTCTTCTTCATTCCGAACGGGGTCAGCTTCGGTGTGGCAGTTGGGGATGTGGCACTCGTCGTTATGATTCAACAGGCCCTTACGATTGCTTTAACCCCGGTATCGAATACTATCGATATAGATTATGCCGTAATATTTATTATTAAAAAAATATTGAGAATGTTTTGTCCTTTCAGCTCAAGTTGCCCTTCTTTACATTTCCCTTTGTCCTAAGCTCCATCATATTCTTAGAAGTTACTGCGACCAGGGACAAACTTCACCGTGTTTCCAAGTTTTCATTTCCAGAGATGCACATTTATGAATATATTCAGAGTAAAACAATGTCTGAACAAAATACCAGTACGTCAAAACCAATGAAAAAACATTATGACGCAACCCCCGAGGTATGTACATATGTCCACAAATAAGCAAAAAGTGTAATGGTGGCTTTAATATGTTTTATATTACATATGGACATGAAAAAACTCCTTGCAGTTGCAAAATGTTTCAATTCAGTCCCCATCTGCACCACCACTTCAATCACTGTACCCGGAACTTAAGGAGACATCATATTATCCAGAGTATCTTGAACAAAGCAGGAATCAACAAGACACTCACTTAAGACTGAGGGGGCGTCAAAACAGCAACGTTGACCACGCTTTTATTCCCCACTCGTCAACGACCCCGCTCGGACACATCAATCCAGCATATAATCCCAACAATAGAGCATTTTATGATAATCAACAACACCAAGGGCACATTTCGTCAACTCCTTCTAACCATTATTACAATATGCAACAGCACGATGGACAGAACTTTGACACGAGATATAATCCTAAACAAGGCCAGATTTTTGTGGACAGATTGCCTTATCATTTCTATAATTACGTCCCAGACTCAAGCTTAATTCCATCCATCTATAGTTCACCACCATCAGAACAACTGTCATCCGCACCTGCAACTTATATTAACAGTAGACAGAGTGATTATCATCTTAGATAAAGATGTTAAGAAACACGGGAGAAACGGAACCAAGAGACACTGTTAAATTTTGTACATACATATGTACATACATATAATTAGAGTAAAACAAATAGCATTTTGTGTTTTTAATATTTTTAATAAATAAAGTTTCATCAGTTTATCGTTATTCAATTATCTTCGCTATCCTCATTATTGGAACCTGAATTCTGAGGAGCAGATTGGGGACGATGGAATCGTCTCTCTTCTTCTTCAACTCGGGCAATCTGCATAGTTTCAGTAATAATTAAGTTAAATTCATAACACATGTCTCGACATAAGCGTTGTATATCGATAAATATTAAATACCTTTCTCTCTAATTGTTTGAGTTTGTTTTCCAAACTGTACAAGCGTTCTGATTCGACAGGTTGCAATTCATCCTTTTGTTTCTTGCCCGAAGAAGCCGCTGCTGGAGACTCTGCTCTTGACTCTGGGGAACGGCGTCGTGAGGTATCCCGAGATCTGGAAGTAATTAAAGTTAAAAAAAATCAAAAACGTTTTGTAACAAAAGAAGAAATCAAACCCACAATTCGTCCACATCTCCATTCATTTCCATTGCTCTCTTATGCAAAAGCGATAATTGCGCATACTCCATTTCAAGCAACTCGTCCATGGGGACCTGGGGACACAAAACAGTTTTTACTAAATTACTGCACAGAATAGGATTACATATTAGCTCTGCATTGGTTTGAAATGGATTTACTACTTTTGGTGGCCGTGGGGCGGCACGGACATCGTACTGTCCTTCCAGTGGTGGGATTTGCATATCGCTTGTGCGAGGGGGAACATTCTCATCGTCAAATGTGGAGGGTGGTAGGTCCGTGAATTTCAACGTCTCAATGTCAAGCGCTTCCATGTCATCCGCTTCATCGTCCACCTTTGCCGCGCCACGCCCGTGCACCCGGCAATAGAATACCAGCGGCACAAGGTAGCACAAAACAAAGTAAATTAACAGCACACTCTGCAAACCCGAATAAAAATAGTTTACAATTTGATTATGAGAATAAAAATTAAAATCTAAGTAGGCGAACTTGCGCCTATTTATTTACATAGTTTTAAAAACGAACCCCTGCACCATGTTTGTAGCTTTCTTGTGAGCAGAAACCCAAAGTATGCAAATCATCCAGTGTAATTTTACGCATGACTTTCTTGTCTTCAAGAATATAAATATATTGCGTAGTTCTTCCAGTGACACTAATTCTTCCTTCGCTACTTTACGTGAATATTAATTAGATGCCTAGATTTTAAAAAATCCTCTAATTATTATCATCTCACCTGGACACTCCCAGGGCACACATTTTTTCGACTGCAATAAGATTCAAAGTCTGTATTCCAATTTCTTCAATATTTTCCAGTGTAAACCCTGAAAACGTAGTGTGCTCTTGGTAATCCATAATGTCTTGAAGAAATACTTCCAGGTGTGCAGCAGCCTTTAGGTGATCTCCATCCTAATAAAAACTCAGAAAAATCAATCCTATTTTATATAATAATAGTATCAGTAATGCTGTTCGTACAATTTGATCATCTGAAACAAAGATGCAGATTGAGGCTAGTAAAATTATAGCTCCAACGGGAATGTGACACAAAACAACCTAAAACAGAACAAAGCAGTGCTGAGTAATTGCCTATATATGTATTGCATAATATTCATAATGATACCGTTTTCTTGTATGCCTCGCCCTGATAGTACATGAACAAAGTGAGGACAATCATAAAGAAGGAGACGACGATGCATCCGATGGCCACAGGTTCGAGATCGCCATCCCTCAACACCAGCTTTTTCGCCTCAGCCAATCTTTGGTCAGAGGTGTCAAACACCAACTTTTTATTGTCAAAGTAGGTGATTGACTCAAGGGACGGAAATGGGTCACCGTCTTTGATCATGTCGTTCCAGGCAACGTCTGAATTATAGGCAATCCCTTCCAGGATGAGACCAATCAGGCAAAAAATCTAGCAAAATATACATTAACCTATATATTTAAATGCCCATTCGTCCATTCATAATCGAGATGTTTGAAGCTAATTCTAATGCTAGCATTTTTTGTTTTACTAGAGAAAATCCAATCATTAGTATAACGATGTCACATTCTGGATTTTCCAGGGACCCACGTCGACGACTGAGAGGTCTCCATGAATTCTTTTTTATGGGGTAAGTGCCTGGTCCAAGGATGGTTGCTGTTGAGGTGGTTCGCTCCAATACGCTTCGTGTCACATTGTTTGAAGTGGTGGTCTTCACGGTGGGATAGTGTTCCAACAATTCGTTCATCGTGTACGGGTCATGATGCTGTAGTTGCTGACATCGTGGGTCAATAACCAGCTCATGGCGCAGCTTTTCCGTCTGCAGATGAATAGCACCTGCAATGTTGGGATCCATTTCAACAACCAAAAAATACTGGTTGAAGATTATGAATGTGAGACCGATTTTCTACACATTGATCAAAAACAGCCAAGGGCAGCCAGACAATCTAACAAATTGTGACTAACACGATCACGAGCACAGCCATTTAGTTCCTACATAGTTACTAGCCCTTATACAGCCCTTAGATACTAAATATGAAGCAATCGTGCACAAGGAAATATCAGGCCAATTTCGGCCACTAACTCAGATAGTTAAAATTCACCCACATTAAAATTTACGTGTCTACAAAGGAAAAATAGCTCATTTATGAACCAATCGCCCCTATTACTAAAAAAGTAGTCTGCTATTACGAATATTTTTAATGTAACGATGCAAAGGGGTTTTTTAACTCGCTAAAAAATTTTATGGTTTGGGAATTACTAAAATATATTATTAAAACATACAATAACGGGTACTACTCCATTTAACACATGTGTATATAAAATTTTTATGTAATAAGAAACAAGAATTGACATTTACAAATGTTTTCTTTTGTATTACAAACAAGCGGACAAGGTAGATAAAATGGTGTTTCTTAAACTATGTGTTCAATAATTAATACATTCTAGTCTGAAAAAAGTGAATGGTTCGATAGCTGTAAACTTTCATTTTTACTATCCAGAGGTTGGGGGAAGAAGCGGTCTCGCCATGAGTGGTTGGGGTTGACCAGGAGGAGGGATTAGTGGGGGTGGCATTCCCGGGGGAATTCCAAGACCCATCGGAGGGCGCATCCCCGCCAGCATTCCTGGAGGCATACCTGGAGGACCACCTACGATAATGTACAATAATTAAATATCAAGCAGCCTTCACCATCACAAAATCTACGGATCTCATGTACCCCGAGCCAGTAATGTTTCTTTTTTCATTTAATTTAGAAAATCAGTGAGAGTTTTGAGACCCTTGATCAATATGTTTCAAACGTTGAGGTTCCCCTCTCAAAATTCTTCAAATTAGGCAGACAGTCTAGCGGATGGACACAACGATGTCGACGATTCCATACGCTCTGGCTCGGGTCACAAATTTCACCAAATAAACATTCTTATTACCTGGCGGCATCATCATTGGTGGCATTCCAGGAGGAAGCATTGGAGGTCGTCCCATCATTCCGGGCGGAGGAGGCATCCCCATACGTGCTGCAACAAATGATTATGTGCCAATTAATTAAGCTATTACGACGAATATCGAGTTTGCATAAGTATGTATCTTTACGTGGGAGCATTCCTGGAGGTGGGATAGCTACACCCTTTCCAGGTGCTCCAAATGGATTTGCTGGTATTTTTCCTGCTTTGAAGGCAGCAGCTAAAATAGTAACATAAAAATAGTCATAAATTATCATATGAGATAATTCTTTCACAGCTCCCCTCTCTTCGACATTGTAATTAGAGACAACATAAGAAACATTTCTCAGTGAAAATTGTTCACACTTACTTGTCGCGTCAATCAAACTTTGTGCCTGGTCTTCCATCCACTTTTGATAGTAAAATTTAACATTATCCTTGTGCTTCCGTCCGGCACAGTGCGTCTTCCGGACAGATGGCTAAATCAATACAAATTATTTATACATATTGTCATTTAGAAAACGTTTCTTGTTTTGGAATTTCATATTTCTACAACTAACTTACCGAATCATGTGTTAAGTATGTGTCGCAATAATCGCAATAGTACTTTGGCATGGTTGAAACACCAAACAGTGAACAGCAATAGAATCTGCGTCAAAGTCCTAAAATATTAAATAGTAACAAAAATGTGTAAAACTGGAAAATTTCAGTTAATTTCAGTTTTTAGTTTACCTGGACTGAGGAGTCTTAAAAAAGCCGAAAAGAGAAATTTCTCCCTTTCCGCGAACACGGGGCAGCGGCAGAGCTGGCGTTTGAAACGAATAACCACACTCCACGTGCCTCGATTGTTGACTGCTCCACACACACATCTTAAACGTCTAACGAGTAAATTTGTTAATTAACTTGCGACATGACACTTCAGAAATTTTATTTAAAAAATTAAAAATCTGTTTGATATACCTTCGGAAATTGCATTCGCACGATTGCAATTTCAGTAACTGTAAACGTATTAAATAAACTGAGACAGATTTTGTTTGTATTGTTCAAGCTTCTATTGAGCTATGAAGCGTAAATCTATTGTGACGAAGACTGAAGAAGTTGAAGTTGTCGAACCTATCACGCCATCACGACAATCTGCGCGACTCAGGAATAAAAAACTTGGTGTAAGTTTTAAACAATGTGCAGTGAATGGGTTTTTATAAATATTTACATACTGATTTTTGTAACTTTGTACCTTTCAGAAAACGAAAACTCCGTCGCCATCGCCCAAAGCGGTCAAAACAAGGAAATCATTATCTTCTGTCAATAAAAGTGGAAACGATGCACCAGGAAGAAGTCCCAAGGTCATTGAAGTCGAGAAGAAAATGATTAAGGGTGTGAATAGCACAGTGATTGAAAAGGATGAGGAAAATGAAGAAGGTTCTATAGATTCTGAAGAAGATTTTGACATGAGCGATGAGGATGACGATGAGGAGTTAGAAGTAGAAAAGGAGTCCGGGAAAGAGAATGCTGTAAGTGTTAATAGCTCAGATGATGACGAGGAGGAGGATGATGTGGACGAAGGTATGGCGTACAGTTTTATTTTAAATTCTTGTACTATCGTGTATTATAGTAGTACAATTTGTGTTTTCATATTATAGATGACGAGCAAGATGATCATGAGGAAGAGGATGTGGAAGACTCCGAAGATTCATCGTCAGACGACGATGATGAAGCTGAAGAAAAAACACCAAATTTTGATTTCAGTGGGGTTGAGGCAGAGTTGGAACATATTTCTGAAAATAGCTCGGAATCTCCTCATCCAAAACCAAATCCTCTAATTAAATTAAGCAACGGAAACGACGATGAGTACGATTTCGATTCATCTGACGAAGAAGTAAATCCCTTATACCGTATATGATATGTATATTTGGTATGGATAAATATTGATTATTAATTAACTAATTAATTACTTTATTAATTCCAGGACTTGCGCAACACTGTTGGCAATGTTCCTTTGAATTGGTACGACGAGTATCCTCACATTGGTTATGATTTGGATGGAAGGAAGTTGATTAAACCCAAACTGGGAGATAAGCTGGACGATTTTCTACGTCGCATGGAAGACCCAGATTTTTGGTAGGTGTTCTATGCATTTATTATGACAAATAATAATTGTTTTCAGTAATAGTCGAAGGGAATTTAATGAGCTGATGAGCTATTCATTCTTCTCAGGCGTACAGTAAAAGATAAGCAGACGGGTCAGAATGTAGTACTTTCGGATGCTGATTTTGAACTGATTCAACGCCTCCAGTCTGGAAAAATTCCAGACGTGCACTATAATGCATTTGAACCTTGGATTGAGTGGTTTTCGTCGAGTGTGATGGAGACGCCATTGCGAAATATGCCCCCATCGAAGACGTCATTTCTCCCATCTAAAATCGACAAGATGAAAATTTCCAAGTGTGTTTCTAATGTGGGGGCATTTGAAATTGATGAATCAATTAATAATTTTACTTTGTGTTTAGAATGGTGCACGCGATAAAAATGGGGTGGATGAAGCCTAAACCCAAAAAGTCTGATGAACCACAGTTTTACATGTTATGGGATTCAGACGATAAGGCTGATGAGATGAGAAGGATTCATGCACACATCCCAGCTCCCAAGATAAAGCTTCCTACAAATGCGGAATCGTATAATCCTCCGGCCGAATATTTGTTTGATGAGCAAGAGGTAATGAATTGTAGTCATTTTATAACTAACCTTTCCCTTTTGATTTAAGGATATAGTTTATTTATTTGTGCTCTCGCTCTTATTATTATTCTAATTTATATACTTTTAATTTATACCCAGATGAAGGATTGGGAGAAAAGGTCAGACGAACCTTGGAAGAGGAAATACAACTTTATTCCTCAAAAACATAAGCGACTTCTTGACGTTCCAGCATATGATAATTTTATCAAGGAGCGTTTCGAGCGATGTCTCGATTTGTATTTGTGTCCACGTGCAAAAAAGATGCGAGTAAGTCATCAAGTCACCCAACATAAAGCATTATTATGGAATATTTTGACTTCATAAGGCACTGTTACATCTGTTTTGCATTTACTTATTCATTTAGCTTACTATCAAAGCAGAGGATTTGGTGCCACAGTTGCCAAACCCGAAGGATTTGCAACCTTTTCCAACCATATGTTCTATGGTGTTCAAGGGACACACTAACATGGTTCGTTCGCTTAGTTTGGAACCAGGGGGTCAGTTTTTGGCATCAGGGTCAGAAGATGGAACTGTCAAGAGTGAGTTTATACTAGTAGTCTGTCATTTACAATTTGCGAAATATATAAAATAACACCAGTATTATCATGCAATTTTTTATATCGTTACAGTTTGGGAGATCGCTACAGGGCGTTGCCTCAAAACTTTTGAATTTGGGGAATCTTGTGTTGTTCGAAGTGTTGAGTGGTGTCCAAATAAGTCCTTGTGTCTTCTCGCTGTTGCTGCTGAATCAGACTTGTTCCTCATCAATCCTGGAGTAGGAGACAAACTTGTCGTTAAAAAAACGGATGCCTTACTCCAAGACGGTGTAGAGCAAGGGGATTATAAAGCAAATGAGAAAGTTGCCAATGCCGTAACATGGGAACCAGTCGCCACAGATGATTCTAAGTGGGCTAAAGGCACGCGTATCATCATTCGACACTTTAAGCGCATTCATCAGGTATTTGCAAATATAACAACGACAATAAAAAGTTAATTTATCATCTTTTTCATTCAATGTTTGTGTTTATTTTATTAATTTAATAATCTACACGTGTAATGATATATCATATATCCTAACAGGTCACTTGGCATGGGAAAGGGGACTACTTTTCTACTGTGATGCAAGAAGGTCAAAACAAGTCTGTACTGATCCATCAACTCTCTTCGCGGAGGTCCCAACTGCCTCTCAACCGATCCAAGGGACTTATTCAGTGTGTGCTGTTCCACCCCATCCGACCATACTTTTTCATTGCAGTAATGTCTAATTGGCTATTTAAATGACATATATCAAATAACTAATATTTTATTCAACTTTTTCAAACAGACTCAACGCCACGTGCGAATTTACAACTTGGTACAACAAGAAATGGTGAAAAAGTTAATGACTGGAGCAAAATGGATTTCAAGTATTGCTATTCATCCAGGTAAGCCAGTCAATTAATTAATAGCAACATTAACTCTCTGAATGTAATTAGCTCGAATGAATTCTATTGCTCATATTATTCATTTATGCAGGTGGAGACAATGTCCTCGTAGGGACCTACGACAAGAAAGTCATGTGGTTTGACCTAGATTTGAGTACGAAGCCCTATCAGACGATGAGGTTTCATGGAAATGCTATTCGGAGTGTAGCCTATCACAAGAGATATCCGTTGTTTGCTTCAGGAGGAGACGACTGTAGCCTTATCATTTCTCATGGAATGGTGTACAAGTACGTTTTGCACAGCATTTCATGGCTAAACTATATATTGCTGTTTCATTTCTATTTAATCACAATTTATTATTTGTACTTTCAGCGATCTCCTTCAAAACCCACTAATCGTTCCCGTCAAGAAACTTCGTGGTCACGAAAAATTTAGCGACTTTGGAATCCTATCCGTCATTTTTCACAACATGCAGCCATGGGTTTTATCTTCTGGAGCTGACAAAACCATTCGTCTATTTACATAACAATAATTATGCATATATTGTATCTGTTTACTTTACAGTGTAAGTTATGTAAATTAGGAAAGAATATTAAATCAACCGATCGATAAAAGATATTATTATTGCATCTCCATTTGTTGTTTATGCAAATAACTGGCGCGACTCAAAGCTCAACTGCCATCACCAGCCAACGAACCTTTCTATCTGTTGCTCGTCTTTCCGCATGCATTCGTTCGGCTTCACCATTCCTCATACACATTTAAGGGATCATACATACTCAATATTATATTCGTTACTGCATATTTTTGACCCTGTTTTCAAATAAATTTTCCTCTACAAGCCGTTCAAGGTATGGCTTTATCGAAAGAAAATCAAGCAATGAAGTGAGTTTTGTTCTTAAAGTAACTTACAAATTCTGATTATGAATCAGGTAAATTATAACATCATTTTTGGCTGATTTTAGTAGTTCAAGAAAGTGGACATTGCAAGATTTTGAAATAGGGAAGCCGCTGGGCAAAGGAAAATTCGGCAACGTTTATTTGTCGAGGGAGAAAAAGTCAAAGTTTCTTATTGCACTCAAGGTTCGTCAAGTACTAAACAAAAGTGACGCTCATTAATTAGACTTTGTTTTACACGTATGTATTTTGTCTTTATGGACTTTCAGGTCCTGTTTAAAAAGGAACTGAAAAGGGCGAATGTTGAACATCAATTGAGACGAGAAATCGAAATTCAGACGCACCTTCGCCACACTAACATAATTCGAATGTTTGGGTACTTCCACGATGAGACACGGGTTTATCTTATATTAGAGTATGCAAGTCAAGGAGAACTATACCAATATCTCAAAAATCAGCCAAATAAGAGATTTGAAGAACCATTGTAAGTTTTTAAGTTAAGTTAACAAATTTTTAAAACCAACTGAATACCTACTTTGCTTATTTTTAGAGCTGCCAAGTTTATTTATCAAATAGCTGATGCAATCGGGTATTGTCATCACCGAAATGTACTTCATCGGGATATAAAGCCGGAAAATATATTACTAGGAGATGATGGGATGCTAAAAATTGGTGATTTTGGGTGGTCTGTACATGCTCCATCGTCAAAGTATGATGTTTAAAAATAATAATTTATTGTGTCATATTGTGATTTGAACGTATTAAATATGCCCTTGTTTAGACGTGAAACTGTTTGTGGGACGCTGGACTATCTGCCCCCAGAAATGGTGGAGGGTTCAGCTCATGATAAAACGGCAGATATTTGGAGTATAGGGATCCTTTTGTATGAATTTTTAGTAGGAAAGCCTCCATTTGAGACCTTATCTTATAATTCTACTTATGAAAAAATTATCCGTTGTGATTATGGATTCCCTACCCATGTAACGGAAGGGGCCAGAGATCTCATCAAAAAGGTATTGAAAAAACTGCCACAAGAGAGATTACCCATCCGTCAAATATTAGTGCATCCATGGATTGCATCTCATGTTGACATTAGTAAACAACATCGTGTAAACGGAACTGGAGATAACAGACTGAAACAACAGCAGCACACAATACAACAAAGTACTTTGCCAACAACTAATAAGCCCACAACAACGTCATCGAAAGATCACAAATTTCTTGTGCCAGCTCCTCCTAGCTCTTCGAAAAGCTCTTCTAAAATACCCAATGTTAAACGATCCTATCATAATTGATGATTCCTAATTCCCTGTTGGACAATTTTTCGCTAATCAAACAAGCACGTTTTATGTCTTGTGGGTTTTAAACAGCAGATTAGGATTTGGAATTGCAGCGCAGCGCAGAATAATAATGATAAATTTACAAGCCTATCAGATTTCATTCGTTAGATGGTGACTGAAATGATAGTATTAAATATTTTATCCATCGTCGTCTTATATAATCCGCATTTTATCGTTTTTTAATTTTTTTTAAATAATCACCAGGAGCCTGATTTTAACTATTTCGTATCATACTGCACCTCTTTATAATACTAATAATTGTGAAGTGTAATACTATTTTAATTCATATCATAGGTTAATGAAGTATCATTTTAATCTCAGTGAAACCGTAAACAACGTCTTGTAATGGGGTGATTTCCTGCATGCCTGTGTCATATATTATGTACAACTACAACGTATTACATTAATAAATCACGATTTGACAACATTTCTCACTAATTGTGTGGCATAAGATATTTCAAGAATAATTTATTACTGAGAAATTCATGTCATATAAATATGTGAGGTTTAGTCTAATTAATTCATTGCCATGTTTTACAAATTAAGTATAATCGAAAAAATACAAGTTGCACCGTTACATTAGAGTGGACATAATTAATAAGTACTGTAAAGTGAAAACTAACAATTATCAGAAAGGTAAATATTATTAATAATATGGCCTACTCAAGAAATTCATAGTCGATCCACGCGAGTCGTGTTGTGAAATGTTAGTATGTAAGGAACTAAACCAAATTTAACTAAATAATACCGATAAAAATATACAACCATGGAAGATGGAGTACTTTTTAGGGTGCCGTCAGGAAAGGAAACTCTTGACGACTAAACAACCTTAGAAATTTGCGACTTGAAAATTGAAACGAAATCATTAAAATGCGGGCGATTATTTCGACGAAACTGAAACTATGCATGTAAATATGTACTCTATACCTTATAATACGAATGTTAAACAACTGACTTGGATTGTTAAGATTCAATCATGTTATACTCATACAGACTGAGAAACCGTATTGTTGGATTTCGAATTAATTAAACCGTTTCATAGCTGAACCGAATGCTGCGGGCGAGAAGGCAGGCGCAGATCACTCCCAGAAGTTGCACAACTCCAAGTGCAATTGCCACAACGCCAAGACGGGTAATAGCCAATTGATCAATAGCTTTGTTCAAGCAACCCTGAAAAACAAAACAATCGTTGATTGGTATTGTTATTATTTGTTTCGTTTGCTTTCTCTTATCAATTACTATTATTATTGCAAATAATATATATTTACCTCGGTGTAGATGATGCCGGTAACATCAATTGTATCGATGTTATCCTTGTTAATAGTCAAGGTGCAATTTTCAACAGCACCACCAACGCAACAAGAGGTTGGGACAAGGGCCTCAGTTTTCAAATCTGCGTTGTAACTAGCCTTCCAATCCGTATAGTTGGAAACACCACAGCAGTGGAGCTATTGCAATAAAAAAATATACTTTATTCTAAAAATACAAATACAAACTAACTAGTCAATCATATATAGTAATGTAACAATGTACCTCGCTCTGAACAAGGTTCCATGATCGTTGGATATCCTCAACATTTGGGAAGGTCTTGTTATAATAGTTCACCAGAGTGGAATTCAGTCCTTTTTCAGCCAATTGTTCAACATCATCTTGCAACAAGAATGCTGCAATTCCAACACCCAGTTGCAGAACCAGCACTAATCCAACGAGCACGGAGTACTGAAATGTGCCCCACCATGTTATCATTAATTAATCCGTGTACACTATGACGAAAAAATGTATCGACTACTGTAATAATAACGTAGTAATACCGCCATAATCATAGCATGATTTTCCATCCAAGCTCCACAACATCCAAGGAAAGCAATGAGAAACATGATAACTCCGATGGCGATGAAAAGCTTTGGTGGAGCTGCAAATGAGTGAGTTTCCACAAGTTGGATATAACGATCAAATCCGTTCAGAGAGCTGATTCCGAGCCAAACCATCACTATTCCAACGATCTGCACACCCAATTAATTCATTACACCCAATAAACCCAATAAACTTCATTTCGTTTCGACATGCATTATCATTGTTCATACCACAAAGACCAAATTGAAGACGAAGAGTGCATATTTCATGCACTTGTTGACACCTCCAGACACCATCTTGTCAGCTGCTTAAAGTATTATCTTATCTTGTTCAATGATGAATCCACTCCAATTATCTGAAACAATGATTATTATTAAATATGCGCATATTTCAACAAAATTTACGATAATAGAAAACTCGTGACCCTATCCAATATTACATACGCAATAAACAAAATAAATAAATTTCAAACTATCAGCCGTCTAAAACTCAACAATCAAAAATTTTGATTCAAAATGCACACAAAAACAAAACTCACTCAAATATCTAAAATGGATCAGTAAAATACGAGCCCGATGAGTTTTAGTCTACACTCACAAAGCATTGATAATTTACAACTCACCTTGTCAAAGAAATTTCTGTAAAATGTAGCAATCCAGAGAGAAATTAATTTGAATTAATTCAGAGTGAATGGCGACGTGTGTGTGAATAATAAATCCGACTGGCTGAGTCGAAGCAAGCAGCAGTTCTCTTCTGTAGCAAGTAGCAACACGAACGAAATGACGACTCAACTTTGGCTGAGGATGAGTCACGCAGTCAAAACCAACGACCAGAATTTACATGTTTCAGTTCATATCATCACTTGTTTGTTTGTCCTCTAGCTGTTATTCCTTGTTTGATGTTGTACAGATTAACAAAATGACACGATGAGTGTCCAGTTGTTATCGTTCATATTTGCTTACCAAGTCTATAATAAACGACATGACGAGATGTGAGATGTGAGATTATTTGTTGTTTGACTCTGGAAATTTGTCACTTGTTCGGACTCGAAAGAAATAAACTGCTAAAGTCTGATTGTGATCGTTATGTACTCTCCGGGTGGAGCCTATTAGGCAGAAGCCATGCTCATCCCCTCATCCTTTTCAGCAAACTGAGGAACGCGGCTGGTTTCTGCCTATTAGGCTCCACCCGGAGAGTACATAACGATCACAATCAGACTTTAGTTTAGAATAGTCGAAATCTGGTCCAGTTCATTTCCTCGTTTGCAGTAGTCAAAAATGAGGAGTACTCATGTGACTTTATGTTTGTTAAATTCATGTGGCATATCGTCGTGATTAATAATGAATCATAGTTATATTTAATCAACTACACCCGATATTTTGCATCCCGTATACATATGTAATATGAGACGACTGGAAATTGTAAAGCATGAGATTGTGTTGCAATTAGTCATACACATAATTCATAATTCGTGCAATCCTAAAATAGTATCCTGAATTTTTGTGATTTCATTTTTGTTTTGTGGTACTCCTTTTTAGTAAGGCTTGCTTCTTTTTTAGTCAGCGAAAAATTTCTTCACTGGAAACTCTGAAAGCATCCTGTAAAATTCTCATTATATATATTAGAATAACGTCGGGCATCATGAATACATGACTATGTTCTACATACTGAACTTGGTATTACCAACTTTCCTCTGTTAATAATTAAATTAATGACAAAGCTCGTCAATGAAAAAATGCACAACATATAATATTTTTCAATCTCAATCAGAGAATAAATCTTGCTCACACCGGGCCATAAGCGGTGCCAGCACACTTGCAAGCATTGAAAACTCCACATCGCTTGCTACGGGGGACCAACACATGTAACATGACTTTTTTGTGTATAAAATTAAATGGTAACAAAATTTTTTTAAATGCAATTTAATTTTTTGGTGAGTATAATTACCAAGATAATTTGTTAAAGATAGTGCTGGTATTACTGCCACTTGGAACAACTTAAACAATTCCAGATTTTTTTTACATTGAATAAAAATTTTTACTCGTATTCTTTGCGTTTTCCCCCATCTATTCATTTGTAAATCTAAAGAGTTAGCTGGCAACCTGAGATTACGAGATGGTAAAGGTGCGAGCAAGATTTACAGTCTGATCTCAATCATGCCAGAAAGGCATGCATTTCTTCGAGCTCAACAAATCTACGCACAAGTCTATGCTGATGAGCTCTGTACATAATGCAGAAATTTCTGATAAGTATGAAAATAACCTTGTAAAACAAGGGGATTTAGAATTTATGCGTCGTACTTTGTGGCGATTTTACAAGTAAAGGAGTTGAAACTGGAATCAGTCTGCTGCCCAATAATGGATCATTAGGAAATTGTTTTTTAATGAGATTCAATCCAAATTAGCAGCTATCGGGTTACAAATGTCTCGAATGTGATGCTTCTATATAAGGTTTTGAAGCGAGGGGGTCTTGATTCTGTCTGAAATTATTGTTTGCCTCTTCCCCATAGCTGGCATCTCTCCTCTTGAAGCATGGGTCATATATTTTTGACATCCGTCGTCGTGGTCTTCAGTGGGGCCCTCGTCATGGTGCTGGCTCAAGTCCCTGAGGTTCCTGTCAATGGGACCGTACCACAACTGCCAGGTTTAACCTTCTGCAATTACAAGATTATAAATAATTGTGCATACAGTGTACACATCAGAATTCTGGAGTATCCGTGAAGCTCTTCTTTATATGTGTCCATGTTATTTTCAGGAGGACTTCCAGTTAATACCACAGTTCCAGAGTTGCCAGGTAAGGTCACACAAATGCAAACACCTTTACTAATATGCCTTCCGTGAAGCTCTTCTTTATATTTGTTCATGTTTTCAGGAGGACTTCCTGTAAATACCACAGTTCCAGAGTTGCCAGGTAAGGCCACACCACAAATGCAGACACCCATAGAACAGAAGGTTTCAAACTAGTCAACATGATTTGTGAAGCAATTTTCTTCTCCAGGCGGGCTTCCCGTCAATACGACTCTTCCGGTTACACCCCCACCTCTTAATGGCACCCTCCCAATCGGTAAGGTCAGATATGGGAATTAGTAAATAAACCCATGTACGGTCGGTTGCTATTTATTCTATTAATCGCTCAAATAAAGGGTCCCTACCGACTATCCCCCCAGTCAATACGACTTTGCCAATAGGTAAGGAAATAGACAAGGTCAGGCCTTTATAAAAAATCTCACAACGATTGATTTTTTGTGGATTTTACAGGAACCACCCTCCCACCTCTGAATGGAACACTGCCAGGTAAATAATTTCATTACTTCATATTGCATTCACATTTTTTGGATTTGATTTAAAATACTGTAATTGGATTTTCCAATTTTTCATGCCTCCTTCAAATTGATTGGCATACAATTAAAGAATACATTTTTATTTTATTTTTGAAGGTGGGATCCCGACACTCCCTCCACTGAATGAAACTGGTGGCCTTCCCATTGAACTTCCTGCTGGTTTCCCAGAATTTGGATAAGTTATCGCCAGCGTCGCGTGTTACATATTATTCACAGTTTCTGATATCCTATCTGATAGATCGAACTCAGAACGACGATAAATAAATTATTAGGAAAAATGTTAATAAATGCTGGACTTTCTTATTTGGGGGTCGCTGATGTAAGAAGGGTTGCGCTACATGCATTATACAGATTCATTATACCTATTATTATATTTGATGCACAAATGCACAATGCTATACCATGGTACTTATTCATGTATATTTTTGTGTTAATCGTCAATAATGGTCCTCAGTACATGCATTCATTGTATTCCTGATTGTGGATATCAAGGAATACATCATTTTGTGACAAGATAACAGTTGCCGATAATTTAAGAAACAATATCGTTTCATAACCAAAATATAAATAGCGTTGGAATCCTACTCCGAACTGAAAACTTATTAAGTGATCCTATATTTAAACTGGAAGAGCCGAAAATGATAATCCAAACGTTAATTTTCTTGGGTGCTATGGCCCACGTGCAAGGAGCGTTTGTGGATCCGGGAGTAGTATTTGAAACCTGGAGAGGATGGGGCACTTCTCTAGCCTGGTTTGGCGACGTATTGGGAGGATTTGATCAGGGCGTCCAGGATGAGATCATCAACGCCTTGTTTTCTGTGAGACTTTTTTGAACACGATTTTCTGAATTATTAGCATTCACTTCAAAATATATCATAGCTTTTTGCAGCCAGCTCAATTAAATCTCAATATTTTGCGGTACACTATTGGTGGGACGACTCCTGGGGAACTTGTGTGTGGCGAATTCCGTCCTGGTGGGGGTACTGAATCATTCAAAGATGGTCCCGATTTACCATTCAATTGTGAGCAGAATTACCAATGTAGGTAGCACCGAAACTATAAACGTGACGTGTTTATGCATTCACAGGGAACCGTGATCCTCGTGCTCGGAAGGTGCTTCAAGCAGCAAAAGCAATGGGCGTGGACACTTTTGAAGCTTTTTCCAATTCACCTCCTCAGTGGTTTGTATTTTCCATTTTATTTTGCAACTCGTGTGAACTTAGTTAACATAACTGATTTTAATCACAGGATGACGATATCCGGATGTTCCAAGGGTAACTCGGCTGGAGGTTCGCTTCATGCAAATTTTGACCCTGTGAATGCTTCTCAATTCTCCGACTACTTGACGGAGATCGTAAACCATTTTCACACCGAGTGGAACCTTACCTTCACCAGCCTTGCCCCCTTTAACGAGCCTTCCTCCGGCTACTGGAACGGAGCGTCAAGTGCTCAGGAAGGGTGCTGTATGGAGAGATCAACCATGATGGCAGTCATTCAGGCCCTCCATTCATCCATTGGGGAAAAAGGCATGAATTATGTCAGCATTTCGGTTGGGGATGAAACTGAGATAAATCAAGAGCTGTTGACTCAAGAAACCTTCACCGAATCAGGAATCGCCAACTTGTACACGAAAGTCAATACGCACGGGTACTCGGACAATGGGAGGGAAAACAGGGCTCCTTTGTACACGCTTTCTAAGAAGAATGGGCACGCTCTCTGGATGGACGAAGTGTACTTAATTCATTCAACAAAGCAATAATTAATTGTAGCGTTTACGAATTCCTCTAGAGTTTAAGTGAGTAAAAAGTATGCTCATCATGGTACAGGGGATGGCAGGCTTCGCCACAAGGAGACATGACTCAAGGGATCGCTTTGGCGGAGAGGGTAGTCTACGATATTAGAAATATGAACCCAGAAGCGTGGGGTAGGTGTTTGGGTGATAGGCTTGTGTAAATCTTATCTGGCATCACTTATTTTATCCTACTCCATGTGTATTGTAGTTTACTGGCAAGTAATGGAAGACCAGCAACCGTGGGCGTGGGGGCTGCTTGACATTCCTTATACTGACCCATCCATAGACGCAATTCGATATAATTCTGGATATCACAGTTTTAAGCAGTTCACCAAATATATCAAGAAAGGTTCCCACTCCTCAGATGCATAATTAATAATCTTGACATATCTCAGATTGAATTTCAAACAGGTTATAAAATAGTACACGTGAGCGATTCAAACTCAATAGCTGCGTATGACGAAAGTTCCAACATTCTGGTACAAAATTTTTAACAAAATAATTAATTACAATATTTTCTAACCCGACCAACCAACAACGTTTTCTTAATTCAACCAGGTCATTGTCACGGTCAACATACAAGGAATAGTTCGAGCTGTAAATTATGATCTGAGATTAGTAGCTTCAAGTTCCACTCCAACCGTCACGGCCACTCGAACTTCAGCAACGGAAGAAAATGCGGATTTGGGAGAGGTCCCCTTGAACGGAGAGTTTGAAGTGATTTACAACGCACCTCCCACCTCGATTACCACGTTCCTGGTAATGAACGCCGTTTTGTCCGATACCTTGGAAAACCTGCTGGTCAACGGGGATTTCGAATCTGTCGGTCGAGAAGGTTGGTCGCTCCTCTACGGAGATCGGGACGACGGTGCCATAAATGGAAACTACGTTTATACCGGAAGTCTGAGTGGATATCTTGACTTTGCCCCATCCGAGTTGTCCCTAATCCAAAATGTGACGGTGCCAGAGAGTCGAACATACTACCTGAGTGCTCGGGTGGCTACGTCATCTTTACGAGCCGTGTTTGGCATCCTCATTAATGGGGAGCAAGGTCGAGAGCTGGGTGTCGGGGTGTCACGAGGGTATGAACCCTACGGAATTTCATTCTACGCAGCTGCTCAGGATGTGATTAGCGTTTATGTCTATGGACCAAGGGGAGCAAGCAATGCACAGATTGACAACGTTGTCCTTCACTGACGAAATATTAGGGCGGAGATGTTAACATGTTTATAGTTATCAACGTACTCTAGTATCATTTCAGTTGTGAATGCAAGTTAAAGTAAGTATTACTTATTAGAATTTTGCAATGAGGACTTGGTACGGCTACGGCATTACACATATAATTTATAGGCCCTCAAATAGATATAGTTGCGTTGTGCTACATTTGTATAAAAATTGTAATTCAGATTAATCCTTTTCGCGAGATCTTGTATTTTCTGAACACGCCAGATACAAGACTTTAGCAAGATTGAGTAATTAGTGACATGATCATAACCACATGAAATAGTGTTTGCACGTAGACTTTATTACGTTACATCTCTTTTAATGTGACAAGCACAAATGCTACAAATGCAATATTATTGCTGTTTAATAATGGGTTGGATTGTGGTGATAGTAATAAAAGCGAACAATTTCAATTTACTTGAACAGCTCGCCAACCAAACATGCACTTAAGTATATTTATGTACTATTGCATATTATTTAGTGTTGCATGTGCGGTGAGACTTTGATCTAATCGGTCTTATAGTGCACAAATTTTCATGAAATGCGTACGCATGCATAAGCTTGCAAAAATATATAAAAGGCAAATGGTGAAGTTGTCAATTTCTCTCTCGCTTTTACTCTACTTCCTTAATCATAATCTGCTTTATTTTACCTCACCAACACTTTGCCGGTGTGGTAGCAAAGCAATGAGGTAGCTACGAGGTGACCATAGAAGTAAGTCTAGATCCTGACGTGTGGTCTATGTATGCATGAATTCTTGCTTTTTAATAAGATGTATTCTGTATCATATAAATGAAGTCGTTTCTACTGCACGGTGTGAGGAATTAAATATCAAGAGCAATTTCCCCACCCTTTGCCATGCAAAAGTCGTCAAATGTTGGAATCCGTAGCTATGCATTTGTTGGATTTGACGATATCCGTAGCGATATGAAATGTTGGATTGCTCTCATAATCTCATACCTGAAGATAATTTGCTAAGGTTAAATTAAAACAAAACCACAAGGTGCAAACATTCTGCATGCATTTAGCGACTGGTTCAGTCATGCACTTTGTTCAATTGTGATTCTTTATTTGTTGATAAAAATAGCGAGTGAGTAAAGTTTTGTGCTTGGAATTTAACTGAAAGTCGAAAATATGAGACTGATTTTGGTAAGTAATGATTTTTGCATACATTTTATAGAAATTACATACAAAAAGTATCATTTTATGATTGTTGGGGTGGGTGCAGATTGTGGTGGCTTCGTTGGTCACTGTAGTTCTGGGAGGTCCTCACCCAAGACACAATAAGATCCGACGTGGGGGGCCCTTTCATCATCACGGACCACCCCCACCTCGACATTACGCTCATCAAAACCTGCACAGCTCAGCACCTTTCAGTCACCATGGGCATGGGCATGGCGGTGGGCCAGCGATAGGTGGAATTAGTAATTACGCTTATCTTGCTGGTGGCGAAGGACATGGTGCACATGGTAAATTTTATCTGCTAGATATTCATACTAACTCTTACGTGACTGATATTTATTGGGATTATGTCGTTGGCAAATTTTAGGCCATCACCACCAGAACCACCATCCTCCCCAATTATTAGGGGGAGGGCAAGAGCTGTTGAGCAGCTTGTCGCAAGCCTACGCCCCTGTGGAGCCTCCCTCACTTTCTGTTGCTCCCATCATCCCATATGAACCAGAAGGTCACTTTCCCGGAGGAGGAGTAGATGGTGGTGGTGGTGGTGGTTATCCAGAACCAGGTCCGGCCCCTGCAACGACCTCAATCTCAAAATCAGTCTACGTCTTCTCAGCCCCCCATGAACCATCGGAACACATTCGTCCACATATCGTTAAGAAGTTTCCACAACAGAAACAGAAACATTATCAAGTAAGACTAGTTGCATCCAAAAAAATAGTTACTTATTCAGAAGTTTGTATTTTCTGCTTTACGACTGTCTCTATTATGTTAATCCAGGTCCTCTTCATCAACGCTCCAAACCCACCCCCACATCCCCAACATACCGTCGAGTTGCCCCCACCCCCAGAGTTGAAGACACAGATTTACGTCCTTGTCAAGAAACCTCAGCCTGCCCCACCAGTTAAAATAATTCCTGGTTCGTACACAGTTAATTTTGCCAAACATGAATATTTAAATGTAAAAATTCGAAACCAAAAAACTATTTCCAACAATCTATTTCAGCTAAAGTTCCGCTAAGCAAGCCTGAAGTGTACTTCATTCGCTATAAAAACAACCAGGGTGGAGGGTGAGTGATATCATACAAAGCTCCATAGATATTCATAAGCTCCATATTTGCATATTTCTTATTTCATTCCTCCCAGATATGCACCGATCCCATCCGACGCTCCGATCACATATCCCCAAGTAATTGACCACGGTGGACACCACGGTGAGCAGCTCATCTATCACGACCAACCTCAACTTCTCCACCAACCACACGAGGAGCAATTTCAACCCTTGGTACAACCAGGCCTGGAATCGCCGCAAGAATACACTTCAATTGTCCCCGTTCAAGAGCATGAACACCAACTCGAGTACGCACCCCATCACCATCAACAGCTCCAGCAATTCCAGCCTGGTCCGGAGGAGTACGTTGTTGGACCACAGGAAGGTCAGTACGGAGAGTACGTGGAAGGGGGTGGTGTCGTTGGAGGGGTACAAGAACAATATGCTCCTGCTACCGTGGGCGACCCATATTCCGATTACAGTCGCTTATCCGCCCATTTCTCCACCGTGACCGGAAGACCTGTCAAACTCCTCAGCTCGAGGCTGTGGAACAAGAAAAAGTCAACTAAACTCAGACGGCGAAAAAACCCCGTCTCCCGAAGCGATGCTAATAATGAGAAATGGACTCCAATTATTGCAAAGAATAAGGTCGGAAAAAGAGAGTTGGATGCAGGCATGTCTGGCATCTAAACCAATTACGTCACGTTCAAATCAAAATATTGCCATGTTATTTTAGGTCTAAATTATTAATTAACAAAAATTCTTTCATAGGTACCATAGTTCATCATCCTATTTACTTGTTAGAGCAATACATATATAGGCAGGGCTGATGCGGTCATTTAATTTTATACGCGTAACTATACATAATCTGGTAAAAGTTTCCCTTTCAACTTACCAATTTCAAAAACAGTTTCCAATACCAGCGAACAAACCCAGTCTGCAGGAGTACATGCCTTGCATAATAATGCAAATTCTTAATCAGATGCGATTTTCTTTCAATTCAATAATATGGGTGGAGTAAGTGGGCAAGATTGCGATTGATCATCAAAACTGCAACAACAACGAGGCAAGTTTTTTTACCACCGCAATAGCCACGGGATATGTGACTTACTATTTAAGTTGCATATGCAGTGTTATGATAACGACTACTAATAATAATGATAAACTAGTCTGTGAAGGAAACGAAAGTGACCAACAAACAATCCACGAGGCTCAGGCACTACTACCAAATGAACCAACGTTAAGCTTGCATTTTTTAACGAATTCTGTTTTTTTATTCCTTTATTCTCCTTTTTTTGCAGTTCATTGTTGACTTTTACTATATGTAATTGTTTCATATTTGTTATATATGCAGTAAAAAGCAAATACTTGTTATTTTTTATTTACACACTTCCTTTTCTGTAAATAAAAGTAAAGCAAAAATGTGTGCGTATATAGATTTCTTTCCGTCGTGCTAATTACAGAGTAAGTTTAAAGCGATGTTGATGTGATAATATGCTGCAGACAACAATATTTCTTTTTATGACAAAAATGTGTTATTACTATTACCTCATTTTGAAAGGGAATGAATTAATGAGAGACAATAGGAAGTTGAACCACATCCGTTGAAATGAAATGTCAAAGGTGCAATTCATTTTAATTGATGACTGACAAGAGTTGTATACACAACGGACGGGCCCATGACTATATACTCCACGTGGTAGGTATGTAACAAATTTTTTCTGATCATCACAATGATCGAGCAATGATTTGATTCTGATTTCATTTGTATTTCGAACTAAGTAAATAAGTTCGACCAACAACGACGTGTCACCTAAAACTTGCCATTCATCAAAATTAAGAAAAATGTCCTCCCATAAAATCAAAAACGCATAACGTCTTTTCATGCTTACGACAAATGCTATGGCTTGACATTGAAACTTGTAAAGAAAAATGGGACACTGATCCCCCTTCACACACACCTCCTCCTACCTTCAACCATCCAAGTTTCACTTTCATTTTCTTACGTGAGAAAATTTTTACAAAGACAAAAAACCGGTTTTATGGGCGCAGTGCGAATGCATACAGTAATTGCAAGAAAGACGTGTACATATCGTAGGGTGCATTCCAAGTAACACTGTAAATACACAAGTACACTGCCCTACGAATACTACGATGAGTCCATAACTCACATTTAAAGTGAAGTGGAAAGTTCCTTTTACTCAACGACAGCGCCTTAATGTTAAGATGCATAACAAGGAAAAAACATACCGCTTTGTCAAAAATAATAATTTACTGACTTTTGAAGCTTACAAAAAAACTCTCGCATTGTAAATGAAATATATTGGTAAACTTGAATGATAAGGTCGTTTTGCTCTTGTGTATGTACATGGAAATAAATACTGGTGGGTCCCACGAAGTCCTCCATGCCAATAGTTCTAGCATTTATTTTCGATTCCAAGGTACTGAACCAGGAGCTGTGTAGTGGGAGGATGACGACGATGACGACGAAGTGGAGAAGAGTGGAGGTCTGTTGGACCCCATTTCCATCGCAAATGCAGATGATGTCGAGGGCAGCATGAAGGATGGTCTAAACTTTTCTCGATAACCACCTTCATTTTCATTATTCACATACTTTTCAGCGATCTGTTCACTTGCAAAGTCGTTCTCATTCTGAGCAATGGCGTTGTAAGAGTCTGAATTTATGTCTGAAGTTGAAGGCAAACCTTGATGATTATTTTTGTATTTGATGAAAAATACTTCTGGGGGAGCTGGAGTTGTCGTTGGGGGTTTTGTGAATTTTATTTCTGGGGCTGACTGAGGTTTTTTGACAAGAACGTAGACGAGGGTCTTTTGCTCCGGTGGAGTTGGAAGCTGAATCTCCACTTGGGGATGAGGTGGGGGATTTGGGGCTTTGATCACGACCACTTGGTAACGCGTTTCGGGCTTCGAATGTGGCACTCTGACGGGCGGAAGTGGACGTGAAGCCTCGTCACCAAAGCTATTTTCTGGGGGGCCGTACACGTAGACAAAGTTGAGATCCTTTTGTTCTTGTTGATTATCGTAGTTGTAGCCGGTGTTGATCTGTTGGTCTGGTCGAGCAAGTGGGTAGTTTACTTGGTCGAGGGGGCTGTTGTAGTATTGTTGTGGAGGAGAAGGTTGCACTCCGTATTGCGTGTTGGGGTTAGAGTCTGGTTGCGACATAATGTTACTCGCAAAGTGATCAGTTTGTTGGTGAGGTTGGAAGTTAGTTTGGGGTGGAGAAGGCTGGAAATTTGTTTGGACAGAATTCGTCAGTAGTTGAGGTTGTGAATTAAAATTTTGTTGAGGTTGTACGTTGAAGTTTTGTTGAGGCTGGAAATATACGGGCTGCTGTGGGGGCACAGGTCCGACTGCCATTGGTGGTGGGGGTCCATGAAATTGTTGCTGGTGTCGTTGCTTTTTTCGTGGTCGCAACCTATCCCCAAAGGAAATGCTGAAACTATATGATTTTGGTGGACGTGAAGGTGGTCCATATGCTTGATTTTGTTGTGGGGGTGATCCATATGCTTGATTTTGTTGTGGGGGTGGTCCATATGCTTGATTTTGTTGTGGAGGTGGTCCATACCCTTGATTTTTTTCCTGGGGTGGTCCATATGCTTGATTTTGCTGTGGGGGTGGTCCATAGGCTTGATTTTGTTGTGGAGGTGGTCCATACCCTTGATTTTTTTCCTGGGGTGGTCCATATGCTTGATTTTGCTGTGGGGGTGGTCCATAGGCTTGATTTTGTTGCTGAGGTAGTCCATAAGCTGGCGTTTGCTGTGGGGGTGGTCCATAGACTTGATTTTGTTCCTGAGGTGGTCCATAGGCTTGATTTTGTTGTTGTGGTGGTCCATACCCTTGATTCTGATTTTGATTTTGTACTTGATGGCTCGCAAAATTTGGGGGATTTGGTTCGGCAGAATTTTGACTTTGATTTTCGTTACCATGTTGGTGATTTCCTTCCTGGGTAGTTTGACTCTCTGGTTTCTTTCTTTTCGATTTTGAATCTAAAATTCACCATAAAATTTATACAGTAAGTCTTCATTTTTTTTAAAGCTTATCAAAATATATTGTACCGATTTTAACGCATGAACTTCTTACCTTTAAACAGACAAAGAATTCGATCAGGATCGCCTAATCGCTGCACATTGTAGACTGGCTCCTCTGGTTGCTGATGGAGTAGCCCCGAGAGAACATTTGCAAATTGACCATCTTTGAGGATATCCTGTCCGCTCGTTTCCATAATCTCATCTTCGTCAGCTCCAGCAACGGCATTATTGCGGTTATAATTTGCACGCACTTCGCTGACACCAATCGTCATGAAACCCATCCATAAAGCGACAATGGCCAATCTCTGAAAAAAATATTCCCAAATTTTTTCTATCGGAAAATAAGTACAAGACATCAAAGCAACCTCAATATCACCTTAATATGTCTCATTTTGCCTCCTAAAAGGAAATCTCAACTCTCCTCTTGTTTTTAACGTTAGCTCACGTTATATATATATAATCACACTAGGCAATGGGACTCATCACCTTACACATTAAATAAAAAATTAAATAAATATTTCTGTGCAAAGGAAGCAATCCACAAGAGTTTTATCCCTGCAAAAAAGGATAACTGAGCCAATGTCCAACTCGCATTTGGTTTTTGTCTCTTGCAGAAAAAAGAAGATTCCTACTGATACGATGGGAAACGTGGAGCGGATATCGAAAATAAAGTCATCTTTTTGTGAAGATGAGTCAAAAATGAAGATGAGATGAAAGGGAAAATCAACTTGGCTCATGCCTCGCTTAAATGAATGGTGCGGTCAAGAGTTTGTAATCAACGATCATCTTCACTTTCTGCGAACCCACTCGTTCCCCACAAAAGTGACCCATTAGCACCCAATCTTGAAAAAATTTGCATTTCCCATATTATTATGTTGTCAAATCTTACTTAGATTGTAGGTATTGCCATAAGTCACTAGAAGTGCCATTCTTCGTTGCATTGTGCAGATATCTGCCTGTTGTATTTGAATGGGGATTGTTAGCTTGTACTAAATAACTCCCAATCAATCAAGTTATATTGGAATTATTATTTACGACGATAAGGACACAGCAAAGCTTGACTATTGAGCTAGTTCGTCCAGAGTATATAATCATTTTTATTATATGCTATACAAAAATTCGCCCCCGCAAATCATTGCAAATTGTGACCTAGTTAAAAACTAAAAGAATTGGTTCCATCATTAACAATTGCGTCACTAACTCTAGAAGTATTTAATAAAATGATATATTGTTCTATTTTGCCATGATTTCATAGCACATATTTACATACATATATATATACAGGTACAGCATATACGCATATAATACACCCAAGCTAAAAATAAAAATAAACAAAATGACAAATTCCAACACTATGCGCGTATGAGCACTCTTTGATATCGTGGACTCGCATAATTGTTTATGAGCATTTTCTGGAGCCAAATGTCGCGTCCTGCGTGCTCCACCGCGATCTGTTTGCGTGCATCCGAGTCCGCGCCAGGATAAGAGGAACCCTTCTTCCAGCGCTCCACTTTGCCTGAGTCAACCAAAGTGTGCGGACGCTCCAAGAGTTTTTCCAGGCTCACGACCATCACATGAGCTCAGTCATTTTGTCCCCACTATCAGCAACAATTAAAATCAAATTCCCGCAGACCAGGAGCAATTGAGCGTGAAACAAGGGGACTCAAAGCAATAAAATGGCTCCGTCCTATAGTAAAAATATTGTTACAAATCCGACTATTGTCCCAGATCTTCAAGGAAAATTTCCGTGTTTCTTTCCAAAGTGCCCATGGACGTTTGAGAGCCATATTCGAGCTATTACACATGTGGCCCAAGCCCATTTGAAGGAAAAAAGTAAGTCAGCTATTCAAACGCATTATACACCCGTGAGTTTATTGTTTTGTGTTTATAATTTCAGTTGATAATGTGGGTGAAGGTGAAGTGGTGGAATTATCCGCGGAGAGTTCTACGAAGAGTTCGGATATAAGGCTAGGTTCGAATTTCGAATATAAATAATGCTGTTTTCCTGCATACATAATTATAATTTATCGTTGTGCTGTACATTTTTGCTCTTTTGTACAGAGGAGGAGGAGGAGCTTGAACTTCTTGCTGAAGTCATGGACAACGCATGGGCTGATCTTAAAAATCCACCCAAGATCTCCATAGTCATTGTGCCTCCCAAAAGCACACCGAAGTACCAGCCACGCTTCGAGCCCACTCCACTCTGGAAAATACCTCCACTGATGAGGAGATCTTACAAAAGAACATTTAGGAAGGTGATGAAATAGTAGAAATTGGATGGAACTGAAGGAACTTTTTTACTATATTGATTTAGATAATTTGAAATGTTGACTTATATTATATCTGATTAGATTTATTTTCTTTTTTTTATTCCTTTATATCGTTTTGTATTTGATAATAGATTTTGTAGTTAATAAAAATTTTATTTATTTCCCAAAAATTGCAAAGTGTTATTCTAAATGGTGTTCGTTATTCCGCAAAGGATTTTATACATTGCATTAAATGAAGTTTCTGAAACGGTCTAGTTTAGTAGATTGTTTACAGATACTTATTTACATTAATAAAAGTATATAATTTATTTATTTAATCATGAGAGCATGCACCAAAAAATTGAATAGTTTATGACTAACTTCCATCCTCTCATTATTGCTCAAAGTATTGTGGAACGATCTACGAGCACAATTTTTTAAATTTTACAGTTTCATTTTTTCATCTACATACATAAAAGACTTTAAAATTCAGAAATAAGTCTAACCTAACAGCCTAATTATTTAATCCCTATCAGCTAAACAAATAAAATTGTAAACTATGTCTCCGTTTTACTTTTCCAATGATCAGGAACGAGCATTGATGGTTTAATTGCGACTTTGATGCCTCTGGACGTAGACTTACTCTTGGTAAGACTTTTATTTCTTGACATTGATTTCGTTGAAATGGGAATGAACAAATCATCTTCGCCACTGCTGGACATTAGATCCACGTAATCCATTGCCACATAACCAGCCTTATCAAAATGACTTCTGGAACTGAGAAACTGTGAAATTTATAAATACATAAGTCATCGGATTAGCTATCATATTACAAATGCAATGTATGCATGTATTTATAGCATACGTATTTATGCAATACACTACACAGAATACATAAATAAGCAAGAAGAAAGTGTAAATTTGTTACATCAAGATTCCTCCAATGGTATTCCCTCAAGTTCAAACCAAGGATTTCCTGATGACACCGTCGTGAGTAGGGGTACAATCTGAAGCCAAAAGTGGTATTGAGGTACTTAAAGTTGTGGTCATACCATCGTCGCTCGTCTTCGGGGTTAGGAATTAGCAAAGTACGTGGAATATGCTCCAAATCCAGTACCTGTTTTGATTATCCATCCACCGATAAGAGATAGTTTTGTTTATTTTTGAAAACCCCAAGTTTACTTATATGCATACATTTAAATACATATATTGACGAAAATTTCCTAGTATACTAACCTGTAGCGATTTCAGTGCCTGGATTCCTGCACTGTTTCTCCTCAGCTCTGATAAATCCTCTTCATCTTCCAGAGGCAGTTCAATGTTGTAATATCTCGCATAATCTCCAAAATGTTTATATTCCTTCAACGTTCTCAGTACAGTTTTGGAAGAGTCTGAAAGAGAGTTCCTTTCGTCACGACTCCCAGGAAGGAGACACGACTCCAAGGTTGTCTCAAAGTCAAACTGGGTTTTGATATATAGTTCTTCCAGAGCTGATGAATTTTCATACGACTTGAAAAATGTTCTCAGCACCGGGACGGACGGGAGATAAATCCATACTTTTCTCAAGAGCGGAAAGAATTTCCCAACCTTCTGAACAAATGAAGGGTCTTTCAATCCGTCCGGAAGTTGCATCTCTTTCAATTGACTGCTTCCCTTTTTACTCGCATTTTGTGGAAACCGGACGGCCAGATCCCATCTGCTACCACATCTTAATTCACCAATGAAATATATATAAAATACAAATTATTATAGATCACTCTAAATAAATTCAAATATCAAAATATTTTTACCGGAAAATTTTCAATTTCCTTAGCAGAGAAAACCCACACTCTTCCAATTCTATCAGATTTCCGAGTACAACTTTCTCCAATACTGGAAAGTCCGTATGTCCAAGGACTAATATAAGTTTAAGAGGGCTTAGTTCATCATGACCCCCAAGGTGAGAATCATCATCAAGTCGGATCTCTCGCCATCGCTTGGATGACGGATTTTTAGTGTCCATTGAATCTGAGACGAAGTTGTATTTTGGGCAAACTGTAAGCTCTCTTAAGCTGGACATTTTTCTGGGAAACGTTATACTTAATTTAGATTTGTCCAGGCCTGGGCGTCCCTGAAACGTATACAATGCTGCATGATCTTTTTTCACTAATATAAATAGTTTTTTCTCTAAAAAAATGCCATACTTTTAGTCCTCCGTGTATGGTCACAGATTCGAGGCTATCCTTGCCGACTTCTAAAAGTCTCTCAAGAGTCGTCAAAATTTCATAATCCTGCGTCACGAGGAGCCCATCTCCAAGTTCAATATCCACCCATGATATTCCTCCTCCGGCTTCTGCGAGCTTAACGACCACGTCTAATTCCTCTTTGGTAATCACAGCCTTTTCCTCTTCTCCTTCCCTCGCCAGACACAAGAGTTTCAACGAGTTTAAAGATTTCTGGCCACTTTCACCAATCACATTCAGCACTTGGATAACTTGGTCGCTGTTACTTTCTTCCCTGTGGTATCGCATGGAAAATTGCTTGAGAAAAGTAGCATGTTTGAAAACATTTGTCAGTAGTTTCAGCACTTTTGACCAGCATCTTGGAGGCCTGAATGATAAAAATATGAAACACACTTGAATACACAGTTTATAGTTTTGACTTAATTGATTGTGTACCTGTTTATATCATCACAAATTAAAACTAGGTGGTTCACATGTCGGGCGCATTTCTGAACAAATTTCTGAAAAAGTTCCAAGTGTAGTTCATCGTGAAAATCGTTGGTGTGAAGTAGACTCATTGTGATATTCCAAACTGATAAGTTTTCTATAATTTCAGGATTTTTAATAAACTTGTTCAATTGCTTAGTGGAAGTATTATGGAGCAGAGAGCACACATCCAGGACATCTCGAAACTTAGAGGATTTCCTAGACTTCTTTGAAGTTGAAGGTAGATTATTTACAGCACCCTCATCGTCATCAGAGCTTTGCACTAAATCCTGTAATATTACATCGATCGATACACAAAATTATTAAGTGATTATGAGATTTCTCATATTTTGTCAAATTGTAACGTCTCTGCTTCTTTATGTGTATATGTACATAGTCACCTTGTAACTAATTACAGACCGTCTTCGTCGTAGACCGTAATGACTAGAATTCTGCCCAGTATCTTCTGTGATATCGTCTTGGTGGTCGCTATCGTCAGCCAGAGTTATTTCAGAGGGTTGACTGTTTGCCTCGGAGGATTGTGCACAATTTTTCGAACAACTTCTTCGTGAAAGTTGGACAATGTCCATGTCGAGGTCTGAATTGTTATCTTCCTCTTCATCATTAGACGATGTGCCGTTATTTGAAGGGAGGATGGTAGGGAGTTCGTTTAAGGTGGATGACGATTGTTCCGGTTGATATATTTCGTCCATTTTATTAGTGATAATTGTCAATTTTATTTACAACGGAATAATCTTGCACGATTGTTACTGTTACATACAATTATATTTTAAAAATACGGTACTTATTAAAGTACATCCAAATTTAAAATTACACACTTGTCACCTGTGTCTACTGTCGGTACAGTAAAATATGAATAATTTTTTCAATACTTGAGTAAAATTACTTTTTTTACAGCTTGCTAACTAAGTCACTTAAATATTCATTAAGTAATTTACAATTACAAAAGATTTACAATTAAATGCTGAAGATTCCTGGATTGGTTTTGTGTACATAGTGCATATGTACTTACGATTTACCGTACTTACAATGTATATACAATACACAGGTTTGGGCAATTCTTCAATCTCATATTTCATTTTTGTCTCACTTTATCCACACTGTCAACTGTCGTAAGTAATGAACTTTCGGAGTCTTATTCCATACATGCATCGGATAAAAATAGTTACAACATTAACGTCTTATTTAATGCACGTATGACGTATAATACGTCACGTATTAAATATATCCATTTGATTAGTAGTTTTATTTTTACAACATTTATGCAGTACTTTATGAATGCATATACATATGTAATTGTAATTATTATTCTACAAAATTAGTCAAAAATTAATAGCATTTTTTTCAGTTTACTCTATTTGTCATCTGCAATTCGTTTTCAAGACATGCGTAGAAAAAGATGGCAAAATTATTCGTAAAGATTTTTGGAAAAATTAATTACTTTTGGAAATTTACACTTTTTCCCATTTTTTACTTCCTGTGTAAATGGTATTAATGTATAAATAATGTATTCTTCAAATTCAGACATGCATCGTATCTACGTGTGCATATAAGTATGTACACATATTTGCGCATCAATGCACCGGTATTGATTGATAACAACAATAAATATTACATTCCTAAATAGAGACTTATCTTTTCGTTATTTTCTACCATATTTTGGCAAAGTTTTTCTGCTGCAATTGTCACAAATAATATTTACAAGAGTTTCGAGTAATCAGAAACCTTAACGCAAATATGTGTACATTCGCCTCAATATTCACTCCACCGTAAATTCATATAAACACTGCACCAAAGACTAGACAGGGAGCAAACAATGCAAATTTTGGACAAACAAACAACTGACCAAAAATAAATATAGGAAATGTTTCGGGCAAAATTTGTTTCCAGGTTTATGCATTATTTGTTGAAGCTGGAACTAGCTTTTGCAGATATGCTACTAAACTAAATAACTTATATAACACCAGTGTCACCAAATTAACAAAAAGTGCCTACATAAACCCCCCACAAATTGTGCATAGTCTGCATTCTGCATACCTGCCTCTACCTCAGCTCTAGAATTCTCAACTAGAATCAAAATGAACAATGTCATTATTCTCACCATTTCTTTGTACTTTCAAATCTCTTTAGGACAAAGTGACGAACTTGGTAACATTTATACATCTACAAAATAAGATTCAATCGTACATATGAGCATAATTATTTATTTAATGCAGGTTTGGAGCCTTTGTCCCAATGGGGTGGGAAAACGTACTTCATAAGCTCAAAAATGGTACCACGCATAATATTCATGTATAACTGACAATGGTATAATTCTTAAAGTACTTATTCTAATTTTTGCTGCTAACTTGTACATGTTCAGGTGGCTGCAAATTCGGCTGCCGAAATCTGTTCTGTGTACGGGTACAAGCTCCTGAGTATCGAGGATGACAATGAAAACCAATTTGTAAAGGAGCAATTACAGCAACTGCATCAGAAAGGTGAAGTGCAAATTGAAAGTCAAGTCGTCATCGGGATAAGCTACATTTCTATTTTTAGGCAATCTTTATTTTGACTGTCGATTCATGAATGATTATGATTTCCTTTGTAGACCGCAGCGTTGGCGACGTGTGGACAAGTGGGGTCGCTCAGGCCAACTCGACCTTCACGAGGACATTCTGGCTCAGCGGTGGTGGCTCCTTCGACCCCGATTCTGACTATTCCAGTGCGCAGATGGAATTCATGGATTTTTCCAAGATTGTTCATGTGGGAATCAGGAACAAAAAAAGACAGAAAGAGAATAGCGTCATACGAAATCGGAGAAACGCAATTTACAGCAATTGGAGAAGTTACAACACGAATACCAACCAACAAAAGCAACAAGCGTACAATAACCAACAGCAAACCTTGTATGATGACTGGCAAAACCAATATCAACAATTGACAACTGCAAGATACGTAACACAAGAACAAGCCCAATATTACCAGAATCCTTATCAGGACAGCAATTATAACTACCAATATTCCAACCAATATTACGAAGCTCAGGCCCCGGCTCCAGTTCAGGTTTCCGCACAAAATGAGTACCAATACCAAAATCAGTACCAGAACCAGTACCAAGCTCAAGTTGGAACTAATCAGTACGGATACAGTTCCAATGTCAATCAAGCGATAGAGATTCAGCGTCCTGGCTCTAGTAATCGATGCAATTGCTCGTGCGACTACTCCCCTTATTGTGACCGCACCCCAAAATGCACCGTAGATTTGCAGCCTTGTGTAACTAGAAAACGAGAATGCTCGTATGATACTCCCACATGTTCGGCAACAAGAGGTGAGCAAGTACGATGGCAAGTGTATTCATTATGCAAATAATAAGCGCACATTTATTAATGACATCGTATATCAACAACCTTTGCTAGGAAACTGTTCTGCTGCGTGTCCCCCTTGCACCATCGACCCACCCAAATGCACGGTGACTCAAGGGGCCTGCAACGTCACTACGGCCCCGTGCACTCTCCGAAAGCAACCAATATGCACCTTGAGAGCTGAGGAGTGCACCACAACTCGACCTCCCTGCACCACAAGACCGGGTAACTGCTCGGTAAAGAAGTCAAAGGTGCCATGTCCAACAACACCAAAATGCAGGCCAGGAGGCTGTGAATCCGTTCAGCCCCCATGCACCAAGGAACAAGGACCATGCACACTTACCACAGGTGATAAATATTTGTATCAAGTATTATACTAAACACAGGTCAAGCGAATTTTAAAAATGCATCATCAATAAAAATATGATAGGTCCATGTCCTGCTAACAGTGGACAAATGTGTCAGACTCAGAAATGTCCTGAACCTATAACCAAATGCCCTCCACCTTATACAACATGCCGTCCTTTTATCGACTGTACTCCCATTATCTGCCAATCACCTCTAATTGTGTGCCAAGAACCTACCACCCATTGTCCCAACCCGGTCACGTATTGTCCACCAGCCACCATAGTTTGTGGAGAGCCTGACATTTTTTGTCCAGAACCAGACATCGTTTGTCCTGAGCCAGTTGTTAAATGTTCCAAACCAATCGCCGTTTGCCCCAAGGGTGTCTCTTGTCCTGGAGTTATCACTCATTGCACTGACGCAAAGGTCACTGCTTTCATATTAATCGCAATTGCATAACTAATATAAAAATTGTTTATGCATGTTGTAACTTGTTTCTTTTTGCAGGTTCGATGCAATACTCCGGAAGTTTCGTGTCCCCCTCCTAAAATTGAGTGCCAGCCTCCACCAACGTGCACCCCACCTGAGGTTCCCCCCTACCCAGATCCAGTCTGCCCACCCGGTTATGAGGACTGCTGTGATCAGAAGCAGTCGTATTATCAGCAAGGAGATCAGGCACCGCAGGGCGATCAACCAGTACGCCAAGAAGATGAGCCGAGTGGTTATCAAGAAGATGTCCCCACCTCAGACGTTATAGCAAATTCTACCCTATCAGATAACCAGGTGGCCGAGAAATTAGTGGTAATCTTTATTACACATCAACATTATTGTGCGTGTTATTAGTATACTTTTACGTGAGAAATATGCAATGGCATGATTTTATGATAGGACAATGATCCGAAAGAAGTAGATGTCATTCATCAAGTGGCAGACGAGGACGTTAGTCGCAACCACTTTCGTTGTATCGGGTTGGCTGAAAAGCATGCCTTCAAATGGGACTTGAAACATTGTACAGATAAGCGAAGGTTCATTTGCGAAGAAGGCACAAGCGATGAGTGAAACTTATTTACATGGTAGATACGCAAATATTTCTGTCGTAAAGTCATAAATACAATCATTTAATAAATAATAAAAGTATTGTACACGATAAGTACAAGCAGGAAGCTTTATTTCACTTTTTATATCGTGGTGACAAAAATTCTCTACTTGATCTTTCACAGTAAATGAGTAGCTGGTTGACACTTTACTTAAACTTGCACCCTGATCCCGAGTCCACTACTTCTATCCCCCCAGTTGTTGTTGCTCGTTGCAGATTGATCAATTTCAACAGTACCCCGAATTCTCAGTGAACGTAAACTCGCTTCTGTAACGCCACGACAGTACCGTACTTTGAGCGACTGTAGACTTTTGCAGTACTCAGCCACACTCCTAAATATCAGCAAAACACATAGAATAACTTTTCGTGTTCCTCATCATCTCCCTCAAGAAAATATTTTGGTCACTATTTCGTACTTGATGCCATGATCCGTAACTCCACAAGCACTCACATCCACGTGCGTAAGGTTTGGACAAGATCGGGAAATCAAAAGTAGTGTGGCATCATTCACTGCCGGCATAAATGCCAATTTTATTCTTTTCAACCTGTAAATGTCCAAAAATAAGTCACATAATTCACATTCTTCTCGTCCGTAAGGCGTAATAGTGGTTCACTTTCGTACCTTCCAAAGCGCATAATAAAGTGCCCAAGTAGTTCATTATTGATTGATTTACACAATGAAAAGTCTACCCGTTCCAACTCAGTGAGATGCGTCATCACTAATTCAATTGATTGTGGGGTCACCCAGTTGCAACCGCTTAGTCCAAGTACTTTCAGTCCCTTTAGCGTTTAATATGAAATGTTTTATTACTTTTTGTCATTGTCGCAGAATGTCTTCTTAACATTATAAGTACTTTGCAACCGAAAACGAGTCGGTGTACACATGTCCCATTCAAATTGGAACATCCACTCAGGTCCGCTTCCTGGAGTTCCTTATTCGTCGTAAAGAGTTGTGATAATGAAGCGTCGTCCACCCAGTCGCAATGTTTTCTTAATCGGAGGACCTTGAGCTTCGTACAGTTTCTGAATACTCGCTAAATAAATTTTTGAAAATTTCAGAAAATGGGACGAATAAAAATCGTGTCTTTATTATTTTATACTTTATATGCTCACTTGAAATGCAAAGGCACTGAAAGATCCAAGGATCTCAATCTCCTTCAAGGTTGAAAAATATTGGTCCATGCAACTTCTTCCCATAGTGCTAACTGATCCTAAATGGAACAAGTCTTTCCATTCTAACAACGGAAATATTTTTCTAAATGTAGAATAAGTTCAGTTTCCAAAATGAATCATCCAAGGCCAAGCTATTAATGTAATGGTACTTACGAGAATAAAATATGTTCCCAGTGGAGATCAAAAAATGCACTTTTTTTATCCATAATTTGTACTGTGGCTACGATTCCAAATATTGAAACTGCATAATTTATAGAAATGATCACTGCACAAAGTTATTATAATTACTCCCTATTTGTCTCTGTGAATTTCAAGCATGAATATGGAATTATGCAGATATATGTATGATTTCTGAATTTCTGATTTGTTAATAAAACAACGAATAACAGGAAATGTATGTAGAATCGGTTAGTTCTGATTCGGAGAAATAGACATCCCCGGGTTTTTTACAGGGAAATATTTGATGATGGCCTTCTAGAACAGCGAGACCGAGGCGTACATATGTAGATACATACCCAGTGGCTTATTTCTTTTGTAAATTATTTATTTTAAAAAGCAACTGAATAATCGAGTATCTATTCACTACCCAGCTGACCAGATTTACTGAAGAATTACAGGCATATTGCGATTACATTTACATTTACAATGCACTCATGCAAATGTGTACAACTGTGCACAATGTGAAAAAGTAATCAACTTTACATAATCCCTGGCAAGAGAATGAGACATAGACAACGCTGAAATACACAAAAGTTTGGATAAATTTGCATATATGAGTGAGAAATTTGAATTACTGAAATTTTGAGTTTGAAGACGCATTTACGCATTAGGTTTACGGTCGATATATAATTCAATTATCGCACTCAATCACGATTCGCACGCTTACCACTCATGCATCAATAAATTTGCAAAATTTAATCGCATTAAATTCCGCCTAAAACAGAATAAAACCAAATAAAATATGTTCCCTGTGCGTCATTCTATCGTTAATCCTGTCCAATTGTTGCTTGAATAATCAAAATGTGTAAAATATGTCGAATGCAAAAGCACACCATGCATGGCACGAGCCAACATCTTTCAATCAACAACACCTGAATTGTTAGCTCGTTAATAATACCTACATAAGAATTATTTATATGATAATTTCCGCAATAATAAAATCTTTGTCGCGTTTACTACGCTGCACAATTGACAAAACGATAAATTATTTATTACTGAGCTGGAAAATATTTTGTTTAAAATCCACTTTCATGCGGATAAAGGTATGACATGTAATGCTGCGAGATGTTGACTTTCGACTCCTCCTCCCAATCACAGCTAAGTTACTGTTATGTCTTAATTAGCATATTAGTATATATACTGAAACTAGCATGATAAGTGAACCATTTTATTTTACACTTAATATCAGTCATCATACATCAAGCTAAACCTCTATTGGTGAGCATCTTTAGAAAGCCTTATTTTTTTAGCAAAGTAGCAGAGTTCAAGTATTCAAAAGTTGCAGAAAATTTTCTAAAAAAAACTGACTTCACAGGAATCGTAGAAACCTAATCCTTAATCTCACCAATAGTAAAACCTCTCCTAACATAAGAAAAAAATTACGAAGAAATAGGTGAGTTATTTGTTACACATGCAAGTTTGTGAATGGTATAACTTTAAAGTAGAATTTTAATTTCAGAGTTTCTACAAATTCAACAATGTCCACAAAGACCCTGCTTCTAGTTTTTCTAGTCGTTGTTCTCGCTGCAAAATTGACATTTTCGCTTCCGATGAGCATCATTGATTCTAAGACATCAAATAACATCGTTTCCGAAGGACATGAGGTGCGAAATTTTGTGGACGATTCGACATGCAACTGGCATTGCCAACGCCTTAGAAATTGTGCTGCTCTGCAGTTTATCATTCAAACTCTAAACTGCAACCCTGCTCCTGCTGGGTGTTCCTGCTGAACAGAATGCGTCTCTAAATTAAGCATGCCTGAAATCTTCATTGTGCCATAATAGTAATGTGTATATGATATAGTATCAAGATTCCTAAACTTTTTAGCTTGTTTCCGTGGAGGAAATGTATTAGGATTATGTAATACATGCCATGTTTAACCTTTTAAAAACGGATTCCACCAATAAGGTGGAGGGCGATTTCGATCTCTTGGCGACGGACTACACCAATAAGGTGTAGGCCAAATTTTTCGCCTTAGCGACGGACTACACCAATAAGGTGTAGGCCAACTTTTTCTCGTTGGCGACGGATTCCACCAATAAGGTGTATGGTTACAGAATTCCGTTGAGACCGGGCTACATCAATAAGGTGTAGGAAAAAATAAAAATAAAATGACCGAGAAAATTTTCTCAGTTCCATTCTTTCCTCCTTATTTGTCGTTGGTTTTTCTTCAAGCCTGAACTAATTTTTTTAGAGTTTAGAGTTGTAGTTGTAGTGGGGGGAGGAACTCGGAGGAAGTGCATCAGAGGTCACGCCGCGCCCCCGAAAAATTATCCAACATTGGCGCCGCTAATAAATTGGTCGGCGTTGACCTCTGACCTGTATCATGTTGTAAATATGATACAGTTCATATTTTTTTTAAATTATCACAACGTTCTCTTTAGCTAATATATTCGCAATAGTGTCACCACCGATCGGAACAAGTCACAGAACACTGAAGGACAAAATTATAGCTAATAACTTGTTTAAAATATAAAATGCATCCCAAAATCAGTGTCATCAAATTGATGACATGAATGATGACGATTTATTCGTTTAGTTTATTTTTGTAGTACTATCAAAATCAAATCCGATCTTTTTATCAAAATTAATATCGTGTGTTCATTTGGTTCAGTTGCAATTTCATGTTAAAAATGTATTATGTTCTAATTTTTGTTGTCGAATCAGTTCCAGGTCTCTAATAAATCATAACTGCATCAGTAGAATATTCAAAATCGGTTTGCATTAATTCAGTCCCCAACTGATTTTATCACCGCCCCACAAGTCGGTCTCAATAGTATTCTGCCCCCCAGTAAATCCGCCCCCAAATGCAATAGAAACCATTTTTAATTCCGTTTTTAAATGGTATCCAGGTCAAAATTAATTAGTTTTTATAAGGTTAATAAATTTCGTTTATTTTTCTTAGGTGAGGCATAGTAACCATGACCACATGGAAAAGTGCATGGTTACGGCGAAGCCTAAGGAGGGGAGCTTGCGAGGTTGATAATAACAGATCTTGATGCCCTTTGGATATGTGGTAGGGACCCATGAGTGTACTAAAACCCTGAAGTAGTTTGACTCCATGGCCACATTTGCGCCCGCCACACCCACTCAAAAATGCCCAAAAACGCTTTCACTCGAGTTTTCACTCACTCAAATCCACGTCAAAAATCCAATTTTACTCGGATTTTGAAATTTCTTTCACCATTATACTCCCAGATAGTTGCTTTCTTCAATCCAATATCAAACTCAATTTTATTGATGATTATTTCGCAAACATAATTTGTTTTGTTGATGACTACAACAATGCTCATTCAGAATTTTAAATTTTAAAAATACTAAAAATTTCGAAAAAATTGAGTTTGATATTGGATTGAAGAAAGCAACTATCTGGGAGTATAATGGTGAAAGAAATTTCAAAATCCGAGTAAAATTGGATTTTTGGCGTGGATTTGAGTGAGTGAAAACTGGGGTGAAAGCGTTTTTTGGACATTTTTGAGTGGGTGTGGCGGGCGCAAATGTGGCCATGGAGTCAAACTACTTCAGGGTTTTAGTACACTCATGGGTCCCTACCACATATCCAAAGGGCATCAAGATCTGTTATTATCAACCTCGCAAGCTCCCCTCCTAAGTATGCAAACAGACCCCACTTCCAAATATTCTGCCAAAGATTGCGGCAAAACGACTAATCGTATCAAAATGGTGTAAAAGGCAACGTGCAGACCTTGCTGGGTAGATGATGCCCGTCAGGTCTAGAAACATGACATTCTTATTTTAACCCATTTAAAATCGATTTTAAACTTTCAAACGACTGGCAAATTCACTTTTACCATGCAACGGTTGTGTCGTACCTATGTTTTATTGTGCGCAAATCTATAACGCGTCATTTAAAACAAACCCGAGCAAAATCGGATAAGAAATGAAGGGCTTTTCTTGGTAGCATCTGCAACCAGTTCGGTTACTTGTAACAGTCGTCCATTACTTATCATGCATACCTAAATACGAGGTTTCCATTAGTAACCAGCATAAGAGAAACAATTGAGACGTACTGACGTATCTAAATATGTGCCTCTACATGTACACTCTTAGAAATCCAGTATTAAAATAATACCTAGCGGTATTCATATATGACTTTATCAAAATGGATTGATAAATAATACTGTGTAGGAATAACTCGGTATTAATACGTGGTATTGATCCGTAGTACTGTGCAGTAAATAATAGTTTGGTGTTAAAGTTTTACCATATAGGTAGCAAAATATTACGGACTGTTATTTATGATTTTAATACCAAGTGGTAACAATTTTAACACCGAGAAATCAATACATACATACGTGACTATATCAAATTTCTAATAGTGTATATATAATATTGATTCATATTCTTACCTACCCACACCCACAGGAGAAACGAATTTACACTTTTAGAAATCTGCTATTAAAATAATACCAAGCGGTATTCACACACTACTCCATAAAACTGGTATTGATAATATTTGATAAGTATCATACTTTAGCTTTAGTCATAGCTTTGTAGCAAAATTTAACTGACCGGTACAATTCTAGTACCAAGCGGTAGTAACTTTAATACCGAGAAATCAATACTTGCCTGACTATATCAGATTTCTACAGTATATGCATTCACACTTACATATAGGGGAATTAATTTGGTATGCATCTACACCCTAGGGGGATAGTTAATTTGGAAAGTACCGATTTACTTGTAGGCTTAAAAACAAAAAATAAATTAAATTCTTTAAAAAAAGCTTAGGTGAGGCTTGCTTAAAAGGGGAAAACAAGCTATTATCATCGTACACTAAAATAATGTGGTGTATCAGTGTTTATCCCAGAATTTATAATTTTCGGTAAATATCCCAACAAATAATATGCATTAGGGACCATTTGCCTCACCGTGGGCCGTGTTGTGATAAAAAGAATTGAAATAAATTTTCAATTTTTATTAATGTCGTAATTGGGGTTGAGTAATCCAATTTGTTGTTCTTTAATACATTGCTGTGCGTTCCTCATTTTGAGTAATTAGCTCTGATCATGAGTAAGAGTCATCAAATTCATGACACTGAATTTTAAAAATTTTGTACTACGTCAATAAATTTTTGAAATATGTATATTCATGCTGCTCATCAAAGATAACGTCATACTCAAATAGTGACGAAGTTTAATTATAGTAGATTCTTCATACCAATATATAATATCCATACTTATATATATCTAGAAGGTAGATTTGTATCAAACAAGAAACAACCGATCACGGCCCACGGTGCGGCAAATAGTCCCTAATGCATATTATTTGTTGGGATATTTACCGAAAATTATAAATTCTGGGATAAACACTGATACACCACATTATTTTAGTATACGATGATAACAGCTTGTTTTCCCCTTTTAAGCAAGCCTCACCTAAGCTTTTTTTTAAGAATTTAATTTATGTACATTACATCTTTATTGAACGACGTTCCCACGTTCCTTTCAACTACCAAATCAAAGTTTCCATGAAAATGCCATAAAAATTTCCAACCAAACCTTTGTCTGCAGCACGAAAGATTACAGTCTTTTTTGTATAAATTATGGCTCATCCATTTTCCACTACGATCTTAAAAATTTCTGTTCTATTGCATATTGTATAAACAGTTTACAAGTCTGATAATTCATCTATTGCAATAATTTTACGAGATGGGCAACATGTGCGGTTGTGGTAAGAAAAGTAGTGGCGAGAAAATTGGTGGTCATCCTCACGAACTTGGTGTTAAGGAACGGTGAGTGCAGCAATAATAGCAAATTTTAACAAGTAGTGAAGTTTTCTTGGTCGATTCTGCAAACAGGACACATCCCTTGATTCAGAAAATTAACGACGGTTCCGAATTCTCGCAAGTACTCCAGAACCCAACGAACAGTGGAAAAATTGTAGTCGCTGATTTCATGGCTCCGTGGTGTGGACCGTGTCAACAAATCTCTCCTGCCGTCGAAAAGTTTGCCGAAGAGTTTAGCGACCATGCTGTTTTCATAAAGGTATGACTATACGGAATCTGACCAAATCACTGGCAGGTTGAAATTTGTGTGCAGTGGTGTGAACAATTTGATGCGACCAATAGATCAACGTTGACGAGAACGATGAGCTTGCAATGTCCTACGGCGTGTCTTCTATGCCGAAATTCATAATTTTCAAGGACGGAGTAAAGCTGGACGAACTTAATGGAGCAAATCCAGAAAAGCTTCACCAACTTATTCTTCAGCACATCACCCAGAAGTGAAATTGAGACCTTTAATTTTGTGAAACGTACAAAAATGTACGCTCAGACTTGGACTGTCACACATTGTAAATTCTCAAATTTCTAGGTTAATTGTGGCCAAATCAATATGCTAAATTTTAGGTGGGAGCGAGGGTAATATAATTTACAGTATTTACTTATCGTGCCTACTTTCCGTTTACCAACGTATTTGTGTACTCTCTGGCGTCAGTCAAGTATTTTCCATAATAAAACAAGATTATTAAACATAATTTTTAGCCGACAGGAAAAAACATGTTTTTATTGATGTACACACCTTCAATTGCTCCGTAGCTATCAATTTGTTAATATTGTTAATTACCTTACCAAATTGTATACAACAGAGGCAAGACTGGATTGCAGGTACAATACATAATATCTTGTTAAACAGGCGATAACTATTTCTGGATTAAAGTTAAAGCCACATTTTTCCGACAACACAAATAAAGAAATGCCCACAGATATCCAATGGTCCCAGTGAGGGTCATTTTCAGTTGAACTCTTGTTCCCAATGAACCATTGATTTTTTTAACATATTACTACTTTGGTGCTCTTGTATAGATTTAACGAACTATGGATTTCTTAAAAATTCTAGTCTTCCTGATTTTAGTTCTTTGCTTTGCTGGACTATCCTCACAAAGCCTTGTCCAGTACTTAGAATTCCATCGAAACACTGACTGCACAGATTTATCCGGAACGCTTGAAAACACTGATTTAACTATTGGGACACGGCCTGGGTTTTTTGATGCAAAAGCTTTCAAAGCAAATGGCATGTAAGGGGAAGAGATACGTAGATTTTCTAAAAAAATAGTAACAATAAACTACGGCACAATTGCTGTAAATAATTACGACTATAATTAATTGTACAGGTGGCGAGTACATTCCAAAATGAATGACACTACCACCAAACTTGATTTAGACTACAGAAGGGACTTGTGCGTCCCTTCGCCGCCTGGACACATGTCTTACTCAGCAGCAGAACGGCTCGGGAATGCGGCTCAGAACATTAGTTTTTTGGTATTTTTCATGGAACGAGGTCTGACTGGGGTCGGGATTAATTCTCAAAACACTTCCGAAACCAATTTACTAAGAACGTTCATGGCACTGTCGTGGTTCTTCGAAGGAGATGATTCGTGGACGGTTTACTCTGGAGAAAATTTTACCGGGGACTCACAATGTCTTGCACCACACAAAGATGTTACGGAATCCCATTACGGCTTCACTTACGACTTTAATTCAAGGCTAATTGTGCGGTCTGGAAAAATTGGGTGCACATCTGGGACCGGCACCACCGGGAAGGGCGTGTCACTAAAAGGATTTGTCAGTACTTTCTTATTATTGGTCGTAGCAAAGGTCATGCAATTTAATCATATTTAGTGTTATCTTCACAATAATGCTTTGGGAAAAATAAAATTATGTCTTCAACATTCAATATGAAGAAAGAATTCAATCAATGCATTATTTTCATGGGTCTCATTTTTTGTGCATGCGACATATTTACCGGAACAAGCAGTCTTGTCTTGTGCAATTAATTGTGCAATATTTTCTGCATACATTGTAAAGCTATTTATTGACAAAGATTTACAAGTAAAAATAAATTCGTAATGTGTTCTCAATTCAGCACGATATGCTCATTCCCCAAGCAGCCCACCCTAACGGATCCTACGACTATGGTCCTCTCCATTGCCGTTGTCACTCCGTACCCTTCAGTTGCATCAGAATGGTAGACTTTCAGGCAGGCTGAAGGCCCCGTGAAATCAACTCCGGCGTACAATGCATAGTCTTTAATTCCAGTGGACGAAAAGACCTCAAAACTTTGTGGGGAGCTCAAGCTGTACTCTGGCGATGTCGTCGTAACGATGTCATCCACGGTAATATTGTCCCTGCTTGGAAAAAGGGCAATTGAGGACTCTTCCAGCTCCACGTTCAGGATCTTGGTGGCGGTGATTGAAACTTTTCCAGTGGGAAGGCCGGTCACACAAGAGTCTCGAAGTCCTCCGGTCACAATAGTTTTCGTTTCCCCATACTCGAGCACCCACCTGCAAATAAAATGTCATTTTTCACATACTTCTATTAGTATTGAGGACCCAGACATGTTTTCTTACACTCCTCGGCCCCTAAAACTGATCACATTCCACGAAGGTGCTGGTATCGTTAAGCTCTCAAATGTATACTGATAGTTTCTTCCAAAACAACCGTAAGAGTTTTCTCTATAGAATTGTGCGTACTGGGGAAATAAGGCTTGAATTGGGGAAAATATGCTTACAAGAAGAACTAATGATGTGATCATTTTGATCTACAAATTCTATTGAACAATGATGTTTTCTGTGAATATATGGGATAAAGAATGCACCTGGAGTGGAATTGAACGGTCAATGAGAACATGACCAGTCCTCACTAGTTATTCGCATTAGTATATAGATAAGTTAGTTCAGCAATAAATACGTATTAAACTTAATCTGTTTGTTATGAGGCTGCAGATCTATTTAATTGGACACGCCCGAATTCACACCCATGTCGAAATTCTTTGATAACCATAAAGGATTAACTGCTACGGAATATTTTCAGCCACTCTCAATCACATATTTACATATTTCGTTTAACTCGTCTTATTTATTGGTTCAAACGGAGTGGTAACGATAATTAACTGACGTCAACTGTTACCTGTTAACCAATATTTACCATAAAAAATGGAAGTCAAGACAAATGCCGATACAATTTTAGAATATTATTTTAACAATAATTGAAGTGAACCATGCTGTCATAATTATACATATGCGCTCATAGAATACATTATAATTAACGACAAGTCTAAAGACATCTAGATGCACGTAACTGTGCCTTCAGATGGATTGATGTTGTGTAACGGATATTATACGCATGAATTTTATATGAAAAATTTACAAATCCCGTAATATAATAATAAATAAATAAAATCATTTTCTGGAAATAACAATTCAATTAAACTATCACATCCTGCAATCAAAGGCTTATACACGAATTAGGCTGTTTGACAATTCATTCGCATTCTAGGGCATTCTTCAGTCCACGTGGACATTACCTAGTAATGAACAGTGTCTCACAATGTACTCACTCAATTTAGGCACTGAACAGCGATTACGTACATATTTACGAACATAGAGCTACATAATCCATGTACGAGAGACAATTTGTTGAAAGTTTATGGTTGGTACTCACTATAGGCATACATAAGTACGAGTATATATACGTCGACGACAAAGTGCAATTGTCCTCAATAAACAGTTTTAATAAAACAACCCAAACAATTGCGCAATACGTAATGTTTCCACTCTTATTTATTATTTATATAATTTCATGAAAAACTTTACGCGAGGCTTGAGTTTCAAGTGCTGAAAATCTAATCGACCAATTAGTTTCAAGTACAGTTCCAGGATATATGCTGACGTGAATTCATAGGCATTCTCTAAAAGATTACGGATAAAATTGCTGAATCGCATCGAATAAATCTCGTACATCTGTACTTATCTAGAACTATATAATTGTCTCATAATTATGGTCTTCATGGAAAATCTGAACTAATCTTACGATTAGTAATGCATTCGGCTACGTTTCACTGAAATTGAACGACGAATAGATACTGAATAACCGTACATTTCATAAAGGGGACGCAGCGTCATTTATGGATGAAAATACAATCAGGTTTAATTAATTGATGATGAGTTAAAATTATCTTAAGTGCAACTCGGTTTTGGATTGGTCGTTACCGAGCATGATACAGGCTCTACGAGAACACTTCTATGCTATGCATTGCAGACATGGGATCCTCGGTCAATTAATATTAACGAAACTACACTATTTTGTTGAGGTAGGATTACAAAATTAGTTCGATGAACCACATAAGATAATAAAGCACAAGGTTGTAACAATGTCAGTAATTGCAACTGACCAGTTTCGAATCTGCCGAGTACCAGAGCTGAACTTTGGCTTGAGGAGACTAGACCTATTTTTTACTGAGCTCCACTCATACGCGTATATGTACATACATAGTTACAGACATAATTAGCAAGATATGGAATTAGTTGCAAAAATATTCTGCTGCTTTTACGCATTGATTATAACAGTATCGTGTAGGACCATATTTTATGAACTAACTGCCAGCTACTTTGACGGGGCACCTGATGGCGTTCCCAAGAAAATTTTGGGTTTTAATAACCAATTTCCGGGACCTACTCTTCGAGGTAACTTGGATTTTTTGTGATTTTCCTACTTCGCAAAATTTACTTCAAAGCGTTGTAGAAGCAAGGATGTGTTAAGTTAAAGTGACAAAATCTGATGTAGCACACTGCTTACGGCATTTTGATTTTCGTGGTCCCCTTAGGTTCGAAAGGTGACTGGCTTCGCATAAAAGTGAACAACCAAATCCAGGACGGACAAACCACGACGATACATTGGCATGGACTGGAGCAGTTCTTGAGTCCTTGGCAGGACGGGCCGAGAATGCTCACGCAATGTGACATCCCGTACAATCACAGCTTTACGTATGAATTCGAACTACTTCAAAGTGGGTCCTACTGGTACCACTCGCATCACACGTCCCAGTACGCGGAAGGCTTGTGGGGCGTCCTTATTGTCGACAACACTCCAGCAGAAATTCATGCCTACGATGGAGAGTTTGTGCTCACTCTAAGCGATTGGTTTCATCTCCCTTCGAAACAAATGTCGGAATGGTATGAGGACGGTGGGCTGAGCAGAGGCGGATTACCATTCCCAGACTCATCGCTACTAAATGGACGCGGATATTATGACTGCAAGTTTGCAAACTTGAAAGGTTTGTCGTGTAATCCGTCATATGCAACGAGGTAAAAATACTATGACACATACATGAAATGCTGAATTAAATGACGATATGAATGACAATTTTTAAAAATATGACTAGATATCAAGTTCTGGAGGTGGAACGAGGAAAAACGTACAGATTTCGTATCGTGAATCCATCGACGATAGTCCTCCACATCTTTCAAATTCATGGTCATAAATTGGAAGCGATCGAGACAGATGGCGTTGACACGGGTCGTGTGACAGGAGTAGATCGTGTCACCGTCTCCACAGGTACAAATAAATCGAGCAGTTAGTTCGAATCATAAATTATTGTGCATGTGAATCTAATATCTTACAATGTTTTAATCACTTATTGTCATACTCATGAACATAGCTGAAGAGCTACATATGTATATTAGACCTAGCTTTCTAATCATATTTAGTTTCTTCCTCTAAACTCTATATGAGATGGTCTTAACTTAATTCACATAAATTAAATTTGACCCCAGGTACGCGCTACTCATTCCTCGTGAAAATGGACGGAAACCTGGATCAATACTGGATACAGTCCACCGCAGATCTCCTACCCTATAAAACAGATTATCCCAACATTAATCCTTATCCCGAGGCTTACAAAGCTGATCCTACAATGTTAGCCGTGCTGAAATATGTGGACACCAACGCCACAGCTTTATTGTCCCCTTCTTCCATTAACCCAAATGCAGTTCAGGGTCGACCGGAAATTCGAAGTATTTTCATATTTAAAATGCATAAGTTTCAAAATATCAGGATATATTTAATCATTTGGCATTACTGCTCTAGATTTTCCACTTCTTCAGTCTTTATTGGATGCTCGCAGTGTCAAAGCTCCGTCTGAACCAATTCTGGATGGGTTCACCTTGTATCCCAAGGACCCCCTAAATCTCCCATATGCCACAGCTCCATATCCAACCACCGTAGAGCTGGACAGTCCGACTACTTTAAATTACATGGACTGTGTTCCAGTTGGCGGGGAGGAAGCACCAAATTTTGTAAATCAGACCATCATAATTTCCATTCCAGACATTGACCACCCCGACAGCATACACAAGGTCGGATTCAACGATGTCAAGTATGACCCTTCCTTTCTCGACAAACCAGGATTGGTCAAAATGATCTTGAACGAAACTTTACCAGACTCCGTTCAACCCATCACAATTAATGGTTTCGGGGACGATTATGTATGATGATAAGATACAATAACATTAACATGACTAAACAAGAATTTACTTGGCGCATGCTTAACATCAGTTACATAAAATATATGTCTAATGCAGGTTGTGGAGTTGATAATAAGCGATTATGGAGACTCTGGTCATCCCCTCCACCTCCACGGTCATACCTTTTGGGTCATGGGTTATGGGAAGGGTGAAGAAGGTCCATTTAACGAGACACATCATCGACCCATATTACGGTCTGGTGTGCGAAAGGAGACAATGGCAGTACAACCGAGGTCATGGTTGGTTATTCGATTCAGAGCCAATAATCCAGGCTTATGGCTCTTCCATTGTCATATGAATTTTCATTTTGGTGAATTTTCTATTAAGTTAATGTATTTTAAAATAAAATTTAGCCTAAAGAAGTTAATATTATGCTCTTACTGGTCTAGAAAGCGCCATGGGGCTCGTCCTCGTGGAAGGTGGGGACATCGTCAAAGACTTGTATCCACTACCCAAAGATATGGTCAATTTGTGCAAGTTGTCAGGGATAGATTTGGCTGAAAAGAGTTCTTCAAACTTGGTGATGAGTAACCTCGAATTTCTCGTAGTTTTCTCCTTACTAAATACCGTCATGATGTTGCATGGGCTTTTCCTGGTGAGCTAGTAAATATTCAGTGCTGATGAATCTGTAGTCTGGGACTATAGTTTTTATGTAACTACATACATCCTCTTAAAAAGGCGAAAGTCTGAGATTTATCGGATATTGTTCACATCGATTAATAGGTTTAATTTTATATCAAGGTTCTGATAAGTGTATTGTCAATCTATTTATGCACGGTCTGCAATTATTTTCTTACATACATTAAATAAGCTACAATCACCCCGAGTTTGTAAATAATTATGCATGTCAATTGAGTTTAGTTAAAGTTATGCAAATCATAAAGAATAAAGGTCACAAACGATTAAAATAAAATCAATCCATCAATCAGTACCTTATCTTCTAAAAATTGTAATTTGCTCATTATTCACATCTGATATCTAATGAGATAAACTTACGTGACCATAATTAAATTTAATGCTCGCCCTTGACTGCAGTCTGCTGGGAACTGCCCTTTGTAAAACAGTGACGATTTGTCAATTGTCCTAAAAATACTCTGCTTTGCGAGGATGGGAGAGTGGAACAGCAGCCGACTCATTTTTGCGGATGACTACAGTTCCCTGTTCACATGGCACGAATATCTGGTCTTTGCGGCCGTCCTGACCGTGTCCATGGGCATCGGCGTGTTCTACGGATGCTTCAAAAAGAACAACTCCACTACGGAGAGCTTTCTGATGGGTGGGAAAAAGATGGGCGTCCTTCCCGTTTCTCTGTCGCTCATCTGCGTATGGTGACAATTTATTTATTTCAAACGAAGGTCATACATAAATTGCAAGACTTTACAATTTTTGTTTAAATTTGTAGAGTTTCGTATCAGCAATAACGAGTGAGTGCGGTGCATAAATATATTTACATACTTATTTTTTAGTAAAACAATTCAATTCTACAGTGTTGGGTGAACCTCCGGAGGTTTATTTCTATGGACTGATTTACATATACTTTTCTTTCGCCTTCATTCCAATGACTCTGAGTTTAAGGTACGGCATACGATACGCGTACATGGACCATTTGGGGTTGGAATCATCCAAACCCAAGTTTGGGTGATTTCTTAAACCAAGAGCAGTGGTACAATAATGTGGCTATTTTGTAGTGTAAGCATTCATGTAAATCATAGATTTTTTAAATTAATTGCTTGCTGCGATCCAAAACGAAGTATCATCACATAAGCACAAGTTGGAAATTCGTTTAGTCATGTGTGTGGATTATGCCAATCGAAAACATGTCGAAAACGATGATATGACCTATGAAAATTAAATGATGCATGCAATTTTTTCAAGAACCCAGCCAATTTTATTTTACCACTGATTTAAAATAATGTTTGCTCTTTAACTGGTAAAATTTTGTGTAAATTTTAATTTTACTGTATGTAGTTATCTTTATCTCCCCGTTTTCTTTCGTCTCCAATTAACATCGGCGTACGAGGTGCTTACAAAAATAATTTAATTGTCATAACTCGAATCATTTCCATTGTTTTCTTGCTTGCAGTATTTTGAACTAAGATTCAACAGAAACGTACGAATTGTTATTTCAGCTTCAGCCATAGTTCACTTGGTATGCCAATTTTACAATATTTTTAGACATATGTGTATGAACATAATTACGCAATTTTTTGTTTTCTAGATGATCTACATGCCACTTGTAAGTCACTGACAAAGTTGTGCAACTGAATAATATGCACTTCCAATCTTACAATGCGATGGTGTGAAGTGTAACCCTTCGATTTGGCTGAAATTTCGAAATTATGTGCTCCATGTCAATACAACCAACTTTTCTTCAGGCAGTTTGTGCGATGGTCTGAATTTAGCAAATTATTTGAGGTTGAAGTTGAAAAATGTGCAATTTTTATCACGGGAACTGGGAAGAGAATGGAAGTTGAGTTCTTCCTCCGCCTGTTAAAAATCGCCCGTTTTTCGACTTTGACCTCAAATATTTTGACAAATTCTGACCATCGCACTAACTGCCTGAAGAAACGTTGGTTGTATTGACATGGACGACACAATTTCGAAATTTCAACCAAATCGGAGGGTTACACTTCACACCAGCGCATTGTTAGTAGAATCGCATATTTAATTCCTGTTTTTTTTCTCACGACAGACAGTGTGGGGCCCATCCTTAGCACTGGATCAAGGTCTTTCTTAATTCGTGATAAACTATTACTTGCAATATATGGATTGTGTCTAAATTGAATATTATTATTTGCACAGTTGCTGGTCTGAACAAGTACATGACTTCCATTGTCATCTTTCTCGTATGTATAGCATATTCTTCAATCGGTGGTCTAAAAGCCGTTTTATGGTCAGATGCGTTTCAAGCGTTCGTCATGTTTGCCACAATGTTGACGGTGCTCATACTGGGAATCAGCAAGGTCGGTGGCATGGGTGTGGTCTGGGAGAGAGCTGAGGAAACAGGAAGAACAAATGTGCTTTTGTGGGTTATTTTTATCATATGCACAGATTTATGCATGCATACTTATTCTACGTGAAAGTGTACATGTGTAGACTGGAAATTTTCCTACAGGTTTGATCCAGACCCACGGACTCGCCACACGTTTTGGACAGGGACAATTGCAGCATTTTTCAGCTGGATACCACTATTTGCGGGGACCCAAGCTCAAATTCAGAGATATCTTTCCGTACCAACCATCCGAGATGCTAGAAAGTAACCTCGTAATACCTTGTCCCGATGTTTCATACATATTTATGAGATATTCAAATATGTACATTGCCCTTCTTGTGTACATACATTTCTAGATGCCTATTCTTCAATATGTTTGGATTATTTGCCGTCATAATCCTCTGCTCACTGACTGGTCTCATGATTTTTGCAAAGTACTATGACTGTGATCCCGTATCACTGGACAATCAGGTGAGGAGGGATTACACGCTCTGTACATATGCGCCTGGATTCTTAACTGATTTTGTCTGATTCCTAAAAGGTAGTCAGCTCTTCAGATCAGCTCGTTCCCCTATTCGTGATTGATGTCCTTGGAGATTATCCTGGTCTTCCAGGCTTACTCGTTGCAGGGCTCACTTGTGGTTGCCTTAGCTCGGTATCCTCAGCACTCAATGCCCTCCCGGCAATTATTGTCGAGGATTATGTGAAACATTATCGGACTGATTTGACTGATAGACAACTCGGATATATTTCCAAACTAATCTCTGCCGTGGGGGGACTCGTCTCGTTTTCCTTAATCTTTGTCATTGCCTCAGCAGGAAATATTTTACCTGTGTGTCCACTATTTACATACATATCGCCTTATGCTGTATTTACAAATAATAGTGAGGACACAACCTTTGTTTTTCTTTTGAAGTAGTTTGCATCTCTTCTTCACGGCACATTTCTCGGACCGATTGTAGGAGTTTTTTCTTTGGGAATGTTCTTTCCCTGGTCAAACGCATTGGTGAGTTTCTGTACATTTATGTAAATGACCAAATATTTGACTATTTGATTAAACAATTCATATCAGAATAATATTTAAAATATAGTTCACATTCATTTGCAGGGATCCATGCTCGGCATAATTCCGACTTTAGCAATCACACTCTTCATCGGAGTGGGTTCAATCCTGCAAGGTAACGAAGGGCTCCTTCCCGTGCAGAAACTTCCCCTTCGGACGGATGGATGCTATGTAAATGAGATGTTGCAGGACACCTTTTTTAGCCCGGCAGGAAAAGGGTGGAAGGACGAGGACTACTCCCCCTTAACCAAAATATTTTCCATCGCCTACCTCTGGCAACCCGCCATTACGATTATGTCCACCCTTATTTTTGGGATGTTATTCAGCATCATAATCAACGCTTCGGGAGGAAATAATGGGCGTAAACGTCGTGTCAAGTCCAGATATTTGTCACCACACGTGTTGTCAATGTGGGTATACATTTTTGGGAGTGAAAGAATGAAAAAGTGGGTCGAATTTGAAGAAGATGAAGATGTTGCTAGAAATAAAATTGATAACAGTGACAATAAATCTGAAATTTCTGCAAAGTAGAAAATAATACTGAATTGTTCCGATGTGCATAATTTTGCAAGTCCACCCACACAACGATATTTGGATGTTTATGTATACTGAATTGTTGCGAGAGAGTGAAACCACAACCAGCATGTAAGTAATAGCATTAAAAATGATCCGAACTGATCCTGAGGCCAGACCCGGATGCGACTGTGTGTGTTTCAGACAAACAAGACGCATTCTCTATCTCTGCTGATTTCTCTGCTATTTAAAGGGTGAAAGTTGGGGAAGTTGGCTCAGTTCAGGATCAACTCTCTTCGTGCTGCTACTGCCCGTAGCTTTCTCCGCTACGCGTTGGTCTCTTCGTTTCAAGAACAAGATCCTGACTGTGAGTGGGTGATATTTATAAATAAATTAGGTTGGGGAAGTTGAGAAAAGGTTCGGGTCGTGTGTGTCGGAGAAAGAGTTGCACGCAAGGTAAATGCAACTAGACGCAGAAAAGTGAGGTAATTGATATACCATGTAATACCTCGAGTTATACTAAAAAGTAGAATTTCCTGACATCACTATTTGCAACTGGCAGTGCGAAATGTCACAAACTGGGAGCACAACCAGAACGGTGGGTTCGCTTGGCTCTTCCACGGATTCTGGCAACGGTGGGGGTGGCTTCCACTCCCACAAGAAGGACCAGAGGAACAAACAAAGAAAAATTGTGCGAATTCTCACTGTCGTGGTATGAAAACTGCTCATAGTTAACAACTTTTCAAAGTTTTGGTGCTGTCATCTTAACATGGAACAAGTGCTATGTATGTTTTCTGGAACCATTGCAATATTTCCAGGCTTATATGATGAGCGTCTCTACGGTAGCTCTTGTCCTGTCCGCGTACTACCTCTTCATCTGGAAACCCACTCCAGCCGAGCCTCTCACTCACTTAAGAAGGGCCACCGACTCTCCCACAACGTCTCACCATTTTTACAAGTATGTCGTTCTTAGTTTTTATTTATTTTATAACCACTTATTTATTTGTCTCGTCTCCTCCTCATCTTTCAGTCGCCAGACATTCTCCGTTCTTCAGGCCCCCCTGGCAGCGAGCAGCACAAGCGGACTTAACGCACGCAGGAGCAGCAAGGAATTCCTCCCTCCTCCACAAAGCCTTGTAGGCAAGGAGGAGGAGGAGGAGGAGGAGGAACAAGAAGACCAAACAGGACCATCGAGCCCTCCATATTCTTCTGACGATGGTAACAATTATGACGATGAGTCCAAGTCAACCTCAACGCCACAGAGAGCACCGGCATCAGCCCCAGAACTTGGACGAGTTAGCAGAACCACACCCAACCTCTTAAAAATAATTGCCCCGACAATGGCTCCAATTTCTTAAAGTTTCAATGCCTCGACATGTGCACTCGTTGTTAAATATAAATATTCAAAAGATCTCTGTTAATTGTACATGATAAAGACATATATATTGCGCTAATGCAACACATCGAAACATTAGATTGTGTCGATTTACTGTAAAGTTTGTGATTTACTTACTCATTACGTAATTAAAATAATTTTACATTTATTCTAAATTGCGCATTCGTGACCTTTTTACATATTTTCGTCGTCCTTATTAGATTCCATGCCAAATTCATCATCATCTCCCGTCTCAAACAAAAAGATGCATTGTCAGAGCGAGAGAACTTTCATCGCTTCAGTAAAACCCGAGAAAAAAAGTTTCTGGGTTGTGATTCGCCATGTCTGCGCCTATGGCTTGATTATACTGATTGAATTCCAAGTTGGGCAGAACAAACACTAAAAACTCAACAAAGTGCATAAGTACGTGAGCATGGAATGTTCCGAGAGGTATGATGTTCATCCTCATGATTCACGATGGAACGAGAGAAGGAACGAACCCATCAAATCAAACAACTCGTCCATATGCACATCCATCCATCCAATTTCTGCAGAAGGATGATGAGAAAGTCGTGGTAGCAGCAACTTCATCTCCTTCGTCCGTGTCTATATCGACTGAATTGACGACCTACGCCATGTTGTTTACATTCACTCTCTTTTATGTCTCTTCTACTTACTTTAGCTTCATTTTCACACGTCCTGCTTCCTCCGTTTGCTTGTATGTATCTACATATGAACTGTATCTGGATGAAATGATAATTGATTTCCGAAACTGGTTTACAACCGTCGGCTTAATTTAACGAGCAATAAAATAGAATGAAAACGTGACCCCTCCCAGCTCACACACGCGTGGCTCTTTTATGCTAGGTTGTCGGGATATTTTGGTCTATACTTATGTAGGTATATGAAAATATGTATGTACTATACGTAGTTTGCGTGTATAAGATAGTGAGCCAGAGATGATTAGTGATGATGATGATGATGGTGGTGGAAGGCTGGTGTGTGAATCATTTTACTTTTGATTTAATCTAGCAGCCCAGTTATTAGCTAATTGCTTCATCAAATCAAAACGTATAATCTGATATCTGATGGACATGCATAGTATTAAGTATATGGCAACATTGGGTAATATAGTTTTCACCATCCATGTTTCTGCCCGACGTATGAATATATGCAAGTTTGCACATTGGGACGTTACAGAGTGGTCCAGAGCTCTTGTTATCTGTCGAAGTCTGTTTCGGACATTTCTAGGATTTTGGACAAATGCCAACTTCTTGAGACCTGAGGCCATATTGGGATTATTCTACAGAAAAGGGAAGAAAGGTCCAACATAGGCATATCCACGCCAGAGTCAAAATAAAGGCTCCCGTGAGGTATGCCCATTCAGGTTGCGTATGCCGAGTCGTTTTTATTCTTTGCCAACTTTTCCCAAGCAAACTTTGGGGTGAACATTGCCATTACATCAACATCACAAATATATATGCTTCCGGTGTGCCGAGAGTGGTAGAAAATGATGATGATGATGCTGTTCTTCACCATGAGGTACACGACTCATTTGAGATATACGACATGCACACATAGCGTTCCTCATTCGGAGAAAAGGGACAGAAAGGTGCAAAGTATGTACAACTGTTGTATAACCTCGATAAGCGAAAACGAAACACTTTGCAATAATCGGAAACTGAGATATACATCAGAATGTCATCATATATTACGAGATACAAAATTTTATGTAACGAAAATTCCAACCAGGAAATATCTGTATGAATCCTTCAAACTCCATTTCAGAAAACTTTGCACTTTGCACTAAAAACTGTATATTCTCCGCTACGAGAGAGGATCTGTCTCCAGTTTATTACAATATAATAATAGACGACGAGTCCACCACGGCTGCCTACTTTCTCTTTTCTCCAGCCAGCAGCAGATCAATAAAGTGGGTCAGTCGCCTGGCCAAATGGGAGAAAGCAAAGCAAAGAAGCACGGCGAGTGTATAATGCTGCCAGCAACCGCAGTCCTGTAACGCTTTTTTTTACAACTTGGAAACAAACAATGCGATCAAATCAAAGTGCACTCTGTATCGTCCAGCGTGAGTAGTTTGGACGGATACGACGGGGGAAATAAATGTGACGCACTTGTGCAGCAGCTCTTCGCCATTACTTCAAGTCTACGTGATGCGGATCTATGATGAGAACCCGGCCGTGGTTCGTACTGCGTCCTCCTGACGCGAATGAAATGTGCAGGCTTTACTAATGCCCTTCAGACCAGGGGACGACTGAGCAATAAGGTTGTTAAAATTTAAGATGGTTTACTCATTCTGCGTCTCCAGCATCTTGTACTAAACACTAAACACCAGACTCACATACATATAATGTGGTGATTAGGTTTGAAAAAATTAATTATTTGTTTTAAATTAATAGGCAGCATAATTTATATTACTTTTTAATTGGATTGGAAAGATTCTTAAATTTTACTCTCACGTGAATATTGTAAATATCGATTTTTTTTCCTGCAGAGGAAAAACTTTTGTTGTTCAATTTGAACTTTCTCTTGTAGAAAATAAGCATCGTAATCTCTTTTTACTGCTTTCATTCCTCAATTTGCAATTCAATCTGCATTACAATAAATCTCTGTCACGTCACGTCTCGTTGAATTATTATTCAGTTCATTGCTTCACCCACTAGCGAGTAGATACGTGTAGAGTTATCATATAGGGTTGGGCTGGTGTAGTTTGGGCTGCTCGGCGGATGCATAATGAAGCGTAATGCGATGCAATTCAACGGAAATGCGAGATGAGGAGAGAACTTTCCTTTTCTGTTATTCCGGACAAGTTGTGGTTGGTGGCAGGAAGGTCCTGATTCTGGCCCTGGATCTGGGTCATCATCATCTTTCTAGCATTTCCTTACAATCTGCGCCGTTTTATGATCACAGAGTCGCAGCAGCAGCAGTTACATGCATACAAGGGTGAAATTTGAACGAGGTCGTGTCCCAATTCCCAGAGGGATGTCCCACATCTACATCTCATCATTTCCTTCGTAAGTGTATCGCAGGAGAATGAAATGTTTGATTATCCGTCATCCTCAATGCAACGGTGTATTATTCTTTTTTGAGGCAATTTTCAGACTCGGGTTTCAGATAATTTATGATGCACAGCAGATAAAAGTGAAATTGGACGACGGTCTTGCGTCAATGGAAATTAAATTGCTACTTTGGAGGAGAAAAGAACCAGTTGTTCAGTTTTTATTAGCATTACGAGATTGGTCAGGATAGTTTAGGTTAGCAAAAAAAGTATTTGTGGGGTCAAGGCTCCGGGAAACTATTTGTCTTGTAATAAAAAAAGAATCTCTTTCGCAGAAACTGGGGGAAAGATGGTGTGTCCTTATTGCTTGTCCTCATTTGCTCCAAATCTCTCCTGTTCTGGAGTATCTGCCTACCCAGATTCTCCAGAACCAAATAGTGCTCCGCTTGCAGAAACTTGACCCACTTGGCAAACACGCCGTCTTGTACGCATTTGATCTTATCTTTAGGTATGGACTCCTGGTATAAAGTTTATTGGTGTTTTAACTGCGCTTTGACTATGAGCAGCAGCCCTATAAAAAGAATGAAAAACTGACATGAAATTTGACACCCTGAGTTTTATCTAGCTATCTAAAATGCAATTTTATGTGGAGATGACAGAAAATCGAGTAAGTGCACGTAACTTTTGAGGGGTTACATACATTAACGATGGATGGAAGAAGTCAGGCCACGTAAATTCCTTCCCATCCATCCATTTCGAATGTTTATTTGTTCAACGTGTATGCCAAGAGAACACGGAAGAGTGATGAACTGGCTGTCGTAAATCTGAACCAAAGTCAAAAGTGACACATGCTACTGAACAGTTCTCTTATGCAATCAAGCTTACTCAACGATCCCAAATACATAATTCAAAGCCACCCGAGTGGATACAGAAATTCCAAAATTTAAGTTTTCTCGTCGAATACATCTTTCCCATCCATAACAAAAGGAAAGACGTACAGGAAGAATGCAACGAGGAGTTTGCTTATTTTTTTAACGTGGTCTTCAACAGTTCTTAGTTGTGTTCTTATCTGCTGGTGAAATGAGAGTAAGTTGAAGGGCAAATCGCACCGTCCACGGCGTGGCACATGATATTACCACAAAGAAATGTGACCCTCACAAATATTTCTTTCATCAATTTGTCCACATCTGATGAAATTATTTCAAGTAAATGAATCCCATTTAATGTACATACATATATGCAAATATATATATTTATATACTTAATGACAAAAATGAATGAGAATCTCCAGTCATAAATTTATGCCTTAATTTTCATAAATTTCAAATTGACAAGTGTACAAGATTTCGAATCGATCCTTTCGTACATATCTCAAAGATTTCAAAAATAGCCCCCTCGCACAGGTTGTGGCACAACAACGGCATCATCATACCCACCGCCGCCGGAGTAATAGTTGTTGTAATATGGGCGGCTGTAACTATTGTAGTAGCCGTATTGGGAGCTGGGGTACCACCCACCGTTGTTGTAGTAGCCGTAGGCCTGCGTATTATAATACGGCCTTTGGTAGTAGCTGGAGTAGTAGGGCTGGTAATACCCGCCGATCTGTCGCTGCCCCCTGTAGTAGCTCGAGGGTTCTGGCTCGTAGGTCGAAAGGGCCGCCGTTTTGGCAGGAACCTCCGCCAATGTGGGGGACGAGATGAGAAGTACCAACGTTGCAAAAATCATGAGAAGGGACGCCATCAAAGATGCCAACTGAACTTCAGCCTGATTTTAAAATAAAATATTATCGTTTAAAATATCGGAAAAATTAACTGTTTTAAAACTTACCATTTTCATACTCAGACGTTTAGTTTCAGATATTTTAGCAGCGGTTTCAGGCACGTATTCCACTAAAGTTGCTGCTTGGTGTGTGACACTCATCTCAATGTATCATCATCTTTTATATCATTCATGTCTTTACTTTAGAACACGTTAATGGCACGAGTGTGTGTACTCGTCTAATTTGCGGGCCACAAATTATGTAATATCGACGATCCGGAACATCACTTGCAACAAGTTCACGTAGGTGGCAAGTGTCGAACGAATAAATATTATTCATGATTATTTTGCAATTTCAACAATACCATAAAGTTTCAATCGAATTGATGGGGGATCTATCAGGGTAGTTAAAAGTAAGTAAACAGATAAAAGTGAGAGTGCATGACATAATAATATGGACTACTGATGACACCCGCAATTAGCAAAGACCTAAATTTTATATTGGTTTGCAATATTTATTGATTTGTACAATTCAGTGTCACCCTACAAATAATGCTATATTAACACTTACTTTATTGCTCCATGTACTTCCTTAACTAGTATTAATAATGCCTTCTCATTATGGTAACAGTCTTTCAAGAAGGTTCAAGAAGATAACGTTACCGTTTTTGCCAATATTAAAAATGTGCACAATTTTTTATACAAGTGCGATCTGAAATTTCACAAGAGGCCATTTAAAATTATTGCACATTTATCTCAACAATTATAAACTACATCCAAATGCAATATCATGAATTTACGCAAATCAATAATGATGAATCGTGTAATATTTTACTGTTTGGAAATGCATCGTAAAAAATAAGCAACTCAATTGTAATTGTAAAAGAATTTGCATTCAACTCAATTTTCAATTTTACGAGTTCTGGTAAGCAGCTTCATTTTTTATATTAATGCACTGTTGTAACCCAAAAATCGAACACCATGTTGGCATTTCAATTCCTCCTCATTGTGACATTTTTCATTCCTCCGGTAATCCGCGTACATAGATAATTAATGCTTAAACTGTTTGTAATAAATAATACAGTGATAAAAATAATAACAGAATATAGACTTTAGGTACAACTGACGCACACGTGGAAGCACTTTGTGTCGCATTCGTGGATTAGCGATTGGGATAAAATTGCGAAAATAGTGGAAACGCACCACTTGCATTATGATCACTGGCAATTGCGTCTTCACTCTTCAGTCTCCTCGTCGTCGTCGTCAGAAACATCATCATCCGAAGTAGTCAGGTCGGTAGCTTTTCTTAAAAAAGTCCAAATATTACATTTTAAACCAAGTCTACTTACTGTTTACTTTGTATTAGAACCACTTTACCATTTTCCCCACCAAAGACGAAAGCTTTTAGAACGTCCAATTCTTCAAGAGGTGGGACGAAACCACCACATAAATTGCATTCTTCGTCAGAATTGGGCCAGCACAAGTCGGAAACGGAAGAAGAACCCCTCGTTGCACAAGCCTTCATGTTTTTCGTGACCAACTGGGGATGTTTCAATGTGACTGGATTCCTGAGCTTTTATGCGGAATACAACACGGAAGCTGCGGAGGACGCTATGATAGCAACGAACCAAAATCACGAACTTCTCAAGGAACTCTCTACTCTCGCTCAGAATGAATTGGAAGAGGAAAAGTTAATCAGACAAGCCACCTAAACAAGTGATTCAGATAGCGATAAAAGTTCCTACACCGTGCGTGTTCTTTCTCGGAAGCGTAATCAATCATTGCATGGCATGACACGACTACACAACAGAACAATGCGTTCTTAAGACACAAGTCAGACTAAAATTATGCTATAGTGATGATGATACAAAGAATAAAGCATACGGGAAGAAGTTAATAACGCAAGTGTACGAAACCAATTTATGCATTTCGCAACATATGTAATACTAATGACATGATATCACCCTCACGCCACATGGAAAGCTATGGATGGAGAGAGGAGGGCGAGCTAGGGGGCAGATCGACCAGGTGGTGGAGAAAGTAGTTGGTGCGAACTGTTTCTTTGGCGTTTTTGGTATTTGGAGAAAGTGAGGACTTGGAGGATGTGCGTGTTGGCGTGGACGTCGTGGATCGATACACGCTGCTGCTCTGCTATATAGTGGTGACTACTGCCTCACACTTTCTCCATCTGGCTCAGCTACCTCCTCGTTCGTTTCCTCCTCCACTTTCCCTCACACTTTCTCAGCCGCACGATGCTGTGAAACAGGTTCATCCACCTCCTCCATTCTTTCGCCGAGGTCTTCACCACTTTTAGTTTTACTAAGCTTGAGTGGCACAATCATCATATTTTGTTCGCATGGAGGTGGGCAAAGGATTTCTCCAGTTGCAGGAAGATTACAGCCGGAGATCAAGTCTGCATCCGACAAGTAAGCCAAATATTTTGTACACTAGTCTTACCATTTACCAACGCTGTTATGTTTGCAGCAAGAGTTTTTACGCACACTAATCCAAAAATCCATGCTGTAATAAGTACTTTATATTTCAAAGCTACTTTTCTTAAGCCTTAAAATTAAGCAAGACTTGATAAGTACCAAGATACTTCAAGATAGGTGGTCATACTCGATGATTTCTGTAAATAAAATTGCTGTGTTCGTCACTCGCTTCTACATGTACATATAACCCAATTGATTCATCACGCCAAGCCACTGAATAATTAATGGATTGTCCCAAATTTGTTTTCGTCACTCTCCTGGGTAGTCCTTACTTTCACATTACTCATCAAAGCAGGGAGGAGCAAGGCGAAATGTGTACATATGTCCCGATATGTGAGCAGTAGCTAGTAACACATTCTGCATACGCAACAGAAACTCTAAATATTTGAGGTGTCCATACTTTGGAATCCATCCGTTGTCTCCAATTCCTGTTTCTCATTCTCATTCATTATGCACACCATTTCTCCGCCGCAGCAGTGAAGGACAACACCTGGAGAAAGGACAACACCACAGATACTAAAATAAAATGCGGGCTATTTTAGGACTTTATTGTGTCGTCAGCTAAAACCATGCGTACCATACTTCCAAATTATGTATGCCCTCGACTTTCACCAGTTATTAGCATACCTGGTTATTATACACTAACCCGCACCTATGTCAATATATTGCGTACTTATCCTTAGTTGATCAATGATATAAATAAAACGTAAATACGCAGTAATTTTAAATCTCTGTCCAATTATTGGACGAAATTATGAAATTGATTGAGGAATTACAAGCTAAACGAAGCCCATGACAAGTCTGAGAGCATTTTGTTCCTACAGTTGGAGACGCGTCCATATTTGCCTATGCCACTCGAGTGGGATGCTGTGGTTGTTGTTCCATTAAAGTGGAACGAGATGAGGACAGGTTTCGAATCGGACGTCTAAGTCTTGCCCCGTATTGTCATCTGGCCCTCCTTGTTTTTGGACTGTGTTTCCTCCTGGCCGGTGCAGTACTGACAGGATTGGCGTATAGTCATCCTCAACAACATGCTCCACTAATTTATTCGCAGTTGAAGGTGTGCCATCAATACATAACTCCTTTACTACATACACTTCTTTACATGATTTGAGCGCATTTTATTTGCCATTTATTACTCACTAGCAGGGAGAAGATTCCCAAGAAGAGCGGGTGGCAGGTCCTCTTTTTCTTGTCGTGGGTCTTGGTCTCCTTGCCCTCGGAGTTGGCTTAGCGATGCTTGGTTGCAAACTTGAAAGGGCAGCTGCTCGCCAAAGATCTGCAATGAGTCGATTCAGTTTTGAGTCCGGGGGAAGCAGAAGTGTGGACATATTTGCCAATCTGGATGATATCAGGTCTCAAGGTGGAGATTCTTCTCACAGAAGAGGCTCATTTTTTGGTTCGTCTTTCAATCAAACTAGAAGGTCCACATTGTCGACAATTGCTCAGGTATCTTCATCGTGACTGCTTCATCTTTGTAGCTGAAATTTAGCATGAGTTTCATTTGGCTTTGTTCTGAGCAGGCAGTCCCCCTCGGGTTTTTCATGACAGAGTCTCCCCGCACTCCGAAAACCCCGACCACAGTAAATCCTCCCACTAACAATTCCACTACTGCGACCACAAAGCTTTCTGACGAGTTCCAAGAAGTGGAATTGGGCAGTCCGACCAGAGATGACGAATTTACGCTCCCAGCTCTTACCCTTCGTCCAAGTATTATTCCTATCCCCATGTTCTTATCCTCTAATCGGTTGAGGTAACAATTAGCTGTTATTAAATATAAATAAAGTTCAAATCTGAAGTTGTATTAAAAATTAAGCTCTCTTTTTTTAAGTGCTGGACATCATCAGCATGAAATACCGGTCCCATCGAGAAGTGATGAGCCATTTGGGTCTATCGCGTCCCTTAGTGGACCTCGTGGAAGTATCGCTTCTTTCCCTGCGCCACGATTCACGGCGCACATCAACAATGTGGCCGTGCCAGAAACGTAATAATTATTAATTGGTCACTGGTGCTCATTACTAAATTAATAAATAGCACTGGTGCATGAACGAAAACCCTATTTTTTCTGGATCAATGCAGAAATGGGCTCCCTCCAATTCATGTAATGGGCACTGGCAATGCACTCACAGCCTCGCCAAAACAGGGCGCACGACCAAAGCTTCGAGCGACAAAGAGTGAAGATCGCCCATCATTTGAAGGGGACATTTTAAATGTCAGTAATTGCTCCACTGCTGGAACCAGCTCTACAACAAACGCAGAATCTCAGCGGCGACCCCACTCTGGGTCGTAGTTAATTGGTGTGATTACATATTTTGATGGTTCTCCAACTTAGAATGCATGAATGCTTATATAATTATTTATATTTTCAAGCTACGAGTGTCAATGATTTATTGAGATAATGGATTGACAACGATGTTTGTCACTCAAATATTGAGGCTTATCATATACATTTAATAATGTGATGAAATATTCTTCAGAGTGTCAGTAAATCACAAAAAGAATGTGATTAGGTTGGATACGTGCATCACCACTGGTCGCATGATTGGACTTTTGACTGTGGCAAAAGATTTTGAACAAAACTATGAATAATTTTGAAATAAAAAATTACTATTATTATCCATCATGCGTAATTGACTTATCATACTAATTTTTTAGCTGACCTTATTCTGCATAATTCCTGAACTATTCCCGTCTCGCAATAGAAAGTTCAGTCTGCAAATGATCGTTCGTTCATCCATCCATGGTTAAAGCGTTTCCAGTTATTCCTGAATTGATTCAAATTTTCCACAGGACCTTTTGCTGCCAGTTATGTATTATTATCATCGCTTCACATAACTCCACGCCCGGGTTGCTGCCATTTCCACTCTTCTGTATCTATTACAACATAGCATTCTCGCAAACGCCCTGAAAAAACGTAAACATGTTATTCCACAAAGGATCACTTTTGTTAAATTTATAAATAGGCTTAATTCTTGTCTTACTTTCTAAAATCAGGGGATTTAATCGTGTATATCAACGGGTTCATGAGGCTGTTAACCCATCCTAACCAAGTAAATAGTGAAAAAAGTAGCGAGTTTTGGAGACCACACTTTGGACACAGTCCAGATATCACATTTAGCACAAAGAATGGCATCCAACAAATTATGAACACGCCTAGTAATAAATACACATAATCTTAACTATGATCAAATATATTAAGGGCCCGGGGGAAGTTGCTTAGAAATCATGTCAACTTTGACCATAAAATTCAGCAATGCGCAAGAGGGCACATTTTTCAAATTATGTTTAATTTGTTAATCATATCTTTAGGTTTTACTAACTTTTTTTTTGACAATGTGCCCTCTTGCGCAGTGGAGATATTTGGTCATAAAGTGAGCACAAATTGGCTTAGAATTGCAAAATTGATGGCATGAATTGCATTTTGAGTATCCATGGAACAAAAGAAAACAACTTTTTCAAAAACTTGAGGGAAAAGTGATCAAACAAAAGCTTTTGGACGTGAGTGTACCATAGAAACGGTGTCAATTAATCTTTATAGAGTAATAAATAATCCTAGATTCCTAGCAATTATTGTTGCTAACATAAAATCAATTTTCGAAAAGTAAATCTTCCCCCGAGCCCTTAATGATTATAATATTATTTACATCCAGCCAATTACCCAAAACAATTGCCAATGTCTTTGCTGCTTTCTTCTCCTTTGAGAACCTGCTCAGCTTTCTCCTAACCATTGATCCACGATTTTTCATGAATGTCACAGGGCTATCAGGACACTCGGATGTTGATGCGGTAACCAGTTTAGCTTCCCCCGCAGGACCCAAACTTCCAACAACTAAAAAATTGCTTATACTTTATATGGCCCATTTGAGGAGTCGCATGGTAAGTATCGACTCAACATTTAAGCTAACCCGTCAAAGGTCTCATTTCCATGGGCCGTCCATTTGGAGGCGTTGCGGTGGGAAGGCTGAACCTTTCACCCCTGTTCCTGTTGGACCCACCCCGATGAATCCGCATCCTTAATTTCAATTCCAACTCTTTGTCATAGTAAAATTTTGCTCCCATTTCAATACTTCTGGTTTGACGGACAGCAGCCCGATAGATTCGAAAGTACGTGTAGAGCATGACGACGAGGGGCAGGTAAAAGGAGATCATGGAGGAGGCCAGAAGATACAGGGCGTCCTGAGTAAAGAGACACGTTTCTGGGGGGAAGGGTGACGTCCGTGTCCACCTCCAGTACAAAATAGCTGGTAATGAGATTCCGACGGAGCAGGCCCACACTCCAAAGATCAACCTGGCTGACATCAAGGGGGTCATTTTTGAAGGCTGTAAAAAAGCAAGTATGCAGGTTCATGTAAAACATTGCATACTTGACAGTAAATAATAGAATCGGATCTCACATAGGAAAATGGCTCAGAAATTGCCCAAAACCGGTCTAGTGAGATTACACAAAGGTTAAGAATGGAAGATGTCGCAAGAAGTACGTCAAATGCTCTCCAAAGGTCACACCTGTTGTACAAATTTAATAATTTCACATTTTACAAATATAAATAAATAACACTAATGTATTAATTATGTACAACGGCAATCTCAATACTTGACGTATTTTATTGAAGATAACAAGTCACTTTAAATCATGTGGTCATTATTACCACAAAACTCCGAATAACCATCTCTGCCCAAGGAGCTCTGTGAGGGCTTCGAAGGGTATGACCACTCCTCCGACGAGTAGATCGGCCATGGCCAAGGACGCAATAAAATGGTTGCTGGGCGAGTGTAGGCTCGCCTCCTTCCAGATTGAGACCACGACGAGACCGTTCCCTATCACGCTGCACAAGGAAGTGATCGTCAGGAGGACGAACACGATGTAAGGTCGGGCTCCGAGGTCTTCTTCCTCAAGAATAGCGTCCAATGTTGTGGTTTCCAGTTCATTTTCAATGGAAATAGAGGTTGTCGGGAAGTTGCTTGAACTTGAGAATACTGAAGTGAGATCCATTTATTGGGAGATTTATTGTGCAATTAATTAATTTGATCTTCCAATTCACCTGACACCTGAGCGATTATTGCATATTGATGGGCACGACTCAACAGGAATGGGACGTGGGACCTGGAGATGAGTTTCTGAACACAACCCAGTAGTAGAATGATGCGATGGTGGATAAAGGGTGATGATAACCAGAAAGCTTATCGTGTTCAAGCTCACTCACTTTTATGGCTTGTTGAGGATTATTACAGAGGTTTAATGTAAGAATGAAGTTATGCATGCATACATATGTACGACATATAATCAGTATGTACATTGTTTGCTATGCCACCAATTAATTGTGTGCGTTAGTACTTTTGTACGTGATTGATAAGTGGATATCAATTGGATGGGCCATGCCAAGTTTTGTTATTTATTTACAAACTATAAGGAAAAACCTGTCATATCCTTTTTTGCATGGCGAAACTGCAAAATTTCATCAATATGATAATGCAATCTTGTTGGACACAGTGGTTATAATGGTCAAGTTAAATGCATTGAAAATTAAGATTTTGAAAATTTGAAGTTTTGGAATTGACCATATCACCACATATCGAAATAAATATCTGGCTCAGGCTGGATTTCCGTGCGCTCATCATTATTAATGGTTTAATTTACTGCGGAAGGAGACACTCCAGCATGCAGGATATCAGAATGATTCATCGTATTCATCATTCGTTCGTATATATGTCGGGCCTTTGATAAAAATGAAGAACATATTTATAATACGAATGTGAAATGCATAGTCATATCTGAACATAACAGCATTGATGATTCAATCATAAATATGAGTGTGGTCCTAAAAATTATACGCTATAGGCTAAGCCTGGTTAAGATGTATGCATACATATGTATTTATATCACAATTATGTATTTATGGTCATTATGGGAGCCACAGACTTTGTGAGATTGTTGAAACCTTGCAGTTTGATTTTACTTTCATTTTTGATATCCGAGGGCAGTGCCAAAGGACAACATGACCCTTTAATAATAACGCCATACTTGAAGTCTGGACAGGCGGAGAAGGCCAGAGAGCTGTCCAGGGTCAGAAATCCTCCTTTTCCAACAAATGTTCCAAGTTACAGCGGCTTCTTCACGATTGATGCTGACCATGACTCCAACATTTTCTTTTGGTTCTTTCCTCCTCAGGTTACAATAATTACCTAAAAATATATATTTAAATTGAGACTCAATATTTGCATTTTTGGCAGAAATTGTCTTTTATTGAATCGACCGAAGCAGTGCCACTTCTCCTCTGGCTAAACGGAGGTCCCGGATCATCATCACAGTTCGGTCTATTTGTGGAAAATGGCCCGTTTGTAGTGAATGAGACAAACATCCGATATGTCAGAACTACATCTTGGACTAAAGCAGCCGCTGTGTTGTTCCTGGACAGCCCGGTTGGTACCGGTATGTAGTTAATTTCAATTCTTACAGTCTACATACATAGCCCAGAATTATGACTATTAATTTACCCCGAGCTGGTAACGAAGTCATTGTTGAGAACAAAATAACTTACACGCACTTTTTTTGGACAGGTTTCAGCTTTACCAGAGACAAGTATGCGACATCCATTAGTCAAGTGACTGAGGGTTTGTACATATCGTTGTGCCAGTTTTTCGAGCTGTTTCCAAACTATAAACAGGCCAAATTTTATATTACGGGAGAGTCGTTCGCAGGTATCGGGGTAGATTTAAAATCTTCTTATAATGAATGAATGGTGATGAAATAGAAGAAAAGTATGTTTTATTTGCTGCATGTATAAGGTCAGTATATTCCACACTTGGCGATTCGTGTGTTGGAGCAAGGCATGAAATCACCGTTATCTCATCCGTCGTGCGATATTTCCTTGTCCGGAATATCCATCGGAAACGGTTTCATCGACCCTGAGAACTCCCTCGACTATGCAGAGTTCCTTTATGGTCTTGGCCTATTAGACGAGAAGGGTCGACTTCTGAGTGAACAGTGGCAGGAGAAAATTAGATCCCTCATTCAAAAAGAGAGATACACTGAAGCATTTAAGGTAATTAAGCAAAACGACATTTTAGGTCTAATTGCAGTCAGGGTAAAGTTCTCTGTATATTGCGAAATACAGCTCTATGATCAATACATCGGATACTCGGGATTGAAGGGGAGTCTCATCTCGAATCTTACGGGCTCAGATTTCTACTATAACGTCTTGAAAGCAAAGAGACCTCCAGATTATGACTATTACACCAAATTTGTGGAGCAACCAAAAGTACGGGATGCGCTTCATGTGGGGTCGCAACATCACTTTCAAGACGGAGTCCTTGTCATGAGTAAAATGGAGGGAGAAATAATGAAATCGTCAAAAACCCAGTTTAGAAAATTGGTTACAGGTTGGGTAACATTGCGCTGTTATTTATTTTTCACGTTGGTAATTGTGGGAATTTCTTTCCAGAATACACGAACATTCCAGTCTTGCTTTATAACGGGCAACTCGATCTCATTGTGGCTAATCGGCTGACGGACTCATTTCTCGAGGCTTTGAATTTGGATGAAATCGGTCCCTGGTCGACGAGGAAGGCTCTGAAAATATCTCTATCCGAAATAGTTGGCTACTACAAAACGTGGAAAAATTTGACCCGGGTTACCGTCCGAAATTGTGGTCATATGGTCCCCTACGATAAACCGGAATGGGGATACTTTCTAATCACTGCTTTTTTAAAGGGTGATCTAGGCATTACTGAGAATGATCGTAATACAGTTACGGGAGCTAAGAAATTTATTATCAAAAATTCTATTTATAGTGCTCGAAATAAGACATTCGAAAAAATTAAATATTAAATTGACATGACATAAGTACCAATTTATTTTGCACACACCCTGACAAAATATTTACTCATAATTAAACTAATAATTGGCTAGTTTGTAAAAAAAATTGGATTAGCACTGTCCCAGAAGTTTTCGAATTTCACTGCACGAGTCAACCTGTTGTAAAATATTACTAAAAATTCCTCCCAGTGGATTCTGAGGTATACTAAAACTAGGAATTTGAGGAATGAGGCTCGGCGTTTTGTCGTCATGAACTAAACCGGAGTCATGTTGATTTGCATTTGATTCTAATATATTTGGTTTCAGAGTACTCGCTTGTTTAAGAAAATGTACAGGACCACCGCGGTTAGCTCCTACCGCTCCGAAAATTCCTGATGTGATGCCCGACATAGTAGCAACAATCTGTTTATAATTTTAGACTCGTATGAAATTAAGGCACTCGCAAAAATCAAAATGAAATTCGCATAATAATTTATAAAGAGTTCATATTGTACCTTATTAAGCATTCCACCGTTGTTTGTAGTGCCTGGTTTGTAGTGAGGATTGCTTTTGTCGGGAAATGGGGGTGGAGTTATTATTATGTCATCATGTGCAACTTGTGATGATGATGGGTCCTTAGCGTCCGAACCACCAAAAAATCCAGAAATTGAGGAATAAAGCTTCAAGTGCAATAAAAAATAATTGAAATGCATATGTGTCGGTAGTTATCACTTTATTTACAAAAGTTATCTAGCAGTAGTAGTGCGACACCAAAATTTGTCGTGTACCTACCTGGTCCAGTATGCCACGATATTCTCCCTGACTCTTCTGGTTCCTTAATTCCGCCGCCTTAAAGAGTGGCGTCTCCTTTTTTGGTGACATTTTATTATACAGGCATTATATATAAAATTTGAGATATTTGAAGTTTAACTTACATTGCAAATTAGAACACAAAGTAGAAACACATTCGCGACCCTTTTCTGCATACTGATGGAAGAATTGACAGAATTGATCCTGCTCGCCGGTAAAAAATTACGCGTGTGAAAGACAAAATCAATCTTAATATTCTATTTAACGCTTTAACACCTAACTAAGAACAGCACATTATAATAACAATAACTGCATATCTATACCGACAGTGTCAGTGTAAGTACCACAGATGAGAAAGTGGAGCGACAACGAACAACAATCAGCTCATAGATTCGTACTTAATTTATTTAATTGTCAGTATCTGGTAAAAATTACCATTCCATTCGAATATAAAAGGGCATCCTAACCTTGGCAAAAGTCTGGAAAAGCTACTGGAAAAATTGTCGCAATATCAGAGATACAGATGTGTAATGTCACTCATTCATTATGCAATCGTAGATAATATAGCACATATCGGTACAAGACGTACATATGCATTTAGATACATGCGATTTGTTATGTCGCGCTGAAGAACAGATTTACACGATTTACAATGATCAATAGGGCGATAAAATCGAAGAAGTTTGTAATCTAATTGATCTTGCTAGTCAATTGTTTGAAATATTTTTCTTCTGGCTGCAGGAACTGACAAGCCTTCCGAGTAAGTGGGCCTAATTATTTCTAATAATAATAAAGATTAAAATTTATGTTGTTAATCAGAATCAGCCATTTTTAAATACTCTGTAATTATGTATTATTTACAAAAGAAATGAACACTTGTATTGATTGAGTAATGCGACACAATTTACCAACAGAATAGGCACACCTACTTTATTATGTATTATGGACAGCTATCCATGTGCGTAAAATTAATGCAGTTTAGAATTTAAATTTAAATAACAAAGTTTGTTTATATAGTTCAAATGAAATTATAAGTAACTTATGTTAAACTGGCATGATTATGCGTCAGAGTCAGCAACGGTGCAATTACTCATCAGCAATTAGCTATCGTAGCTGGAATTCAAAGAACTATTAGGTGAAGGTTTTCCTCTTCTGCAGAAAGGGAGACGACATCCTCGAATTTTGGTAAATGTTGGAGAAATTGGTAGTAATTTGAAAATTGAGAATCTGCGGAAAAAGCGATCTTGTGTTAATCGTTTTATACAAATACATACGCATATGTACAAGTATGTACGTCGCTCAATTTATCATTTTAAAATTACCTTTCAATTAAAGCTGTAACGTATGGCAAATCGTAAGATGGGTTTCGCTTGTCTCTGTGAGATTGTTTGGCTTGTATCCGTTGAGATAGACCACGTTCTTCAGGCGACCCTAGTAAAAAGAGACAGCTTCTGTTGATATTTACGATGAAAGAATGATGCTAAGTATATAGTTGCTGTTGTATATACCAGATATCGTGTTATCCAAAATAAAGCCCGTCATGCCTGCAACAAACATTCCAGTGGATAGCAAAATTTGAATAATACTGTCGACGGCAAGCGACCCAGTTTGTACAGCTTCAGGATTGCCTTCTGCCCACTGAGACACTGCCTACAAAACCGTTATGTTGACCTTAATCCAAATGCTCCAGAATATATTATTAGCATGGATAATTAGTCCTTACCAATCCAGCGAAGATTGAGAAACTGACGATAAAGATATTTCGTGACGACTCCAAGCAAATTTCGGAAAGTGTTCCGATTCCGACGGCCATAATGAGTGGAAAAATGTAGCAGAACAAGCCACCTAGTACGGGGTCTGGTATTCCTATGAATATTGCACCGGCTTTGCCCACCAAGCCGAGAACGATCATGATAATCCCACCAAACAGAATCACTCTTCGGGATGCTACTTTTGTCACCGTGATGGTTCCAATGTTGTTTGAGTACGATGTGGATCCATTACCGGAACCGACGATACCGCTCAAGACACAGCCAAAGCCTTCGATAAATATTCCTCTTGAGATCGCATGTTGGGGTGGAACGCCCATCTCTAAATTTGTAGTCAATTGTTTCGTATTTAAATGTGATACCAATTATGTTCTAAAATATCAACTAACTTGAGATCATCGCACACGCGTAGTAATCACCGATCGATTCGATTGTTGCCGTTAAAACACCGCATAACACACCAAAGACTGCCCCCACCGAGACGGTTGGCCAACCCCATTGAACTATAAATTGAGGAATTAATTGTTCAAGAACAGCATGTCACGATACGAATAATTCTGGTAATAATTGAAGTTTTAATTGTGCCAAATGGTGCTTACAAGGATACGGAATACGAAACCAAGGAGCACCGTGAAGTATTCGGATTTTGGAATCCGATCTGGCAGGGTCTCCTTTTGGTAGAACATCTGTCACGGTGAGAATAATACAAGCCCCCCAGACAATCCCTAGAGCTAGAAGCACCTGTGAAAATAAATTGTTGTCCCTTATTTTTCCATAAGATTTTATGCAAACTTTGGGTATAAGTTGACAAGGAGGTTTATCTGTACTCACAGGAAATACTTGAAATATTGGAAACGTTTTCTTCTTTTCCTTATCTTTTCCACAAGGTTTTGAAATTCCAAAATTTTTGAAGTGTTGTGAGAACAGAATTAACAGTCCAATCATTCTGAATAACAATTTCAACATGACAAATTAGCATTAAGAAATGTAGTACTGATACCGGGTACGTTATGCATCAACTTACGCAAAAGCTACGATGCAATTTTTGGAGACCTGTACAGTTACATTTTTGAAGAGGGACAAACCAATAAGTGTAATTGCTGGCGCAACGGTGAGAGGCGTCAAGAATTTTGTAACAAATCCGATAACTCCTATTTTATAGTTAGTCAATAAGTCTCACTCCGATTGAGTCACTCGTATACATATTTATAAATATTACAATTCGGTCAACATATTTTTACCTGTAAGTGCAAAAACGACCTGAAACATTGACGCGCATATTATTGCTCCCTGGATCTCCCTCATTCGAACCTGCCAGAGTTCAGTTTTTTCTTCGGGCGACATCCCAGCCATCACATTTGCAGGGGGACATTTCCACTGGGGTAGATTCATGATGGCCAGAGTGGGTACAAGGAAGGAGAAGGAGCCTCCTTGCACGATTGGCAGTCTGGTGCCGACATGGCTCTGCAGAATTGTAATTATACCCGACATGAAAATGAGGGTTGAGATGATATTGGCACGATTTGGGTCATCGTCGTCCATACAAAGCGCTGGGGTCAGAAGGAAGGGACAGGCGATGGAGGCTCCGATCATTTCCAAGTAGTGCTGGTCATACGTAAAATAAAAATATATTTAGTTTTTGTAAAATTCTCAGTGAACTTGAGTGTACCTGGAAGCCCAAAAAGAGGCACATGTACCAAGGGGGCACGTCTTCAACTTTGTAAATCAAGTCGTCCTCCTCATCCTCCTCCAGCACTGGAAGGTTGTAAATACCAAATACGCTGCTCCTTCTTCGCCCTGGTAATAGTACGGGAATGCTGCTCCGCTCCGTGCTGGGCGTTGTGAAGGAGTCAATCGAACTTACTGTCTCCGCATTTCGGATTTTATCAATATCCTGTTTTACATAAGTCTGATTAGTGGCGAATCTGCTATCACTGAATTTTCAGGATTAGCATTGAATACCTGTTGAGCTTCTTCATCGTCGTACTTTGAAATACCGTCAAATGCTCGATTGTCCATTTTTGGTATGATAAGTTTTTAGTTCATTTAAAAAATCAAGTCACCTGTGAAAAAGTACGCTCTTGAACTGATACATATATATCTTTGAAAGTCAACAAAAATCTGAGTTGTCGAGTCTTTAAGAACGCTTCTTTTGTAGTTTACTAAAGCAGTAGCAACAAATTGGGTAGGAAAGTAGCAATAATTACTACATGGATACCTATTCCTTTATGACATTCACGACTAAAAAGACATAATACAGATGCATGCAACATGGATATTTACAAATATCTATATTAATCTCGATTTATTTAGTCCAATGTCCAAACAAAAAGAGGGCATAATTCCTGTATGGAAAGTTACAAAAATTTACTGAAATTGAATTTTGCAACCTTTTCTAATTATGCTCATGGAAAGCTATAGGAGACAAATGCTCATTTTTGTAACAGGATGCCAGTATTAATTTTCTAAATGACCGTGTTGTTCGAGGAGTTATTTTTCCTTGGGAAACTAACAACATAAACAAACGCACATTGGTCATGAATTATTGCACCCACAAACCCTGGCTTAAATTAAATATGTCATATTTGAAATAATGAGATGCATTTGTCAGCATGAGTTTGTTACCATAATGAATTATATAGTCCCATACGTAGCATATTGCTTCGTTACAGTTTACACAAATGAAGCAATGGGACTAATGGTTTGAAGGATTTATCGTTACAAACAAAGTTGTTGTGGAAGAAATGCCTGCTTGCGTCAGAAGTTTGACCAGCAAGCATAATCAATATGGACAACAAAGGAGCGAACCAATTATTCCTGTCATTAATATGAACAACTTGCAGTAAATGTTTAACTATGGAATCATCAAATACTTATCATTATTAGACGAATGAAAGATTTTCAAAGTTTAACATTTTCGTATCTATTAAAATCTGGGATCGTTCATTTATTCAGCACATGCAAATTTTGTGTGAATCTTTGTTCTACGAGGAGTACTCGTTGCATTTCCTCTTTTGTGTGAAATGTTCAATATTGCTGAGGAGAGTCATGCTTTTCCACAAGTTATATTAATTTTTCCAATAAAATTCAGTAAAAAATGCAGGTTTAAGATACTAAATAGTCCATACAGCCTCGTTTCAACTATTGGGTAATACCAATGGGCTTCGATTTCAGTTTTAATTGTCAAGTATGCAATTTGTGGTAGATAAACAATATATATACACATGTTTTGATATACCACAACATAACATTATACACTCGAATAACGCAGCATTTAATTCGGTAAATTTTCATTTTGCACATTCTCCACTTTTTCAGAAATGCTTATACACAAGGCAAGAAGATAATAATAATAATGTACCTGATAAGACGACATTGACCTTATCAATCAACTGAATTTGATAAGTTTTGAATGTTCCACGAAATGAATGATAGCGTACCTGTGTATGCGAAAATGTGTATCGATGCATAGAAAGGTTTCCCATGATTTCATGTCATTCTTCGGTGATCATCAAACCATTCCACTACGAAATAAATAGGTACAAAATGAAGTGGTCAATTTTCTTGACAATTTTGGCCCTATATCTGGCGTCAAGTTCCAGTAGTGCGGCCCTTCTCAAAAGTTATGAAGGGTAAGCAAAAATAGCCATCTCGTCTAACGCGCACACATAAACATATTAACATATTTAAATACATACAACATATCAAACCTCATACTAAATAATTATTAATCAGGTACAAATTGCTGAGGATAACAGCCCAAAACCAGAAGCATCTCAGCGTCCTTTTGGAATTACGAGATGCGTGGGAAAACACGGAGCCTCATCCATCAGCACTTGTCAACTTCTGGAGCGAACCTGCCATAAATTTCCCCACGGACCTCATGGTCACTCCCGACGCAATTAGTAAAGTCAATGAGATTCTAGAGGGAAACTCCATCCCTTACTCGGTCCAGATGGAAAATGTTGAAACGTATATATTCATGTTTTTTCTATTTCATTTCGAAACAAATTATGGAGCAAATTTTGTTTTACATGTTTAGATTGGTGCAAAATCAGCTCGCAATGAACCAAGCAGCCCTTTCTGCTGCTCCTGGAGATGAACGCATTGGATGGACGGCGTATAATCGATATGACGCTGTAAATATGATTGATGGATTATTATCGATAAATTTCCCTGTATACCTTTCACAAGCACTAATTTATGCATCAATCAATATGTTGGCAGGTGATGGAATGGCTCGATGAACTGGCAGCTAATTACTCTTCGATCGCAACCGTCGAATCTATTGGCCAGAGTACCGAGGGCCGAGAGCTCAAGCTTATCAAAGTTGCAACTCCTGGGGGAGTCCCAAACAAGAAAGCGATCTTCATTGATGGAAGTAAGCACATTGATTGAGCGCTTAATCAATTTCAGGTTAAATACATACAAGCCTATACGACATGGAATAAAACGCTTGTATGTGTATTAGCTTTCCATGCACGTGAATGGATCTCACCTGCCGTGGTCACGTACATTATCAATCAACTGGTCACCAACTCTTCCGCTTATGCGCATATTCTCGATAACATTGACTTCTACCTCCTACCAATAGTCAATCCTGACGGGTATACATGCTTGAAACGCCACATATATTTCATGCCTCTTATTTATCTTCTTTAATATTTAGCTAATTTCTTTACTACAGTTACGAGTTCACTCACACAAGTCAGCGTCTGTGGCGAAAAACCCGATCTGTTATCAATGGCTCCACTTGCCTTGGGGTCGACCCAAACAGAAACTTTGACATTGACTTTGGGGGCTCAGGATCGTCCACTTCTCCGTGCGCAGAAACGTATCTGGGTACAGCTCCCTTTAATATTCCAGAGACTCGACTATTGTCACAGTACATTCGATTGAATTCAAACAAGTTCAAGGCATACTTATCCATGCACAGCTACTCTCAAGTATGTAATATTTGACATTTTTCTTAATTACATAAATTGACGAGAAATTTTGGTTTATTAATCATTGTTCCTGATTACGACCAATCTGCTAGGCATGGCTCACTCCATATGCATGGTCCGCTAGTCCACCACCATTTTTCAGTGATATTGTAATTATCCATAATATTTTTACGGCATGTTTTTAAAGACAACTACTTAAGACTGAAATTTGTTCTTAATTAAAAGATGTCCGTTGGTACCAAAGCCATCGAATCTTTACAGGCCGTCTACGGAACTCGATACGTTGTTGGGCCTACCAGCACCACCCTCTGTGAGTTCTTTTGCCACTTTTGTGGACAGCTACATCTGATAGCTTTTATTAGTGAATGATTCTTATGGGAATAATTGTTTTTTGAAGATTTCCATTCGGGTGCTTCACAAGACTGGACAAAGGATGTTACATCCATTAAATACACGTATACCGTGGAATTAAGAGACACAGGTATGCTCAACCTTTGCCTAATATAGACATACAAATAATGGACCAGTGGACCACAAAGTATAATGTGACGACATTTGTAAATATGCAAATAGGTGATTTCGGTTTTCTTCTCCCCCCGAACCAAATTCTGCCCACAAGTGTGGAAACCTGGGCAGCAGTTCAAACAGTTGCTCGTGAAATCATGACAGAAATTTAATTATCAAAAACACGACCTTCTTTTGAAGTTTGTAGAAATTGGTGGAAAACTAATAAATTTAATTGTGCATATCGTAGCTTGAAAATTCGTCGAATCCTTTATCAGAACAGATGTGTTCCATGGTATTACGGAAAGATACACCCTCTCATTTGCTTGCACCCGTTCAATTGCACCATGCACGCATCTTCCACCCCACGCGTTCCCGTAAACACAGCAAAACGTGCTGCTTGGTTCCATATATGAGCGATCTTGTAAGGATGTGCTATTCCATGGCTTGGTGCCACACGCTTACCAAGCAGCACGTTTTACATGGAAAATATATAGGGGTGCATCAGGGGAGAGTTATTTTAATTACCTATTACCTATGTACATGAGCGGGTCTGCATCTGTCCACAATTCATGTTCATAATGTACGTGTATCTCAGAATTTGTGTGAATTTTATTCATAACCATAACCATTCTACCCTAACAGGAAGTCAAATAATGAGAATGATGCTGAATAAACAATAAATATTTAGATCTTAAAAATGACTTCACCAAAGTTGGGAGTGCTATTAGTATAATTTGGAGATTGGAAAAGATTGCTTAGAATTTTAGATGATGGCTCGCAAATAATGATTGGTGGACAATTGAAAATCATGCAAATTCTAAATAAATGATATACATAGATATGTTCATTCATAATACAAACATAAACACATTGAGTGGTAATTAATTACATTATTTATCAAGTCAAAGTATGTCATCTTTAAATAACGATTGATATCATTAAACAGCAGAAAGTGCTCTGGTTTGTTTTCGTTATCACAAAACTTTGTTATAAATGACATTGTATTTATATTTCCAGTTAATAAGCCAATTCAAATTGCAGATAATAAAATAAATTCATGTCATGCATGATGAGTTCATGACATTGTCATAGATCACAGACAGATACATTGTAATAAATCACGGACAACTATAGTCAATCAAGTCTACCATCTCATTACTCATTACTTGAATAATTTTACCCTTTTAAATACCCTTGTAAATAATTAGCCAAATTACCTTTAAGAAATGTATAAAAGAATGTTTTACAACTCGTTATTAATAAAAGTATTTTTCGTAGCGTTATTATTGCCAAGTTTTTCAAAAGCTGGAGAAAGTTTCGGATTTTTCGAAGGTCCGAATGCTTACACGTATACGCGAGATGGGCTAAAATCTCACATCGAATCTGCAACTTCTCGAGTATCCAATGAATTTAATCCGGAAATTTGTTCGAGACCTGAACATAAGGAGCTGATGGAAAGGCTGAAGAAATATCAGCCCTCCGTGGACAGAATTAAGCAATCGGTTGTTTCTGGGTCTTACAAGAACACGACGTACGAGGGATTAGTCGACTTTCTCGACACCTTCGGACCCCGGATAAGTGGTTCGGTAGCATTGGAGAAATCCATCGACTACCTTCAAGACGCGTTTGAAAGCTCACAAGGAGTCGACATAATGTGGACTCAACCTGTGGATGTGCCCAAGTGGGAGCGGTTCGTGCATATATTTTATTTCTCAGACAGAATACACATTTTATGCTGATTTTATATAAATACTCTGTGAACAGTGGCGAAGAATCAGCCCGATTGGTAACATCTTCAAACAGAAGCTTGGCAATGTTCAGCCTGGGCCAATCCGTTCCAACGCCCTCGAATGGAATTATTGCAGACGTCGTCGTATTTAACGACTATAAATCTTTGGCAGAAAATATTGCAAATGTAACAACACAAAAGTTACAAATTATTTCTCCTTATGTTGTACACATGATATATGATCTATTTTCTATAATAAAAAATTAGGTGCGAGACCGGATAGTCGTTTGCAACTTTATCGGAGTAGAAGGTGATATTCTGGACACAAAGAACACGGGTTATCCTCAAGTTGCGGACAACGGTGGTCTGGCAATTTTGTACAAATCAGCCGCAACGTTTTCTTTGTACACGCCCCACACCCGAAGAGCTAATCTGTACTACAACGGCGTCTCAAAAGAAATTCCCATCGCCTATTTGACCACCGAAGATACAGCTTTGCTATCCCGGATTTATGCCAGAGGTACGTACATACTATTTACAAATGTACATATTTATTAATCACGTGTGGTACAACTTTTATTTGAACGCAATTGATAAATGAGTCAATTTACCAATTGGTAAATTAAATAGTCAAGCAATCAATTGGTACCAGTTTTCTTAACGTAGGATTAGGTGACTCATCGTCATAGGTCTAAAAATCTGAACATTTTTATGCATTTCTCCGTTCTGGGAATTTATTTTTAAATTCTACCAGATCCATTGGTAGACCAGGTCAGTACCAATTTATTAAAAATATGCACTCTAGATTTTGAAAAGTTTTGAAGGAGGAGACCCAATTTTTCTGAAGGCGTTCACTCTTTTTGGGTCTCCTCCTTCAAAACTTGTCAAAATCTAGAGTACATATTTTTAATAAATTGGTACTGGTCTGGTCTACCAATGGATCTGATAGAATTTAAAAATAAATTCCCAGAACGGAGAAATGCGTAAAAATGTTAAGATTTTTAGACCTGTGACGATGAGTCACCTAATCCTACGTTAACATTTCAGGGGAGCAGATAACAATGGATTTGAAAATTTTCAACAAGTACCACAACGACGTTACTGAGTCTAGAAATCTATTTGGAGATTGGGTGGGTTTAGCTCTTCCCGAGGAACACGTGATCCTTTCTGCCCATACGGACTCTTGGGACGTAGGTCAAGGTAAGTAATCAGGAATTGCATTTTGTATCGGCTGTAACGGGGCATTATGGACTTACTAAATAATTTTATTCCAACTTTGATTAATAATTAACTCTCAAGGTGCACAGGACGACGGTGTAGGAATTTATCTGGTGGTACAAACTATGAATTTGTTGAGTGAGTTGGGTCTGCGTCCTCGGAGGACAATTCGTTCGGCACTTTGGACTGCAGAGGAGTATGGCTTCAATGGGTCGGCGACATACATCAAAGAATATTACAGAACGGCTGAACAAATGGAGAAGGTGACGTTGGCAATGGAGGCAGATTACGCCTGCCTGGCGAATGGTGGCTTTATCTTTCACGCCAACTACCAAGGGAATCCTTTGAGGCCTCATAATTTAATGACTCACGAAGAACTCGGGTGCATTATGACCTCGATCAATGAGATGCTCGGGAGTGACGTTACCCTGGGCTTGGTGTATGAATCCGACTCTTATGGAACGGATTTGGATCGTTTCATTGACCTCGACATTCCAGTGGTGAGTCTGCTGGGCGATGATGGACGATATTTCTGGTATCACCACACGGATTCGGACACCGTCTCTGCCCTCAACCCTTTACAACTTGATTACTGTTTGGCAAGTTGGGCGTCGGCAACGTACATCTTGGCGGACTTTGCGTATTCGACAGAAAGGAGTGGTGGGTCGCCGAGTTTGACATATAATTTCATGACCCTTATTTCTATTTCTGCTCTATTTATTAACAGTATGATATTGACATGAACCAAATAACGTATGTATGTATAAAATGCTTAACATGTATCTGAACGTATACTTGAATAGTGTCTAATGTATTAGTTCCTTATTTAGTAAAAACGAGTGCAGTGTTGATTTACAAAATATTCGATTCCGGTCTTGGGAATCGTTTTAGCAATTGGATCTTTTCTTCTCTGGTTAAACGTAAACAATTATTGTGTGCGGCTCATATTCATGTTCATATACGCTGTTGTAGATTTTGATTTAATGGGGCTATAAAAAAGAGGTTGCTATCCTATGATAGATATTCAATCAAGGAATAATATTAAATTTATCGTTTAATTTTCCCTTTACTGGTTCATTAACTGTCACTTATTAATTATTAAAAAGTGACAGTTTATTATTTATGAAGACATTGGGTATGTAAGCCGAAGGTGTAAATATTATTGAAATACATATTTTATTTTTACTAGCAAATGCATAATTTTCAACATTGCAAAATTGCTAATTTGCATGAAACAAACCAAACATATATAAAAATTAAAGTTGGGTGTATGAAATATTAATAAATTAAGAGCTAATTATTCTGGCTGAGATGAATGTTCAACGAAGGTCACGGCTTCGTGAATATCGACTGGTCTCACGGTCGAGCACTAAAATATATAAGAGCACAAACTGTTATTGAATTTCATTATTAGAATATAAATCACACAAGTAAAACCCATATGTATTCAAACCTTATTTGTCATAGAAACCCCATAAAATTTGTCCGCATCGGATAAAAACTCCCGTCGGAAAGTAGTGCAAATGAACTGAAGATTAAATTCGGATGACAAACCATGAATGACCTTTGTTACTTCAGCACGGTACTGCGGATCCAAGGCCTGAATTATATGTGACCAAAAAACATTTGAAGTAAAGTGATACGAGATACATATATATGTAATAAATTATAACCAGATAAACTTAGAAAATCAGAGTACATAGCTATTTATTTTACCTGGTCCACCTCATCAAATAAGTAAAATGGAACTGGATCAATTTTCTGGATTGCTAAGATTAAGCACAATGCGACGACAGATTTCTGACCACCAGAAAGCTGAATTATATTACACATTTCTGGAAGACGATTATTAATGAAATTGACATTGATTTTTAAACCCTCTGCAACTCCGCGTCCCAAAAGCTTGCGAATCTTGTCCTGCTCGCAAATAAAAAGGAACAATACATTCTATGTGTTTGGAGTTTTGGAGATATAAATTAACTTTTACAATTTTGATTACCGAATCTAAAGTTTCAGAATCCACGTGAAAGTTTTTGCCGTACAAAATCAACTCTGCGATACCTTTGGGGACAATCTGTGAAAAAATTTCTTTAAACTGTTGTTGAAGAACACGAAAATTTTTGAGAATTGCATCTGCTCTTTTTTCTTCAAGGTCAGCAACCAACTGATCCATTTCATCTCGAGCTGTACAAAGTTGTTCTAAATTTTCCTTGAAGGCTGCATACTGTTCCACGAGTTCTTGGTATTGTTCTGCAGCTTTCTGGTTGACACCAGACACGCCACCAATGTACTTGTTAATTTTCTTTAATTTTTCATAAAGAACTTTTGATGATTCGTTTTGAAATTTATTAGAATCCCCCGGTACAGTTGCAAATTTTGTCCCTGCTTCAGTAATTTCTTGAAGCTTCTGGTTCAACCCAAGCGCCTCAGTACATAACTTGTCCAAACGTCTCTCGACTTGATTTCGGGATTTCATTATTTTCTTTTCCTTATCATCAAGATTATCTAATTGTGCCTTTAATTTGGACCTCTGTAATTTAAGACACGAGTGAGTTTTGTACAATAATTACAGAGTTCATCGATTATCTCATGCAGTGTTAGTGTGTAAACCTTTGCGGCCAACTGTGGTATGGATTCAGCGATATTGTTCGATTCGCTGATCTTCTTGTTAATTTGATCCGTAATGGAATCTATCATTTCGTTGATATCAGATAGTCTTTGTCCATGTTCTTGACTAGAGTGGAGTTCTAGCTCTTTGAAACGCTCTTCTTCAACCCTGAGCAAAATTATACAAAACAATGAACATGATATCATATGCACATAACATGCGTTATATTATACATATTTGTGTAAATTAGATAGACTAACAGAGTGTGCTGTTGTTGAATTTTCAGAGTTAGAGATGTAATAACCTTTTCTATGTTCATTCTTTTTGAAAATATCTCTTTTTTCTCTTTCGTTAGTTTCTTTAGTTTATTTCTAAGGTTGGAGACCATTTTACGATCACTCTGAGACGGGGTAGATTGGCTTTGTCGCTCCAATTCTGCTTCATAGTTGGTTTTCCGACAGGTGAGTTCGTAAATTTCACGTGATAATCGTTCAGTTTCTTTTTGAGTATTGGTAAATGACACTTCTATCGATTTTAGCTCGACTTCAAAACGTTTCAGCTTGCATGCCGAGTCATCCTTTTTCGCCCTGCAAGTAATTAAAGACAATTTTGAAGTAGAATGCTTTTAACCAAAAAACTACTAACATATTTTTTCAATCTCACATTAAAACACATTTTTTAGACTCCCTATTTACCGACGCCGAACCGGCTTCAGCAATGTGCTTTTCTAGTTTTTCCAACTGGCTTTCCGCATTAAATTTCCGATGTGAAAGAGACTCGAGACTCTGATCTGACTTTGCTTTTGCTCGTTGGAGTTCCAACTTTCCCAAGCCTAGTTCCATATAACCACCTACAACGCCATAAAGTAGAAAAAATTATAATAACTAACAATAAAAATCTACGCACTGAGAAATATTAATACGTCTATGCTAATTTTGTTACCACTAATAGGTCCAGTCCTGAATACCTTGTCACCCGCAGTAGTTACGCAAGTGATTTTATGAATCTTAGCAAGGGATGTGGCATCAGATAATTCTCTGCATAGCAAAATTGGTCCAAAAATAAAACTGACAAGTTTTTCCAACCCGGGTGAGCAATTAATGTCGTTCATCAAAGGACGATGGTCCTGTTTTTAAACAAGATACACAAAATTAGTAAGAAGGTATAAATAGATATCCTACAAAAATTATGAATTAAATATTCAATCATAAAAATATACAAGTACATCCAGACAATAATCTGAATAAAAATAAAATTGTACCGCCTACCCGATGATCTGGGGGATAAGTTATGACTGGTACTTGTATATCATCAATTGGAATAAAGGTAGGAGCTCCTCTTAATTTGAGTCGATTAAACTCCTTAAGAATACGCATGCCAACTTTTCGATTCTTTACAACATGATTAAATAGCCTGATAAATAAAAAAGTAATATTAATTATAAATGGAAAGTTGTAAACAAATTTGTTGAGACGTTGACTATAGAAAAACATATTTGTAAGAAGTGCTTTACTTAATTCCGCCAGCTGTTTCCACTGCTAGGTCGAAACTGTCTTCACATTCGATATTTTCAATAACCAGTCCATAATACCCTTCGACAATTTCGTCCTCCCCATTCTTTCTCAATTCTTCGATCGCCAAGTGTACTCCCTCCCACCCGTTGATTGCTTCTCGGCCTACTTTCCTTTGGAGATGTTCCATAAGTGCTAGCCGGACCCCTTTTTCATTTGACATTTTCTGTTCAACTTCATTAAGGGTTTTCCACATTTCTCTGGAAGTCGCAAAATCTTTGTAAATACTAAAATCTATACATAGCTAGCTGCATTAATATAACGAACGACGTACAAACCTTCTAGCCTTTTCTGCTTTAAAAAGTTCTGCATCTGGGTGAGTTGAAGCCTTTTGAAGCTTTGCTAGTTCTATTCGGATATTGTTATGCTCCTCTTGAATACCCTGCATCGTACATTTGAGCAGTTATTTATTATTTACAGTGTCCATTCTTTGTAACATAAAATTGTTATATATATACAGACCTCCAAGTTTCGAGTCACAGTTTTCTTCGAGTTTTCTAGTGTTGCCAGAGTCTTTTTCATTGAATCAAGTTTTTTAGAATTCTTTTCGATGTCCTTCTTAATGTTTCTATATAAAAAGGGCAATTTTAATGGGATACTATTATAAATATACATATTATAAAAATTAACTACATACGAAATTAATACGACGATCTCTTTGGAATCTAGAAATTCACCTCCAAGACGTGATTCTAAGATTCTCAACTTGCTATCTTTGGAAATTACCCTGAAAGAAATGTAATTATATTAATTACCAATTATATCAATTGGTCTAGCCGATAAACAAGTATAAAAAGTTTACAATATCGCCCACTCTGTAGTTACTACCTTTGTTCTACATTCAGCTCATTTGATTTTGCGAGTTCAAGCTCATTTTTAGCTTCAGCTAATTCTAATTCCATTTCAGAAAGTACGCTCTGTAACTTTTTTAACTGTGCATTTACTTGCTTCTTTGATAAATTTTTGCTTTGGCTTAAAAATTCTTCGCGCAAGTTCTTTAAGCGTTCCTATAACAAAGTACATTAAAATTGAAAATTGTGCATTTAATCAATCAACAGTGCAAATGGTTGCTAAAAATTCACAAATTAATGATATATATTACTAATATAATATGCATACCTTCTCAGACACCAGAGACAAAACTTCGCTGTCCACAATTTCACGCTTCGCCTGAACCCTTTCATATTTAGATGCAACATTTGCAAGATTCTGAGTGACGGTTTGTTCATCTTTTTTGAGCTCCTGCCATTCTTTTTGAATAGGTTCCACTTGCTCTGACACCTTCTCACGTTCTGCTTCACACTAGATAAAATATATTCGTAACTTGTATTAATATATCACCCAACTATAATAATTTATGATCTTATAAAGGAAATTTTAAATAAAGTAATACTGATTTTAACGCCGTTTGGGCTGACGCCATTTCCCGTTGATTCAAAATTTGCTCTATCGAACGTCGCTTAGAATCCCATTTCAAATATTGTTTCAATTCGGTTGCTTCGTTTGCAAGGCTATCCTGTCTATCTTTGAGGTCTGTCAGACATTTTTCCATCTCAGTCTTTTTGGCGTCACCATCTATTCAAGGGAGAAAAAATGTTGATCACGCTCCATTAATCTTAACCTTTAAGTGATTGATAAATGAAGTAAAACTACAACATATGTAAATATATGTCTCCTACCGTCAACAGATTTGCGATAATCCTCCAACTTTTGTTCGTACGACGTTGATCCCGTGACATCCTCCAGCAATTTTAATCGGAATGCATCAGTTCCTACTGCCAACTCTTGTACTTTACCTTGTCTAACGATGAAATATGGGTTCATAAAACCAGCCACATCTAGAAACTGTTTTGCATTTGAAATTTCTTTCCCATTGCAGTAGAACTTATCCTTCTTGGCCGCAATCATTCTCCGAAACACTACCGTATCAGCATTCACCTGTGATTATCAGACAATATGTCACTACAATTCTTTCAAAATAGCATTAATATTGTGCTTTACAATTCTACTTACCGGCAACTTTTTGTCTGTATTATCAAAAGTAATCTCCACAAAGGCAGGATCGTTAATTTTATTACCATGGCCTTGATAAAGTAACGCAGATCGTGCCTGCGGCCTGAGATGGCGATACTCCAAAGTTAGGGCAAATTCAATGGCAGCAAATAAATTACTTTTCCCGGACCCATTCAAGCCAACTAGATAAACGCCAATATGTACGACTCTCATTATTCTTTTCACATATTTATATGTAACATATGCACTTACCAATAATGTTAAATCCAGGATCAATGTCTTTAATAATTGTCTTTTCCTTGTAGCTTTTGAAGCCGCACACGACAACCTACAATAATAGTTAAATGCAATTTATTAGCCACCCATACTTCAAGCACGGAGGATTAAGATTTGTGAGAAACGTGCCTCTTTGATGAACATTTTGCCGACGTTTCGCACTTTCGGGAGAGGAGGAGGCAGGCCGAGGGGGGTGTTTGGTGAGGCAGCCCCACTTTTGTTGGGAAATAAAAACGGTGGAAGAAGACGAGGAGAGAGCTGGAACGGATGACCGGCCGGCAGAGAATCGGTGAGTAGTGAGTGGAGAGGATGAGATGGAGTAGGAAAAGTGAGACGCTTGCTACGCTTAGCGGTCATCAACCTCAGTGGGGATCCTTCCTCCCTCGAACAGAGTTCACTTGAGTTCCAGCCATTTTTCTCAATAGTTGCGAAAGCCGGCAAGAGTCATGTCAGATGTCATTGTTGCTGGTGTATGTAATAAATATGTTAATTTTGTCAAGAACATGGGTGTGACACATCCTTATTGCAAAGTTTGGTATTATAATCTAAAAAACCTTATCAAAACCAAAAAATATGCTCATTAATGCCTTATTAATGCCTTATTAAAATTTGTGGCTATCGAACAAATTTTCGTATATTTCCAGCTAAAATTGAAATGAAAGCCTATGCTTCTCTGATTAATCAACAAACCCGTAATTTATCTTCGAAGTTATCTTTTAATTCAGATGAGCACAAAAATGTTAGTCAATTTGCTTATATTCATAACTATCTTGGCGAGTTTCAACATTTGAGGTTTAACTTAAAATAAAAAGGAAAACTTGAAATACAAAATTATCTTCTTTATTTTGGTCATTTGATGAAAATCGTCTTTTACACCTTCAACCTTGGATAAGAATAATATTATACTTATTTTAGATATAGAAATAGCATAGTTGGTGGCCAAGGGAATAAATTCATAATTTTTTAAAATACTTGCTATATTAATTTCAAGTTTCTAGGACAATTTATAAAACAGTCATGTCAACTTGCACCCATGTGCATAAATGATCTTGCCACAGGATGGTTCTATAAAAGCCGTATTAGGTCGGGTTGGGTTATAAACCATCCTTGGTATAATTTGTTTCCATATCTTCAGTATTTTTGAGTTTCCCTTGATCCGAATTGTTTACTGGATGTGAGTAATGCGGATGTTCGGGACAGGGCCAATAATAGTTTGACGAGGGGTAGCTTTTACTGTTTCTAGATAAATGACTCAACTCCAAGCTGGGAGTTTGGCAAGGATTCGCACTGGCACCAAAATCCTTTTGATAACAATGACTATTCGTGTACTCGTTGCCTTGCGTCTCTCGTTTTAGTTGAAGATAAAGTTGATGAAAATAAAATAGAGAATATGTAACGCCTTCTCTGCCGGTGTGATGATTATTATTATTGAGCTCGAATTGCTGTGGGAGTAAATCACAGTGGGAATTATACAATGACGGGGTTCCCTCAATAATGGGCGGTTGCAAAGTTGATGATTTAGAGAAGGTATTCGAAGCAGGGGATTGTTCATTTAGAATCGATCTATGAGGTTGTAATCGGTCCAGGCTTGTCGAATCACGAAATGATGAAGTTGAGGGTGGTGTCGGGTAATGGAGCCTGGAATGAATTCCTGGAGTGAATTCGGATCGTAATAAATTGAGTGAAGATTGGGGTACTTCGGATGAGTATTTACTGCTACTGCACGGTATTTGTGATACTGAGCATCGTCGAGATGGTTGATATGATCCAGGAGGAGTGTTGGTGTTGGTCACAGAGTGAGACGTTGTAGGATAAAACGCCTGTCCCGGAAATCCAGACACTGAAACACGTTGAGGGCGAAAAGATTTGGAAGATTGACTTAACGTGTGAACAGAGCTTCCTGTCGGACCCTGCACTTTAAATTTTTACTGTATGTAGTAATCTGTATATTATTACTTGCCAATGTTGATAGGTTGATAAATGCAAACCTTGTCGTATCTACGTGACGAAGCCGCCACGGGTATATTTTGTACCCTAGTCGGAGAGTCAGTCCTGCTGACCCAACTGTAACCCCTCTGAAGCAAGGGGACACCCATCCTATCATAGTCCGCCTTTTGGAGACTTAGCGTTTCAAAGCAGTCCAAACAAACCACGACTTGGACTTTTGTGTGAGGAGCTGTGTGCTGCGTCAGACAAACACTCCCAGGCTTTCTTCTTGAAAACAGAAATGGGAATTCCTGAAAATGGATATATCATACATACCAATTTATAAAATTGAACCAGCTGACCATTTTTCAATATTAAATTCATTTTTCATAAGTATTCTTGTTACATCGGTCGGTAAGGCTCTCACTCTTCTTCGATAAGTCTGAACCCCACACACTCCACAAATGAAGATGTGAGGTTGATAGGTTCGTTTTTCAGGGGGTACCAATTTTCCTGGCTGCTGCTCGTAGATAGCCCATTGTGCTCGCAAAATGCAACTGCAGTAACTGCACAGCGTCACATAGTCACTACTGGTCGTCGTCATCAGTGTGGACGAAGCACGTTTTGAAATTTGCTCAAGAAACGGAAAGTATTCTTGACCACCACCTGGAGGATATTTTAAAACGGAGGGTCGTACCCGCACATCTTCGACCATCGTTTCGTCCGGGATTTGAAGTTCACATAACAAACAGAAAAATCTTTGCTTGTATTGTCGTCGGTCTCCTTCCGGTTTGTCTGGCGGAATACTTGCAAAATTATTATTTTGGTTAGGTTTGCAACAGTTGTATTCGGCCATTAATTGGTAATTGGATATTTTATTCTCCAGTTGAAAAGTTTAAAATATTTGCTGGCGTAAGGTCGAGTACGTGAGCAATTCTGATAGACTTTTGACTTTAGCGTGTTAAAATTCCTAGTACCTGGTTCTATTTTTAAACTGCTTAAATCCGCAGATGTTCTCATAAATATTAAGTTGCAAATGCTACTCAAGCGAGAAGCTATATATTTAATTTGCATTATGTGCTCTAAAATTTGCAAAATTTCATTATCACCTCAGAATAGAATGGAATCACCTCATGCCATCCCGGTTGTGTGTGCCTCGGCGTAATGTTCATACACATGAGATACATATGTAATATTAATGCACAAAGTGTTTACAGTGTGTATGCATATCTGTATTTATTTGAGATCATACATATTGTGAAATAATGCATGTAAATATTCCTGGAAATAACAGGTTACGTGACCAATCAATAAGCAAATTTTATTTTTCCATTTCCATTCTTTATTCTTTCTTTGCTCTCTAATAAGCTATTGATCATAATGATTATGCCGACTATTGTTATGCACATACTTGTTAATTGTTAGTCATTATTTAGGTGTTAGCCAGAAATTGTCATTTATTTATGTATTTATGCCATTCTGATTATAATTATATTCACAATTTCCATTCAATAACCATGTGTGTGTATCCAGGATCTGACCATGCACCACACTGAATAATATCGAAAATTTGCAATTAATTCAACAGATTTTTTATATCGACAAGTATTCAACAAATGTGAACTCCAAATTTCCGACGGTGACAAAAACGATGTTTAAACTGAATTATAATTACGCTATGCAATAATGTTTAGTACGCAAATTGTAAAATGTTTAAAGACAGCAAACATTTCGAGACATTCCAGACTCTGGACAATCTGCAGCCGACCCCCGCAACCTCTGCCTTTCTCGACAAGGGCTCGGGCAGCTGGGTATGAATTTAGTACATGACGATGTGTAACACTGGGGACCATGGCCTGGGCGACAGCACACATTCTTTGACTGGGAGCCAGGACAGCTCACCTTATCTCGATCCAACTCCTTGTACCCCGAGGGGCATGAGGGGATGAAGGTGGTGCAGGATGTCGTGATGCAAGGTGGACCCACGCCTCGACAACAGTAGTTTCTAGAATGCCCACTCGTAGGACACCCTAAAATCAGATGCAGACAAATATACATATTTATGTAATGATAATTAAAACAACAAAGGTTTGACTGATTAGAATGACGGCTAACCATTTCGATCGCGGTTCAGTTCTTTATAGCCTCCTGGACACGATGGAATGAAATTTGTGCATGTCGTCCAGTGGCAATCTACAAATGGCACGAGTTCTCGATATTCACTCACCTCCACCCCCGAAACACGCTTCCGAAAAGGTACAGAGCCCAAAAAGTAGTATCAATTGTATCCATTTCTGGGAGAATTTTTGAGAGAACTACCATTGAGTGGAATAAAATGTAAGGCAATTTGTTCGAATTTTCTAAAGAAGTGCTTACTAACCAACATTTCTGAGAAGTAGCTGTGGAAAACCTCTACTAAATAATTCTTTTAAATTTAAATTCAAATCGATTGAGTGAATACTTAATACTGAATCTTATTCTGCGGATAGTTGAACTCTTATTCTAATTTCGCTACATTATTTTATGTCGCATCAGGATTATTTTATTAAATAAACTATTTATTTGCCAAAAAAGTTTATGAGGCAAGACGACATTTATTAAGTAGCTTCAGCTACTTTATGTGAAGACTTTGTCTGTCTGTCTGTCTGTCTGTCTGTCTGTCTGTCTGTCAGCAGGATATCAGGAGAACGGATCGAGATAATCGAAATCGGTTTTCGCCATCATACATAGGACCCCAGGGGGAGGATCCTATCAACTTTTGGGGGCAACCGGACCACACCCCCTTTGGCGACAGGGGGTGTGGTCGGGGCAAAATGAGATTTTTAGTGCAATTTAATCTATAGGTGAAATAGAGTAAAATTATGTGTTCCGGAGTTGTGCCACACCCCCTCGGCGCCAGGGGGTGTGGTTGGGGCAAAATGAGATTTTTAGTGCAATTTAATCTATGGGTAAAATTAGGTGAAATTGAGTGAAATTAAATGAAATTAAGTGAAATTAAGTGAAATTAAGTGCTTCCCCGATTGTGCCACACCCCCTCGGCCCCAGGGGGTGTGGTTGGGGCAAAATGAGATTTTTAGTGCAATTTAATCTATAGGTGAAATAGAGTAAAATTATGTGTTCCGGAGTTGTGCCACACCCCCTCGGCGCCAGGGGGTGTGGTTGGGGCAAAATGAGATTTTTAGTGCAATTTAATCTATGGGTAAAATTAGGTGAAATTGAGTGAAATTAAATGAAATTAAGTGAAATTAAGTGAAATTAAGTGCTTCCCCGATTGTGCCACACCCCCTCGGCCCCAGGGGGTGTGGTTGGGGCAAAATGAGATTTTTAGTGCAATTTAATCTATAGGTGAAATAGAGTAAAATTATGTGTTCCGGAGTTGTGCCACACCCCTAGGCGCCAGGGGTGTGGTTGGGGCAAAATGAGATTTTTATAAAAAATTAATCTATAGATGAAATAGAGTGAAATTAAGTGTTCCCGAGTTGTTCCACACCCCCTCGTCGCCAGGGGGTGTGGTCGGGGCAAAATGAGATTTTTACAAAAAATTAATCTATAGGTGAAATAGAGTGAAATTAAGTGTTCCCGAGTTGTGGTGGGACCGTTTGGGGTGAAGTACGTCTGAAGCTACTTCCGTATGCGCGTTTGCGACGGTTTATTGACGTCTGGTGACATTTTGACTCCTTTATGATACCAAGTACGAAAATGGAGCAGTGGATCGGAACCACTGGATCAGTTAGATACCAATGCTAGCAATATTTCGTCGGTACGTTGCACACATACAAATATGTACTTGCATTCAAGTACGAAAACAAATGCAACCTTCATCAAATTCATATGTGGTTCCATTGATTGACTCTTCATGACTAACTGAAGAAGTCAATTACTTGCATTTACACTATGCACACATATTTGTGTAACCTTGCCCATTAAGTAAAATAGATAAGGTTTAACAACCATTTTTATTATTATGTACATGAATCAAGTTTGAAGTTATGTGATAAGCGCGTAAAGGAACAAGTGTTAAACTCTGATTCATCTTGATTTACAGATAGAAAGACATTAACTACTGAAATAAGCTTAAAATGACAACGATTTCTTAAAAGCTGTGTTAAATTACTCGAGAAAAGAAAATAATAAATAAAATGGACATTAATGACAACGACTTGTTCATGTGCACGCCATGCGCACCATCAAATCCAGGATGGTTGTCACAGTGCTTGGCGCCCGGCCCGATGCAGGCCGCATACCAAACAACGTGTGGAATATAACTCTGTTGATGAGTCCCACTTAATAGGTGAGCAAAGGGACCCTTGGCATAAATAAGCACGTCGTCTCCTCCATGTGTCTCTGACCTGCGGGGCACAGCTGCTGCGACCTTGTAGTCAATGGCATGGAAATCATCAGACGTAACATTCCTACGTTTTCCAGTTTCCGGGTCTACCCAAGGGCCGGGACCATTTGCGTATGATAAGGTAAGATATGGAAGATCGTCCAGAGTTTCCACAAATTGATCCGTAACCTCCAAAATGGAATGACCACGAGAAGCGTGCCCTAAAATTATTATCAAATCACCGGAAAAGTTTTAAGTACGCTGATGGTAAAGGTATTATTTGGTTAATGTATATGGTTCTACAGATATTTGCATTGTGTTACCAGAAAAGCTCATGACGTGGGCATGATCCGCAGTGACCACGATTAGTGTATCATCATCATTTGTGAGTTCATCTCCAAGTTTTATGGCCTGATCAAATTCAATCGTTTCAAACAAAGCTCTCTGTGCCATATTTCCATGGTGTGCATTATCAATTAGTCCACCTTCCACGAACAGGAAGAATCCATTTGGATTTTTCTTAAGAATCTGAATTCCAACTTGAACCATATCTTCCAATGAAGGGTCATTTTTCCCCTCAAGTTGGTCAACATAACCTCTGTCATCCGGCTCGAAAAGGCCTAATAGAAAATCGGTCGTCAAAGTGTCCACAGCTAAAAGTTCATCCTTTGTGTTTACATATTTTGAATTTGTCGGGTTCTTGGAAGCTTTCCACTCTTGGATTAAGTCTTTGCCATCCGTTCGTTCCCCTCTGACATTCGGATACTCTGGGTCGGTTTGATTCTGATGGAGAAAGTTTTTGCGACCAGCCCCAAGAATTACCTTCGACACAGATTAGATGAATTAATTGCAAATACTGGTCATGTGCCGTATTTAATATTTTACATTAATGTTTCGCCCAGGCTCTCGCAAAATTAATTGTTCAGGAAGATCATCGCATAATTCTGGGTCCTGGTTATCTCTTCGAATCGCAGCATCATTCTCCCAATCTCTTTCAGCAACATGGCCATATGTCCCTGCAGGACTAGCGTCAGTTATTCGAGTCGTAGTAATGACTCCAGTTGACTTTCCAGCAGCCTTAATATAGTATACGCTTAAAAATTGAATTTATTTTGACTTAAAAAAGAGACTCCGGGCGTAATCCACACCTGCGCCAAGGACAGCAATGAAGCCACGTGGTTTTTAGTGTCAGCTTGTCCAGGACAAGACTTCCGCTGTACAGCAGTCGTGAGTCCAATTGTTCCATAATTGGCTTTTGTACCACCCAAATAACTCGTAACAGAACATGCACTGTCGGCGACTTGTGCGTCAAAGCAGAACGTCTGAGGATTTACATATATGTATGAGTTATGACTACAGAGTTTATTGTAAATATTTATGTTCATTCTATGCTTTTACGTTTATGCGATGTACTTTTGAATTACCTTTGAGGTTCCGGTGAAAGGGAACGACTCCATGTGCAACTCTGCTTCCTCCCCGAATTCGTACTTATCAACCTTTTGCCCTTTCAGAATTCTTGCGGCGGAAATAGTTGGGAGTGACATTCCGTCTCCCAAATAAAATAATATATTTTTGGCTTTTGTTTCAATTAATGGGGTGGCGATTCTTTGCAAAAGTCTAGTTTGAGCATCCTGCGTCCAATACTCGCTATCTGATTTAAGCAATTTAAATTGTACATATAACAAGAATGAATGCTTATTTTTGTATATGCACCTTCTGTGACTGCAAAAACTCGATTCCCTGTAATGAAGAGGAAGCCTAGAAAAAAGTACCACTTCGAAATCAGCATTTTAAGTAAGAATTTATGTAGAATGAAGAGTGAAACAAAAATAATCAACAATCAGTTTTTGTTCTTATTAGACGAGCAGTGATATTTTCTTGCAGAAGAAGCACTCAAATAATCTACTTTTATTTCTTTCCATGCACACTGTGTAGGTATTTACATACTCCGCACGGCTTTATCTACTCACGCCAATTGGAAATTAACTCATCAACAAATGTCTAGAAACTTATAAGATCGCATATTGGTTGAGTAACGTTGGTTGCTATATGAATTGACAGATTGGATATCGGATATTTCAATTGTGTAATTGGATGATATAGTTTCAAGTATAAAGACATATCTTAAAATCTGTGCCCATCCACACTATTGAATTAGTCTTCAAAAACAATGATCGTAATTTACCATTCAATGTTGACTTGTTTCTACATATTTCTGTGTGCAGCAGATATCGATATGATATCATACAGTTGACAGGTTGACAGGATTACGCATACATGCACTATGTGAAATGAACCTTAATATGCATACATATTTATGTATTGTTTTGCGATTTATTGTTAAAAGGATGAAAGCATGTCTTCAAGGCTGGTCATACATAATTTACTGTTACATATTTCATAGTAATACTTAAATTCATTCAACATTCTCAGAGCGGACGGTCAAAGTTTATAATGTCAAAAAGTTCATTTTCATAGCACCGAATAAAATATAATGCCTCACAAAATTCTAAATGAGAGTAGGCTGATCTGCTTAAGTAGCTTATATAACATGACGACATTTTAGCTTTACCCTTTTGTGTAAATCCATTAGCTGATTGATTGGAGCCCTTGATCGTCGACAAAGAGGCATTTCATGTATTATGTAAACTCTTTGTGCCATTAAAGATTTTGAGTGCAATTTAAATGTGTGTAAATAAATGCAAACACTCACTCAGGATTTACTCCTCCCTCAGTGAATAGGGGAAGCATCAGTAGATGGACTCACATACATAATTGGGAGTTTTAACGGAAACGGTCACAATCATGACAACATCCTCCAGAAAAAAGAACAGCTTTGACGTATTCCCTCTGAACAAAACCCGTGTGGTAACATGGCTGACAAACGTGCTGCTATTTAAGCCTGGGCCCTTAGATTGGGATAAATTTTCATGGATTTGCAGTCCTAAAGCAGTTCTTTGTTTTATAGGGATGGCCATCACGGTGGGCAACCTTTTGGCTGTTATTGCACTTCAAAGGGGGCCAGATCATGATGACGATGGTCCAGAAGGTTATGAAGGAGGGTCAGAGAATAACGAAGGATGTCCTATGCCTCCGCCACCACCTCCAGAATTCGAGGGGGGCAATCACACTGGTACCTATTTAATTTATAAATACATTTACTAAAGCACGACCTGTAAAATTTACAAAACGTATTCAGCTGGTGAGTGTACAATAGCTCTTATAAGGCTTGCATATGACTATGCAGGCAAACCAAGTGTCGTCGTAGATCTCGCTCTGGGATCTTTTCGTTTCGTTGGTTTTGTCGTCAATCTAACGATACGAATTGGTGCAGTGGTAGCATTTTCTAAGGTGCGACAAGTTCTCCATTGCCTCCAAACCAAGGACAAGACACACCCTGAGGGGAAGCATCACTGGCGTAGCAGTTGGGAGAGATGGACGGTACACGAAAAACTTTATCTCTGCATCATGGCAATATCATTGGCCTCGAGGTAAAGTCTATTCAGAATATATGCAGACTACATAATTGGTAAAATTATATCACTTATAGCCTCCTTTTCCTCTATGGGTTAGAGAAATACTTAGTTCCGGGCCCCACTTCCTTCGTTTGATATCTCCATGCCGGAGACGTGCCTGGATTTCTGAAATATTGGAGTTCATCCAGGTCCAGAGCATGTGCATATGGTCGTTGGAGTTGGTTTTGGAAGTGGCGACCTTTTTGCTCCTCGCCTTCATGGGCACCTTCACCCACTCTCTAGAATTGGAGGTGGAGTGTCGACAGAGGGAGATGACCAAGAAGGCGGATGCCGGGCCCTTGGCCGTTCATCTCGAGGAGCTGCTATTGATCCAGACCCACAGTCGCAAGAAAGGTCCTGGTTGGCCACTGGCTCGACCCGTGGCAGACGTCACCACCAAGACCCACGCGGCCTCCTCTCTGGAGAACGACCCCATTCGTGGTGAAATGGAGCGTCTACTCCACTCGTACTTCGACATGGTTGCAGTTTGGGGTCACGTTGCGGACTGCACCGGGTTCTTAACTCTGGTCATTTTTACGGAGCACACCCTCTCATTCTGCCTCAACATCTTCATGATCATTGCCACCTTGTCTCGCTTTGGAATGCAAGCAAATTTCTTTGTTAGCGTCACGACAGCCTCCATTATCATTTCAAAAATGATTTGTGTCGCATACATGGCACAAAGGTTACCGGATGCAGTATGCACAAATTATGCTTTCAAAAATAAAGCTTTACATATAATTTTGTAAAGCAAACTATTGTAATGTTAGACGACGAAACTGGCTGACCGAGTGCAGGAGCTGAGCTGGAAAAGAAAGGACGTTGTGTCTGAGGAAGATGACGACGAAAACGACAACCTGACACAAATTATAGACTACGTGAGGAGCCATCCACTCACATTGTCTGGGTTGGGATATTTCACCGTATCGAAAGCCACACTTACATCGGTACAATTTACATGTCCTCTCAATTTTGAACTGATAATGTGCTTAGACATATGCAAGATTGCAGAACACCCTCAATAATGGTTACTAATGGGTCTTGTATATTTTCAGATTTCGGGAGTGGTCGTGACTTATTTGGTAGTTTTGGTTCAGTTTCATGTGCAAACATTGCAACAGAAGGGAGAAAAGGGTGCATAAGTACGTAGGGATGGTTACTTTACGTAACCTTGAAGAAATAAATTCTTCAGCTCATTGGAGAATTAATAATGATCAGTTATCACCATAGTTGTTAATTTTGAGCATGATCTGATAATCACTGATGATAAGGTATGATTGACAAGATCTAATAAGGGAGACACCGAGTAAACCAACCTTGATAAGAACGTATTTATATATACAGTCATTTTACCAATAAACAATATGCTTAATTAAGCATATTAGGATTAAAATTATCTTGAAAGTAAAAGTAATAAAAAACATTAGGTGACAATCGAATAAAATTGAAGTCTAGTAAAAACAATGGAGATCATTTGGTAGCTGGACAGAACTTGTCAAGTTATCCTGGCGTGCCAAAGCCCAGTACCTGGCTCGCACGAAATGAGCCGCTGCCTTCGGCTGACGTTCCCTTGTGAACACTCCCTTCATGCAACCCCAAGGTCGGAAAGTCTCTGATTGGAAAAATACACATTCGCCCCAGATTTGCATAATTACAAAGTCTTATGTACACTTGAGTGGATGTTAACCTTGTGGTGTGGCAAAGTCAGCAAAATTCCAAATCATTTCTCCCACAAACTGCGCCTTGGAAGATCGGAGATGATCAAAAGCTGCAAAATGGGCACGCAGGTAGTCCACTTGGAAATCTTCGGTCCACACAAAGGAGGGGCTCTTTTTCCATATTACGGTTAATTAGTTGTGGTTCGCATTTCAAAATCAATATCCTATTGAGTGAGAGGAATTAATTTATTAATGCTAAATATCTACACATACTTGGTGCACCCCAGCAACCGTTCCGGCTCCATATTCTGTGATTAGGACGGGTTTATTGTGACAAGTTTTAGCCCAGAGATTGACTTCCGTTGGAATTTGGAGTGAAATCACTTCCGTTCTTCCAGTATCGCCATACCAGCCATAATAACGATTGATGCTCACAACATCCATGGAAGGGGGGCACTGTAAGCGGACAATTGGAATACATAAATTCACATTAGCAAAGTTAAGGACAATAAGTACATTTATTAAAGCATCAAGGCAGTCTCATGCATTTACCACTTACGTCACCCTTTGAAAAATTTTGCGATAATACGATGGTGATTGGACGCTTGGCAGGGTCGAAAGCTCGAGTCGATTTAATCACATCTCTGCAAAATGTATTTAACGCATATGAATTTTGTCAACTTAAGTGAGTGAGCATTATAGTGACCAAACTCAAAATACGACGGTGCCAATGTTTCCAGTGATTTTGGCTCATTTCCGATCGACCACATTAGAACAGACGCTCTATTCTTGTCCCTCTGAACCAAATCTGCCATTACTGAGATATGTTCGCGTTTCAAGTCAGGTCCAAACCCACTGAATTATTAAGTGCTGTACGTACATAATACATTTACAAGTATATGAAACGGCAACTAATTTGAAAAATTACGTCAAGCCAATAGCTGGGGACTCGTCAATGATCACAATGCCCAAAGCATCAGTTAGATCAAGGATCTCCTCTGCGTAAGGGTAGTGAGACGTCCGATATGAATTGGCCCCAGTCCACAAAAGCAAGTTGTGATCTTTCACCAACATTACTGGATCCACTCCACGGCCACGAATCTATACGTTCAATGATGGATGAGTAGTTAATATTTCCAGTTTATGATCGTATAATGTGGTTAAATTCAAGTCTACTTGAATGATTTAGTGCTCACGCTATAATCCTCATGCCTCCCAAACCCCCGAAAGTAAAAGGGTTTCCCGTTCACGAGAAATTGGCTGCCATCAACTTTTGCGGTCCTTACCCCAAATTTTAAACGATATACATCAAATTCCAAGGTTGTGTTGCTCAAAATGGTTGTCTGGAAAGTGTAAAGATATCCCGAACCCTCCCCCTTGGGTTGTGACAGGTGCGGCCACCACAGCTTCACGTTGGGAATGGTCAGCAGTCCTGAACATCCGTGTCTGGATGCAACCGTAACACCGGAAGCGTCTAACACTGCGACATGGCAGTTGGTCTGCTGAGAATGTTCAGCAAAGTTGACATAGTTTTCCCATTCTGTGGGAAACGACACTGATGCAGTGTAATACACACGACCTGAACAGGGACACCAGGAAAAATAAATATCTGGCACGATTCAGTAAAAGAAAATGAGAATCCATTTTTTCGGTACGCACCTTCGTGACCATCAAAGTCTGTGATTATGGAAAGGTCACTCAGATATATTTTTGGCGTTGTATGGAGTAGCACAGGTCGGTGGAGGCCAGCATAGTTGAAATAGTCAAAGTTGTAGGACTGGACGGTATACCCGGAGGGGTATCTGGAAGTGTCGTTAGGGTAAGAAAGTGTCCCCTGTGGAATGGTGGCTTGGGTGAGCGTGTTGTTGAGAGCGACCACAACCACGTTATTATCCCCAAACTTGAGGTACTGACCAGCATCCCCTTTATTCCATAAGCATTAAACATACAGAAAAGAAAGATTAGAGAGTGTAAAACATGACATGCACTTTTAGAATTTGGTAATATTTCTTAATACCTTCAAAAGGGAGATATCCCCCAGAGTGATTCATTAAATGGTGTCCATTTATCCACTTTAAACCAACATAGTATTTGTAAAAAACTTTTACATATTTACATGAAATTGATTTGTCCATCACGTACTACGTCCGCCCACCGATTTGCGGATCCGAATCTCAGCCACGTTCGAGTTTTATCCTTCCATCGCTTGGGAACAAAGAATGTTGTTGAGTACCAAACCCAGCCAACGTGGTCACCTGCAGTTTAAACTTAAATTTCAGTTTCCATTTTACTAGTCGTATGACTATTTGTTTGATGTGCTTGTAGAAAGATAACGACGAAAACACTATGAGATGTGATAAGATGAATCATTTTGTGAAATACTTCTATATACTCACGCAGTTTCTTGCTTTGTGTGATGTCATTCCAACTTGAGGGCACCGGCATCATTTCCGTATGTCCACTCTGTCCCGAGAAAAGCCATTCTTATTTTGTCAAGTTGGTACATTTCTATGGCGTCTGCTTAATTATGCAGGATTTTTTACCTGTGACAACGGACCCATAAACCATCGCTTTTTGAATCCAGCATGGTTATAATCAGCTCGAAATTCCCAAATCCCATCTAAAGAAACCACCTCACGACTCTCAGACTCGCGAGGATAAAGAATGCCACCACCACCAAGAACCCCACCCCCACCCCATGCAAAAAACACTATAGAAATTCTCAAAGCGAAGTTCATGACAAAAAGGGATTATTCAGCTGGATGGGAATCTAAACATAATTTAATATGTATGTAGTTAGGTTTCGTTCATTTCTGTCATTAAACTAACAAAACGAGCAGCACCGGAATGGCTAGTTATGAACACTATGGTACATAGATGTATGTGCATATAAAGGGCGTCCAATTTCAGTGGATAAATAAAATCTCGACCATAAACACACCAACCAAAGAGGATTATGATAGAAAACAGTCTATAGTAATACTAATATGATATGATGCTACATTATAATTGCTCTTGTCCACCCATGATATACTTCAGGCATTTTTGTATTCACTAATTTTCAACTCACAAACTTTGTGAGTTGTATGCAAGTACTGCAAGCCATCTTGGCTCCTCGGTTCTCAAATGTATTTATGGATGAATAATTTTTTAGTCAGTTTAAATTGAATATTATGGTACCTATTTTTTGCTGGAAGTAATAAAGTTTCTACACTTTCATTCTGTCATAGATATTATTTGTGGAAAGGTTATATCTTATAAGTAATTGACTGCATTTGTCTGTATTCAGACAACTCGCATAATCGACAATTAATCTCAGTTCATGGGTGCACATCCAATCACATTTACTTAAATATACAACTAGATAAGTACTGGATTCCACCGACGTAGGTGATCTAAAAAATTATCATATTCCAATTATAATTAATACATTCTAATATAATCATCAAGCCAGTTTGTACATAAGAATATTCTCGTCACAATACTCTTGATTTCTTTCTCCTCCACGACGGACCATAGCTATTCTGGAATAACTCCACATACAGAGGGTGTTTACAGATTTTGTGGAAAGACAATTTTATGGGTAAACTGCGAACCCTTTATAAGTTTTGGCGCCAAATTTCGAACACGCAATCCCCAAGATCACGGTCACACATGTACCAAGTTTCAAATTTCTATCTTCAAAAATGAGCGCAAAAAGTGACCTCAAAGTGTTATACTCGGTGAAAGGGGTTTCCAAACAACAGACATTTTTTATCTCTTCCATTGAAAAAGCTTTTTTCTAAGCCTACAAACCCAAAAATTCCATCGGACTGGTGTCAGGTTACTTAATGTGTACCCCGGAAAAAGATATCGAGGTCATTCCGGGGTTTGCCTTTAAATCTTGGGCGTCCGGTTGGGTAAATGCGGCCATATATGAAAATGTCGCGTCGTGATGGATGCAAACCTTGTCAGGCTCCCCAAATTGTTTCTTTACAATTTTGACCTCCAACAACTTATGTAAAACACTGTCCATAAAGTACTTCGAGTTTATTTTTGCATTAGACCCAACAGGTATCAATGTTCGCACTCCACGGTCCGTCATTGCACCTGCCACCAAGAATCAATCAGACAACTTTTCCTTCTTTTCAGACCCATGCTTTGAAATCTGCTTTCGGTCGGTTTTGCAGCAAATTATTTTTGTCCTGTTGAAGTTTTACAAGCAGCAGAGTGTCCCGTCCAATGTGACGACAAATTCGGAATTTTTATTCCCAACATGACCTTCAAACAGCCTCCGGCTGTTAGTTTTTTTGTTTACCATATGGGTAAATTTAAGTGCGCGGACTTTCGCCTTCCTCTGCAAGGCTTTTTTAAAATTGTGCTATACAATACGATTAACGTGTCCAGGAGACACCTGGGATTGCATTGTGACCTGTCTTTTGGTTGCAAGATTCTGATTGCCATCGTGGCGATCAATGTTCTTCAGGGTGGCAGAATTCATCGTTTTGAGGGGTATGCATTTCGTCGCATACGTTGGTCGGATTAAACTAGTTACTGGCGTTTTCTTACAAAATTGATACAATTATATGTGGGGGACACGATAAGATGGATTTCAAATTTTTGGATTATCGTTTAGGCACCTTTCGCGGCCCAATTAGCTTCGGAAACCGCTTTTAAGGTTCGTCCACTTTGGGGTAACTTTTGGGGGCCATCTTTGAAGGTAGAAACTTGAAACTTTGGGAAGGTGTGGTCGTGACCTTCGAGATGGTGTGTGCCAAATTTGGTGCAAATTTGATTACGCGTTCAAAAGTAATACATGTAATTGTCTTTCCACAAAATCTGTAAACATCCTGTAGCCAAGCGTCACCGGTTTGCACGGGGAAGCAGCCCACTATCAAATACATAGCCTTGCAAAATCGCCTAACAACACCCATAATTCTGTTATTATAGTCAAATCGGTGATGATATCAATATATAACTAACAAAATTTCCAATGTAGCTAAGAATCAAGTGTAGTACGCATTGTCCATGTATTTAGATCTTTTGTAAATGTGATAAATATATGTATCCGCAAATGTGAACCCCTGGTTGGAGCTAAAAACTTGCATACATAAGTACTTATCGTTAGTCAATGTAGAAACAAATGGCTTTGGTTCAACCAAGTTATGCAATTGAATTAAAGTGAATATCACACTCGTTTACCTAATTGTTCTAAGTAATGCACAAATTAAATGTTGCCATCGTAGTGCAACTGGTCAAACATCTTTTTCATTAGATGTGATTGGTAAACATTTATTAACTGCCTTGGGAATTACACAAAACCTGACGGGTCGGACCAGGTTGAAAATTGTGCAGTTTAGCCCAATCCAATTCCATCAGACAATTTAGAATTACAATGAATCTAAGAATAAATTTAACCGGAGAAACAATTTCTTATTCCATGGTCACATTTCTTGTTTTATTCTTTGTGGTCAAGTAAGAAATCCACGACTTTTACTGGTCAATCGAATATTGGGAGGTGCCACATTATTTAAAACTTTCTACAAAGTAAATCTGTAACTTGTTTAGCGGTACAGAAACCGGGAAGACCACGCTGAATGAAACAACATCGCCACGACCAAGTATGAGCACACCAAAAGCCCCACAAGTTCTCATTGATGCATCCGCCGAGGACTTGGAGAATGAACATGATGTAACCATTAATACGAGCACTTTGGATCCTGATCAGGTAGTCTTGCCGATTAAATAGATTTGCGGACCATACATGGCAATCGTTTCATGGCAATCATTGCATTGCAATTTTTACATTGCAATCCTTAAAACACATTATCATTACATAGCATTATCTCTACATGGCTTTATTATTACATCGCACATCCTTACATAGCATTATCCTTACATTGTTTTATCATTTCATAGCATATTCCTTTCAAACCAGCCAGCAAAACTTGTGAACGTATAAAACCGAATAAAACATCAATCGAATAAATAATAACCACCAAACTGGCTTTTAATGGAAGATTATGAGTTGACATTAGAAACATTTTCATTCGTATGAAAATTTAATGGGGTGACCCGCACCGATTTTTAGAAATTAACTTTGAAGGCTGAAATTTGGAATAGTGGTTCTCGTGCTTTCTCATGAAATAACATGAAGTAAAATATAAACACAAATTAACCAGAGTGGCACAAGGGGGTGGCCGATAACGATTTCCAAAAGGTGATATAATCAGCGCTGAAATTTAGTAAATATGGACTCGGAAAATAACTTATGATTCGCATTTACTTAGGAGGGCTGAATTTCGAAATTTTTGTATGGGCGACCTCCACTGGTCACGGGAAGTATTGAAGGGCAATGGGTAGCAAATATTTTTAGAATTTGGAGCCAAGCAATACGAAGAATTGATGCTAGTTAATGTAGTAATTAGTGCAAATAGTAGCACACAATTTTTCAGAAAACTATTGACAAACGTGGGTTTACTAATCAATCCTGGTTCGGGCTAAGCATAAACTGTCCTATTAGGTTTTAATATAATTGTTAATATTTTTATATATTATGTTTGACACCAAATAATATTAACACCCTGGTTCATGGAATGAGTTTGTCATAACATAACACAGTTCAAACTTGTGTACGTGTAATGAAGATGATATGTAGCTTTCATGCAATGTAAGGATAATGCTATGTATGTATAATGTTATGTAAGGATATGCCATGTAGTGATCGTGCTATGTAGTGATAAGGCTATGTAAGGATAAACAACGTAAGTCACCGCCATGTAAAAATTACAATGTAATGATTGCCATGTAAAGATTGCCATGTCTGGTCCGCGGACCAGTCTTGCCAACGCCTCCAGGATATAGAAAATGGATCCTACCCCGTCACTCATATGAAAAATGGAGAGTTTACTCCTATGTCTCCATCTTCATATCAATGAGAAAGACGAAGTATGCACATTTCAAATGATTCCATAAGCATACAGTTACACTAAAAAATGTCGTTTGAATAGTCTATAACACAATTTTCCAAAATATTTTAATATGGATGTAAAATATGCAGGAAGTGATACTTGACACGGACTTTGGTTTACAATGGGTGGACTGGAAAATAGTTGAGCACCTAAGTAATTCCTCCAGTTCAAATGGCAAGATTAATTTCCAACATCGCACTTTTGATTCAACAGTTCTTCGTCATATTTGGAAACCAGATATTTTCATTGGTATTTTTTTATCCACCATAATTTGTATTGGCTTGGATGTCAAAAGATGTCATAATTATTAATCAGCATTTGCCAAGTCTTTACTTATTTTACAGACGAAATGTCTTCTGCTGAGCGAACCTCTGTCATCTCCAACCTTATCACGCTCAACTTTCTTGACGAAAAGGGCGGTGGCGATATAGTTTACAGCGCGAGGTGATATTTAATCCAACTTTTTATGTTTAGGGGCCTCTTTGTCTTGCTTGTTCGATTTTTTTAGTCATTTTGTTCTATATACTTTCAGAACGACCCTTAAGCTTCGATGTAACATGTCATTTGAATATTTTCCTGCAGATACTCAAACGTGCAAGTATTACATCCGAAGCTGTAAGTCTCTCCGTACCTTTCTGTTTAAGTGGAGATATGATACGAACATAATAAGTACATTTCATTACCCATATTAATTTCAGATTCGTACAATGCCAGTCAGTTTGATATCATGTGGAACGTGTATAACGGGAGCATAAGCAAAGGCATTTATTTAAACGATCCTGAAGATCCAAACTTTGACTTGCAGATTTCATGCGCAGGTCCAAATGGGGAGGCAAAATTATATATCCGGGAAATGTTTGACGATTTTAGGAGTGAGTTGAAATATAACCACGCATTGCTATGTTATTTATTCGTTTGCACTATTTCACACACAGATGGTAATTATTCTGCACTCACCTTTACTCTGAAAATGAGACGAAAATTAAGCTATCATCTCGTGCAGACTTATTTGCCGTAAATAAATTTCGAATTATTTATTAAAATTAATTTTGACAAAAGTTCCCCCAAAAAAATCAAAGGTCGGTCCTCCTCATCTTGATTACTTGGCTCTGCTTTCTTCTTCCTGTCGACATGGTGGAGGCTAGAATAGCGATATCGATGACGACTGGGCTGACTCTTACGGCCATGTTCGCATCAGTGCGGTAAGATGTGGTGCAGAAGGAGATGATGTCTTTCTTTAATTCAATACCCCGTCATTTAAATACTCATAACTGAAGTCATAAGATACATTAAACTGTATGTACCAAGCAGGGAGCAAAGCCCAACGGTGAGTTACCCAATGGCAATAGATATATGGATGGTGTTTTGCATATTTTTCGTCTTTCTCGGCCTCCTATTGTTCACCACTATTTACTGGTGAGTTCATATGTATGTATGTAGTACTACTTATGTGCATATATACACAGGTATACAAAGACTAATCTATATTAAGTACCTCCTGAAACCTTTCAAATATTAGGATGACGAGGCATCTTGGAAAATATGAAGAAGAGCAAGCCACAACGCCCAATTATAAGAAATTAATCATGGATTTCATACAGCGATACGCGTTTGTAGCGTTTGCTGCAATTTTCATTGCATTTTTTATAATTTACTGGAGTTGCCTGCTCCTCTTATCCGACTATTACGGCTGGGAACCAAATCCAGATTACAATGGTGGCGATGACGCCAAGAATAACACCAACCTCTACAGTTACTTTACGACGGCGGAGGACGAGTATGCAAAACTTGCAGATGAAAGTTAAAGAGGAAATGGATGCGGGTGAGAATAATGAGACTAGCAAATCATAACAATGATAACAATGTAAATTCCTCGTGTAAAAGTTTATTTTATTTTTAAAGTACATAAGAAATTAAATAAACTTATTTTTAAAATACGTATTACTTGATGAAATGAAATAGTATGCATCCAATTCTTATTGTACCCAGAAGTGCACGAGTCAAATTTATATCGTTTGTTCCCATTGCAATATTCGGAACTCGAACATTTGTAGCATTGATTGATCGCCACTATTTATTTACAAAAAGTTTTTAAAATCTTTTAAATCAGACGTCAGGATGGGGATGATTGAAATAACGTGTAATGATCGGCTGGGGAAAAAGGTGCGGGTCAAGTGTAACTCGGACGACACAATTGCTGACCTTAAAAAACTTATTGCTGCCCAAACAGGGACTCGGTATGATAAAATCATTCTGAAAAAGTGGTACACGATTTTTAAGGATCACATCAAATTAGAGGATTGTAAGTTACTCTTTACAAATTGTTTCAGCACGTAGATTAATTAATTTGTATAGTGTGTTGTAGATCCCTCTGAACAAATTTACATTGTTTTATTGCAGATGAAATTCACGATGGAATGAATCTGGAGTTGTACTACCAATAAAGGAATCAATTTCGTTGGATGGATTTTTAAATTTTGTCAAATTGTTCCGTGTTGGCAGAAATGTAAACTTCGGATGGCGTCGAATATTATAAAATTTAATTATTATAGTTAATATTATAAGATAATTTATGTCAAAACTATGTATACATTTTACCAAGAATCAATTTTTTACAAGTAAGTAATTGTTAGTAATTATACGTAAATCAAACCGAAAATCCTTAAATAATACACTGGATTCAGTAAAACAAACAATAAATTTGCTAATGTTTTAAGAAATGCGTAATACTTGTTTGTTTTCGTCATTCACGGTGTATGATTCTCCACACATTATGTGTGACACATACCATGATAGCTTCACATCAGTCAGAATCAAGACATTTAAAGTTTTTATTCCGAAGTTGGTGACATGTTGCATACAAAAGTAAAAATTCGGCATTGAACAAAATAGTTTCACATTGTCAATTAAGATATCCCTATTAATTCAGTAATGCATCGCTCTCTCCATTCATAGTTACATAATTCATATAGTGGAGACATTTTGGAACAGTTCAGAAATTATTTGGTCAATAATAGTAGTGGTCAAAATACGTCATGAAAAATACAAAAGCTTGCTGAATCTTCTTGTCTTTGGACTCCCCGTAACCAACCCCGCATTTTAAACCACACAAATCAGTCGATAAATAACAAATAATTACTTTCGCCATTCATTTTTGATTCGCAAATTAAAACAAACAATCAAGTAGCGTAAAATCATTGTAACCAGTACGACATCCAAGACTTATCATGACGCGACATGCCCGTAAGTAAAACAAAGTATATTATTTAGTATCAAGTTCTAGAATATGAATTGAATAATATGGAACTGATGTTCAGTTACTGATCTTTCCCCACTAATTGTGCACTATGTGCTGCATGTGTGGTGTGGCATGAGTTAGTATTTTGACATTGGTCCAAGGGTGAGCATTAAGCTGCCCACCTGTTATAGCCTCATGGTTGTAATTTTGCCCTATCTCTAAAAAAAATTTCTTTAATAAACTTTACACTGGTTCTGTTTTTGTCCCCACCATAACGAAAACCCATAGGTAACTCGACGGCAGGAGCAGTATACACCCACTACGAGAAGCAAAAGGACTCTGCCTATTCAGGCTATGGCACCAACTCGGCCCGCCTAGGAAAGGACTCGGTCCGTTCTTTCGACTGCTGTTGTCTCTCCCTTCAACCCTGTCATGACCCTGTCGTCACGTAAGGAACAAAGTCTCCTATTCTTGTACACATTAGCTTACAAGCATGTCTTCTGGGGCTGGGAGGGGAGTGAATGAAATTTTCCTTACTTGGCATGTTCTTCCAGGACGGATGGGTATCTGTTCGACAAGGAGTCTGTGCTAGAGTACATTATCACCAAGAAAAATGAAAATAGTCGTAAAATGAAAGAGTACGAGAAACAGAAACGGATGCAGGAGAATGAACAAGACCACAAAGTTCAGGAAGAAACAAGAGCAAAAGTTTCAAAATTTGTTAAAATGGAGAAGGATATCACTGTCAAATCTACTTTCGAGACAAAAAGTAATCAGTCCTAGCTATTTTACGATTAACATTTAAAAAATTGCATTATGCAGAGTATAAAATACTTGTATTTTTTCTTCAGAACCTGAACCCGGACCATCAATCTCAAACATGGATGAAGTACGAAAAGAAAAAGTTCCAAGTTTTTGGATACCGTCCCAAACACCACAAGCTAAGAAGAGTGTTATTGCAAAACCCGTAGGTGTTGTCATATTCGAAGTATAGCATTATTTACCATTTGGTCTTGATTTATTGATTTGTGTATATGTTTACAGGATCAAACAGTTTATTGTCCAATGAGTGGAAAGCCTTTAAAAATGAAGGACCTGATTCCAGTAAAATTTACCGAAATTAAGGACGCGTCAGATAAACGATCCATAATGATTAAAGACGCCCGGTACATGTGCCCAGTTACGAGAGATACACTGGGAAATTCTCTACCATGTGCAGTTATCAAGCCAACGTAAGACGACACGCTGATGCTTTGTTATTAGTTACCGGTTCAAATAGAAACATACATATTTACTAACTCAAATTATTAGTGGAGACGTTGTGACAATGGATTGTGTGGAGAGGATCATCAAGAAAGATTGGGTAAACTGTTGATTAAAATTTGTAGGCTATTTTTAGATATTGTAAAGCATGGTTTTATTGTTGTTATTTTTACTTTTGTTTAGCTACATCCTCTCAATGGTCAGAAACTGACGGAAAAGGATATCATTCCATTACAAAGGGTAGGTTTTACGTACAATACATATTTCAATAAACGTTTATATATTAATTGCTTTAGCAGAATAAAAGCAAAATAGAATCATGTGCACAAGTAATTCACTTAACATATCACATTTTATAGGGTGGGACTGGATATTCCAGTACAAATACTAATTTGGAAGCGAAACAAGCTCGGCCAGCTCTTCAAGTATGAATTCATAGTACTTGAATATTTGTACGCACATGCCATGTTTTATTTTGCTTTTTATTTCTCCTATGATTAATCACTATTTAAAGGAAATATGGCGACAACGCATTATTGTATCAATTTGTGTTTCGTTAATAAAGTTATAGCTATAGTATACAAAAATTTAGAAAATTAAGTTTATTGTAAGATAAAAACAGCGTATATCGTAACGTAGCTTATATCCTATTGACTGTTAAATAATTATAAGATTCAGATCTGTCCTGGAAAATATGTAGAGTATTTAGCATATTTTACATCACACAAGTAACCTATGAACACTGTTGGACAACCAAATCAATTGGTTAATTAGATAAGTTGTGACTCCATTACCACTTCTAACTCATCACCATCAGTAAAGTTGATGAGTTCTTCCAACGCACCTTCATCAGTAATAGAAAGCTCATCTAACGACCCCAAACTCTGGAATCCATCCATGTCTGATTCGAAATCATCCTCATCCTCGTGATGGTCATCGTCACCCTCCTCGTTGTCTTCATCCTCATCCATGTCATCATCGCCGAATTCATCATCTTCATCGTCCAAATCATCCAAACTATCCTCGTCCTCTTCGTCTGTTAGGTCCCATGTAATTCCAGATGCTGTTGCATTGAGTGGAATGGATATTGCTTCAAGTAACTCGTACGCTGTCTGAATCACTGCAGAATACACAAATTTACTACTATTGCACATGCTAAATATGCTTTTACATCATAGCACGGAGCTCAGATTAGATCTGACAGATGAAATTTAGAAGTTATTCGAATGCTTGAGAAAATTGAGATTTTTACTAATAACAACTTACTGTACTCCAAATCGTCGGAGATGACATTTTCATTTTCATAGCTGAGACCAACATCATCTGTTTTAACAGACCGATAGATATTACGAACAATTATGGCAGGAAATAAACTTTCGCGTTGTTTATGTATCATTCCTTAATAAATATCTAATATGTATAAATACCTTTTGCATCTTGTAACTCCTCAATAAGTTCCTCCAGTTTATAGTACATGGACACCAACTTAATCGCGGTGGATTCTGTACAAGTTGGCGATAATTAGTTTTAAAAAATTAATTACCAAAAGGAACTAGAAAAAAAAAATATTTAAATTACCATCAACCACAATTACTGTCATGTTGACGACGCCACATGGACAACAGATGATCAAATGTTGAATCAACAATTGTCGAATCTGGATCAAATATGTAGGTAAAGTTCCCTGACTATTTTGACTAGTAATGATTTACGAAAAGGTGATCGGTATGTATTTGATTTCAAGCTCAAACTTTGTGGCTGCTTCTGGTCGTTTGCAGAGACTGTCTGCAAACGTCTGATAACAAACAATTAGAGGAAAGCAGTCGCAGAGGTCGTAAAAGTGCCTAGTTCGTTATCAGAGGAAACAGGGAACCGAACCTAAAATTTGTACAACTACAAAGTGATGGTGACTCAGGAAGGAAAAAGTCAACAAGTGTCATTGGACTTGAATTGGAGACTGAATTAAAACGATGGATATAAAGCGGACCCTTCTTGCCATAAATAATTCAGTTCAAGATAACATAACATCGTCCCTATTACCACCATTACTTATTTGTTACTTTTGGACCCAATGTTATTAAGGGAAACCGAAGGTCGTTCATTCATTGATGGGAAGAATGCATAGATCGAGTAATATTTTTAGTATGGGAAATCGAGATTCCATGAAAAAGGAAGATACATGCTTCTCAGAACTCAGGACTGGGCCGGGCAACAGATATTATCATGTAGATCATGATCGGGTGGTAAATTATTTGCAGCAAAGATAAATATTTTTGCAATATAATTTAATTTTGTAAAAGTATTTATTATTTGTTGTCATGAGAACGGTCTGAGAATTAATTTGCAGACGTGTCTTTACTGTGCCCCGCTCCACTTAAATTCAAACATGAGCTTAGAAAGTAACGGGTTGGTGGGTCATCCAAGCGTCGAGTTGTCTTCTCCAGCGGTATCAATTCTCGAGCTATCTTTTTTCGTAATCGTCCTATTTCGTTCTTCTTGACCTTTGCCATTGTCCCAACTTTATGAAAATTCTGCCTCATACAATAAAGGCACGTATGTATGCACCTTCTGAGAGTATATGCAGGTATGTTAAGGTTGACAGCACAGCACAGCTCTCTCTCTCTTCAGTCTCTCCTTCGTGACGAACTCTTCCACAAAATCAAACAGATTGCAGGAATTTAGTTGGGCAAAAATTGAATATCTTCACTTGCTTATCACTTGCTCACATAGAGAACAAGTTATCATTTAATTAAGGGACCGGACAAGAAGGGGTTGAGAGAAGAAGGTGAAAGGTATTATTAGAAGAAATGGCTGACGTGGAGACCAAAGTAAGATTTTTCAACTCTTATCATGATAATACTTAAATAAAACAATCTCTGGTTGTGTGGGCGGTGAATGTTAGTTGGTCTCTTATTAAAATGATAAGAAAATTAATTTATTAATTCATCGTTTGACAATAGGTTGAGGAGGTGCTTGCGGCGGCGACGAATGCTTCCACAAATGGAACATCGACAAAGGTCCCTGCCACCCCAGAGGGGATGATGATTGCGTACGGATCTCTAGGTATTACCGTAATTTACTTTGGGCTTAATGTTTTTTGGTGTGTTTTTAATTAATTCGTTTCTCACATTTTTAAGTCCTCATGGCACTCCTCCCAATCTTTTTTGGAGCATTTCGATCCGTCAAGCATCACAAGGAACAAAAGGCCAGCTATCAGGTGAGTTTGTTTTAGGTAAATAATGCGAAACACGTATTTTATGTTATATTATTTACATATATCAGGATGGCGGAGAACGTCCTGAAACGATGTCACACAAGGACGCCGCAATGTTTCCAATTATCGCGAGTTGTGCTCTGTTTGGTCTGTACGTATTCTTCCAGGTATGTGACTGTTCATTTAATTTATTAGTGACTCGGTCAGAAGGAGAAACATTTGAATAGACTAATGTCATGTTCGTTTTTATTGTTGTTCTTTTAGGTTTTCTCCAAGGAATACATTAACCTTCTGCTAACGGGTTACTTTTTCTTTCTTGGAATTCTGGCTCTTACTCATATCCTTAGGTGGGAGGAGAAAAGAATAATTTGTTATACATACATAGTTTGTTTAAGACAATAATATTATTGCATATAACAAATTATTTTCCACAGTCCCTTCGTTTCAAAGCTGGTGCCTGCCGGAATTCCCAATGTTGATTATCACATCTTATTTACCTCAAAATCTCCAGGAAGTCAAGAACAGGAGGCACTGATTGACTACAAATTTACATCCCATGATCTTGTCTGTCTTGCTTTCTCCACTTTGGTAGGACTTTGGTACATTTTCAAGAAAGTAAGTGAATTGCAAGCATTTTTACATACTGTGCAAAAGTTAGCCTACTGCTACTGCAATTTACTGCATAATTGTAGTAAGCATTAAGCAAGTGCTTAACTTGTCAATAACCTTGACTTTTCAAGTTATCTCATTTATAATTCTTTGCAGCACTGGATCGCCAACAATCTGTTTGGAATGGCGTTTGCAATTAACGGGGTTGAACTACTGCATTTGAATAATGTAGTGACCGGATGCATTTTACTGGGTGGCCTGTTCTTTTATGACATTTTTTGGGTATTTGGAACAAATGTGATGGTTACTGTGGCCAAATCATTTGAGGCTCCCATTAAATGTAAGTTGTTAGTGGTTTAAAAATCCGTAGCTACGAAAACCTTTTAGTTTGTATATTTATCTAAAATTATGTGTTTAATGTTAATCTTTAAATATTTAGTGGTGTTCCCACAAGATCTGTTGGAAAAGGGACTGGCTGCTGATAATTTTGCCATGTTGGGATTGGGTGACATTGTGCTTCCTGGAATCTTTATCGCCCTGCTCTTGAGATTTGACTTAAGGTGCGATGTCAATGTGTTTGATTTTTTTAAATTGAGTCATTAATTCTTCAAACTTTTAATATGACAAGTTGTAAGTTACATAAGTTACATGAAACATGTGTTTCATGTTGAGTAAAAGGAGATTTTATATGATTTTATAAGAAAATCTAAAAAAAACGTGGGTGCGATTTCCGGTTTCATCACGGCAAACGGGGGGACAAAATCCCGGAAATTTTAACATGGGCCTTATGGGAAAAGGTCCCTAAAAAAAAAAGGTCCTGCCCCCCGTCTGTCCCGGCGAACGCGTTCGCGCGTTTGCAGGGTTTTTCGCACCCACGAAAAAAAATATGATGATTGCTGGTGTGTGATTATGATGAGCAAATATTTAACCACCTAAAACCTCTAAGAAGCACTGATTATTTACATATATAACATACGTTGTTGAAAAATTTTCGTAAATGATTAGTTTGGTATAGAAATACATAAATCTTTATTAATTTGTTTTCTATTACTTAAACTTTTCAGCATGAATCGAAACTCTAGGACGTATTTCAACACCTCGTTCCTAGCCTACATCGCCGGCCTGTTTGCCACAATATTTGTTATGCACGTGTACCGTCACGCCCAACCAGCTCTGCTCTACTTGGTTCCTGCTTGCATCGGGGCACCCCTTGGCCTCGCTCTATTGAAAGGTGACATCAAGGCCATGTTTCAGTAAGTTGCATTTGTTTATCAGTGTAGACTTAACAATCACAAGTTCCTTCCAAATCAACATGCAATTTCACATGCAGTGCGTAATTTTCAAAGATGTTCTAGCTACTGACCCTTTGAAAAGCCACGAAATTGCAAAGTTGTACCGATGTGGATGATCCGAGTTATCATAAACTTATTATTAGTCTATGTAAACGAACAGACTGACATCAAGAAGTCAATGATCTTGTTACTGAATAATTAAATAATATTTGCATTAATTCAAATTATAGATATGAAGATCATCCGGCGGAACTGAAAGAAAATGAACAGAGTAGCAGTACCAAATCCATCCCCCCCAGTACGGCTTCCACACCAAGCTCCATTAAGACTAAGGCTGAAGCAAGAAAAGACAAGTAGTAATCAGCTTGTTCCATTAGTCAACTCATATTCTCCGTAACTGTATGATTTAAAACTGAAATTGATGAAATTAAATTGTTGCTCTATCCATACACCATAATATATATTATTATTATGCACTATTTCTTACCCCATTTTTTGTACGAATGTTGACAATTATTTGTTTGTATGTATGTATGTATATAAAGGTGCATAAATGAGATTTAACTTTTATTATGAATTACAAAGTTATCCGTCATTGAGTTTTACAACTACCCGCATACATGTACATACATATCATAAATCATGGGCATATAAGTTCATACGTTGATTATATAAATTAGGGGGAAAAGTAACTAAAAACAGGTGAAAGGTTCAATTTATGATATGCATTTCGAAAGCACTCACCTCTCATGTGAATTTTGATATGTTGAAACAACTATATACATATAAATAGAATTTTCTTGGTTGCTTCTCAAATTCTCAAATAATGCCATGCAAATTTTATGATTACAAAGATGAGTATATTTTCTTAAAGGAATTTTCCATATCATTATTAAGGTCCAGATGCAGAGACAAGTAGATGAAATCTGGCTTACAATACTTGCGTTCAGTCAGTTCAGAGACAGAATTTCTTTGAACTAATTTGCAAACTCCGTCAATCTGAATACGAGTCTGCTCCAGTTTGGCGTCCCTCGTGCTTATAAAAGGCCTCGAAATTCCGAGGCCGACTGCCAATTGTTGCTTTGAGTTTGTCCAAGACACACCGTTCGTGTTCCACACACCTTTATCACGCCAGTCACCCTCAGAACGACTCTCACTCACCCCACTGACCCCAAATAAGTCTCACTCTTGACGACATATTCAAAAAAAACTTAAGACAAAGATGTGTCTCGTACTCTACAAGGTAAATCCTATATTAAAAAAAGTTACTCCAAGTCTACGTGGTTTGAAGGGAATATTTCTAGCGACGTGTGTCTTATTCTTGACTGATTGTTTGCATTTACTTACAGATTTTGATGTTCGGAGTGATGATTGGTCTGGTCTGCAGCGTCCCTGCACCCCCCAAAGTAGTTCCAACGGAGGAAGGTGCCGCGGGTCCAACGCCGCTAGGAGGAGGAGGTGATCTGGACACAGCCAACACGTTCGGGATCGGATTCGCCCTTGGTTATCCGTACGGAGGATACGGTTATGGTCTTGGAAGCTACGGTTATGGATACAGGTAATTTAAAGTAAAGTTATCCTTGTTAATTTCTGCTAATTAAGTTTTAATTTCTAATGTGGGTTTATTTGATTCCAGGTCACCTTACTGGGGTTACGGTGGCCGCGGGTATTATGGAGGATATGGAGGATACTACTGGTAAATCACCCCCCCAAAGTTGACCTCACGGCATATCTTCGCCTCGTCTTGCTGTACTACCAAATATTTTTCTACTCTTAAAAATTCACTTTTACTTGAATTGTTTTTCTTTTCTTTTTCGTTATTCACTCGAGTGAAGTTTTATGAGTTTTAGTTTTCTTTTAATGCAAGCTTAACCATATCATTGGTCTCTTTCTCTCTCTCTCTGAAAATTTCCTCTCTCAAAATCTCAAATCTTTTGTTGTTCTATATTTCTGACTTTTTGACGTGGCACATAACGGCAACGACGAAATCTGTTCCCAATTGATAAAGTTTGGTACAGAGTTAGTTGTTTATCCACAAATATACATAAATATATCTCTATTTGTTGAGTTTTTTTTCGAAAATTTAAAATTTTCAAAATTTTGTTGAATTAGAAGCAATAATTGGCTATAATTATGTATGAATATTTTAAACTGTGATATTAATTAAGGTCTTCTTAAGATATGTTTTACTTACACCATTTTATCTGTGCAAAATAATTTCCGCACTACCTTGACTGAAGCGAAATGTTTAATTCAAAATTATGTTGTTTGATGATTTGAAAAAGTTTGATATTTTTCCAAAGTTTTCAGAGTAATAAACTCACAAATTTGGTTTACCTAAAGAAAATATACGTGTCTCAATCTGCCTCTTCATCTCATTTGTCCGTTTCTCACCCTTCTCAAAAACCACCATCATCACGAGCACGGTTGATATGATTTTTTCGTCTCACTTTGTTCATGTTCAAAACTCATTCATCATGCATTCAACAATACATTTTCATCTCTGTTTATATATGGTTTATATATTCATCATAAAATGAGCAAATAATAATCATACAGCAGATCAATAACCTAGTCTCATCTTGCCTCCAACATTTGTTTGTTTCATAAAAATGTATTTTCAGTGCTTTCACCAATGAGTTCTCACTTTATGTACAAACGATATGCATTGACAAAATCTCCAAGTCCCACTAGTTGCATAACGCGACTTACGACCTACTTAAGATCAAGTCTGCATTGCAGTTGATTATAATTTTTTTGGTATAACCAGCACTTCTTTTAGTCTAACCTCATCTGAATATAATCTCATCAATAAAATACACGTGCCCCCGAAAACATGATGTCACCTCTGCCCACCCACATTCGTGTCGTGAGGACCCCTTTTCGACTTCCACCACGTCACAAGAAGAGAGAGAGAGAGACTGAGGTTGGCATATGCAGCTGTGCTATGTGTTATTTTCGTCGTAGGTGTGAGGGTGTGTTTTGTGATGGAAGAAGAGCCACAAAGTATCAGCTGGCTGGCTGAACAACATTCACTTCTCTCTTTCCTTTCTTCTCCACAACAACCAAAAAAGCCAGGTCACAAATTTTAGAAAAACTCGGTCAGAAATTAAGTGCTCACCCCTGGCTTCATTGTTTACTTTTTCCTGTGCAGCATGTTGACAGCAGTGTAATCAGTATAGTTGATAAGATAAGCGAGTGTTGTACACTATTTTATGGGTGATAACTTGGTGATCGAGAGAAGGTTCCCCAAGTTTGGTGTCATTTGATATATAAAAGAGAAAATTATGGAAGGAGGATCCTCGTCATCATCTGGGTCAACGTCAACGTCAACGTCGCAGCTCTTTGTCCAGATGGAGGCCTCCTCAGCAGAAATCTCGTCTTCGGATAATAATGCTCCATCTACGTCTTCTTCGTCGATGGGGAACACGGTAGTGGGCCCTTCACCATCCGCAACAACTTCCTCTGTCGCAGCCGTCGCAGGTAATATTATGACGTATTTAAAAAGACTATACTCTGAAAAACTCTGTCGGACATTTTGATTTGTGTACTGCTGATAACGCTGTAATAATATTTTTATTGCGTAGAATCCTTGGCTGCAGCAGTGGAGCACTCCATGACGGGAGGGGATGACCATGAGCCTTGCAAGAAGAAGCCACGTGTTCATGTGGGTGGGAGTGCCGTGGAGGGTGGGACAACGACGGGTGCAGGGGTGACGAAATTACGACCAGAAAAGTTGGAGCATCGTCTGGGTGGCATTCTTTGTTGTGCAGTTTGTCTGGATCTCCCAAAGTCGGCCATTTATCAGGTATTAAAAAGTCCTTAAAATTCACACATTTGAATATATCATCTATATTGTGTGTTTCCAATTTTAAAATGTGGAAAATAGGACAAAATTGTATTATAGTCTGCAGCTGACCACTTTCTCATCTTTGTTTTTCATACATATTTTCAAGAGCTTCGTTATGGAAAATTGGGTTGTGGTATTTAACCTAGTAAGATAAGATTGGATTTCTTATCAGACGCACCATACTAGATTAACTAATATATTTAGGTTCATCTGTGGTTATTTTTATTTTGAACAGTAATCGGACCATGTCATTTAGATCGATAAGATTAATGCATACGTTATTGGTGCAGTAATGGCGTCGTAAGTTAAACAATGCTACACATTTCCTCAAAACTGGCTGTTCCTCAGTCTTACTGAACCTAAGGTTTAAACTCAGAAAATATTGACTTGAATTAAGACTATCAGAATGAGCGTATAATAACTGGTTTCTTATGTATTTATATGTAGCCATCGTATCAATATTATTGTCGATTGCGTTCATCATCAGAGATTCATGCTAACAGTCAATGGATTTGTTTGACTTTATACCATTTTTTGCAATCCAAATTGTTACGACTGGTTAGTATTTCGTATAGATTATTAAATCTAGCTAGATAAAGCCAATTTTATTCAATCGACAATGTATGTATTATTTATTTCATATGGTTCATGTGCAGAAAAAAAGTGAATGAAAGCATTATGCATTCGAGATAAACGAAACAATTTTCAATTTTACTGATACAGAAATCTGAAATACATCATTATTAAAAAATATATTTCTAGAATCTGCGTAACATTAGCCATAAAAATGCTTTTGAAAAATTTAGAACTTCGGTTTGTCGTATAATGATGCCTTCCCCAGTTTTACTTATTGTATGCATCATCTCATCGCATTATTTTGCTCCTGTGTCTGGTGTGTGGTTCTGGTTGGGGTCAACAATTCATCAACTTACAATATGCATACTCGGCTAGTTAGCTTGTTTTGCATATATTAAAGTACTGGGATTATTTTATTGCATGGACTACCGCTGCACAGTTCAATGGAAAACAGCCTTCGAATGGAATGCAGTTTTGTTTTTGCGTAGTGCTTCCTCCTTTATGGAATTGACTAACTTGCTTTACATTTCGTCCAACAATGTTTTCCATGCTATTCCGTTTCTATCATCTTGCAATACTATTAAATAAATATGAATCTTGTTCACACAAATCAAACACCATAAGCGTAGAAAATCCATGACACGTAATAATAATCGAATGTTATCTACGCACCCCAATAATCGTGTTTAACTTATGTCATAAAGTGCGATGTTTTTTTTGTGATCACGCAGGATTCACGTGGGCATTTGTGCACATACACGTACATATAAAGATGCATCTTCTCTAGCCATCTTTTAACATTATTTATATGACCGTTAAATATTAAATATTGTATATCATCCAACAATAAAGCTCATAAATTCGAGTTTTGTGTAGTTTATCAACTAATGATGAACCTGAACTCAGGTTGGGATATGGAATGATTAAAGATCGTAAGAAAGACAGAGCGGATGGATATCCATGAGTGGGATGAGATGATTTTGCTGAGTCTTGGCAAGCTCACGCGGCGTTAGATTTAGATTGCGTTGTGTAATGTGCTTTGACCTAGTTGGCTTGGTCGTATTCAATCCTGAGTGTCGTTCTGTTCTGATCAAAATAAAGAATGGTCTTTTGTTAGTGCAGTTAGTTACCCAGTTCAAGTATATATACTTGACTAGTAGATCTACTATTTAGTAGACAATAGACTGTCGCCAAAATGTCTGCAAATAGTTCATCGTCACCTGTAACGTTTGGACAATCTCGGGATCGTACAATTTTTAATGCACTGATGACTTTCCATGAGCGAATATGATGATGTTATGTATAATACGAACATGGGATACATTTATGATTTATTTTGCAGTGCACTAATGGTCATTTAATGTGTGCTGGTTGCTTCACCCATTTGTTAGCCGACGCAAGGCTACGTGACGAAATAGCGACATGGTAAGGAAGCAATTGAATTTTTTTTACTTTATAAAATAGTGAAAGACCGAAATAATAATACTGATACAAATTGCAGTCCCAATTGTCGTGTGGAAATAAGCAAGCACATGGCCTCAAGAAACTTGGTGAGTACTCTGGACTGGCACACAACATTGAGCATTAATACTACTCATTAGCACTGATAATAATAATTTATTACATAAGGAGATACCTTGTTAGTGGGTTCGATGTCTGATTTTTGCCCGGAAAACGGGGGGAACGAAACCCTGGAAAATTCTCGTAAACCGACCCTAAAAAAATGGTCCGCCCCGTTTTCCCGGCAAACGTTTGCACCACAAATCAAACACACGCCCCACTAGCTAAGTTATCGATGAAACAAGTTATTATAATAATGTTTAAATTTTAGGCCGTAGAGAAAGCTGTAAACGAACTTCCATCTGAATGCCAATTCTGCAATAAGGAATTTCCTCGCAACTCCCTGGATCATCATGAAAAAGAGGAATGTGAAGAAAGGTGAAACCCATTACTTTAATCGTATTTAACAAACAATAGGCTCAAATAATAATTAGTTCCCAAACTTGATTGGTTCCAAGCAGAACTTCTATTTGCAAATACCAGCGGATTGGTTGTCCATGGCGTGGACCGGTATGCTTAATTGCCTAAATTATTTTTTGAGCTAAAGATGATGTTTATATGCTAACAAATTTTTAATTCATTACTTAGTTCCATGAACTACTTCTTCATCAGGAAAATTGTATTCATCCTAAAAAGTCAGGGGGTGAGGTCATGGAAATTCTAGGAGAGTTTGATAAAGAGTTGGAAAAGGAAAGGAAACTGTACCACAACATCTTTGATCTTTTAAACTACGAGAAGATTACGTTCAATGGTATTTATTAGTCTTGTCATAAACTTCCCAAGCGTAATGCGTTGCTGTTTTTATCGTGATTGCTAATTATGATTCTGTTAATATGTATTTTTTTTTAGATTTGCAACTAAAGCCATACCGAACGGACGAATTTGTGCATAAATTATACTATGAGACAAGCCGCTTCTCCGCCTTCAACAATCAGGTTTTTATTATCTTTGTTAATAATTAAATTCATATGAGTGAGAAATCAGAATCTGACATTCAATACTATTATGATTAAAAATTTTAACAATTAGTGGGTTGTCAAAGCCAGGATCAACAATAATCAGCGAGACCCAACGCAAAGTTGTGATCGTCAACTCACTTATCAGGCATGTGAATACATAGACTTAACTTGTTTCTTTCTTAAATTATACACTTTACATTTCCCAGCAATAATAATTTCCTTACAAAAATTATACTGTAAGTAAGTAATAACAAACCTTATATAGCTGATTCTCAAGACGAAGCCGAGTTCAAATTTGGATGTTAGCTTTGTGGTTTTGAAAGGTAACTGGGTAATATCGTGAAACATATAACTACCTTCGAACCAACACAATTTTTCCACCATTTTAATTATTTAACAATTCATTCTGTGCCTAGGACCTTTTGGAGATATGAAGGTCAACCCTAGCATCAACCGGTTTGAATTTTCAGAACAAAATAATGAATCGCCCTACTTTCACTTGCCCATCAACGAAAGTTCCGAAGTTAATCGACTTCTATCTCAAAAAGCCGTGCATTTTCGTCTTATAGCATTCCTCCAGTAGTAGTAGTCATTCAAATTCATAACATGCCACACAAATGTTAATGGTGGAACCAAGATCAACACAAGTGATTTTAAAATGTTCAATACAAATAATAACGATGAAGATACCATGAGTGAAAGTTTTATGGTGAAGCTGCAAAAGAAAAATTGGTTGATAGTGTAAAATACAACTCGCGTTTGAAAAAATGGAAAAGTGAGCTAGAAATAAAATTTCAATTGAGTTCATAATTAGTCGTTATGAAAATTTAAAAAGTAAGAATCTTTAGTGACGCAAATATATATAGTGCTCAATTTATTCTAATTACGTTATTTAGACGCAGTCTTTAAATAGTAGTTAATAAAATCGTATTAGCTGGTTATTTATTGTGATGGTTTGTTTGCATATTTCTGAGAATGTGCATTTTAGTTTCTGATGCTCTTCTGTTTAAAACTTTGCCTCTATTAAAATTATAATATATACACCTGTAATTCTCACTTTATTATTTACAAAGTTTGAGTTTGGCTACAATGAATGAAACCAAAAATACGTATTAAATTAGTCAAGTGTTACATTAGGACATGAAATCGAAACTAATATATGCTTTAAGTAGATAATGATAGTCAGTCAACTAACTTTGGTGTAAGTAGATTCGCATTTCTCAATTGCAAATATGTAAGATTATAGTATCCTCTGCGCTTCGTCTTCGTCTCGCAATTTTAAAATTCGCATTAAATTAGCAGTAGTTTATATGAACGCTTCGGTATTGTAATCAGCGGATTAAACTAACCTATACATAGTTATAACAATTCGTTAATTTTGTAAATATATGTACTAACTCGTTGTACTATATATCATGCTATGCATGTGACGCGGATTTTTATTCCCCTTTAGTCTACTTGTGAACCTAAAATATATTTCCATCTTGTTAGTTCTGTTGATTTGTTGTTGAATTATACAATGCATTGTCATGATTAAATGCGGATGCATATTGAGACTCTATAATATCCAAGGTTTTTGTGTGTATGTGTTGCTCATATGAAATAAGTTTGGTATTTTGTTTGTTATCTTCAATTTTAAATGTTTGGAACTGAGACCTGCGAGTTTTATTCTACGTTCATCGCCTTTATTCATTCAAAATAATAGAGATACCCACATTGGACATACCCCCTAAACTAACATTTTACCATTTTTGGTGATTTTATTTTGTTTTTGTGAATACCTATGTAGGTCATGACATGCAGAATAAAGATATTAGGATATTTAAAATAAAATAAAACGACAAACAAAAACTTAATTATTTAAAAACTCTCAAACTATAACTATTTCATAAAACCTTATAAACGCTAAAGCTTTTTCTTCCGTCTACTCATATCACGTCGCATTAATGATGATGGATTATCAGAGCTCTGAAATTTTCAATAATGACATAACAATCAACATAAAACCTTTCTAAACTAAATAATGCATAATATAATCGTTATAAAATAGCATTACATTTTTGGAAGAAGGTTTCGTCAATTCGTGATCCACGTCAGTCTTTCTTCGTTTGGTAATAATAGTTTCAACTTCGTCGCCACAATTAGATTCCTCCATATTCCAAGCTCTAACAATTCCATCTTCGTCAAAGGTTAGCCATTTGTTGCTCTATTGAAAAAAGTTGTTAGGATCAAAGGTAGTGATTAGATTTCGACTAACTTTTATGAAAGTATACTAAAATAGTACAAATATGCAGCTCACATTAGGAATGTATTCGGCGGTTTGAACGATGGCATTTTGGTTTAGGAATATTCCATTTGGTTCCAATTTTTCGCCATCAATTTTGATAAATCGTGTGCACCCTCTGCCAAGAAATTCAAAATGAAGTGTAATTGCTTGTATTACCACTATTATACTTGTGAATGGAAAGTATACCCCTTTAGTGAACATGTCAATAAGCCCAACATGCTTGAAACACCATTCGTTCTTTCTTTCTGCCAGTAGCACCTATTTACGAAAGCTGCTTCTGGGTTACTTCTCTGGATGACATGAGCATAACAAATTAATACAGTAGAACATTGAGAGAGATCAAACTCAAAGCTTTCACTTTCAGTTCATACCATCATCGCTTTGGATATTTGAGGTCTGTCAAAATTAACAAATTTATCCCCACGGTCTGCATCCCAAATTTGAACTTGATTGCAATGTGTTACACATGAAAGGCATGATGCAGGAAGGGAACCAATTGTATTGGTATTCCAATGAATACTTTCCTACAAAAAGTATTCACAGTGTCGGACAAAAATTTAGTATGCAATCCATACATGCAATCCATATGACTTACAACACTTGACTCTGTATTGAAGCTATAAAGTAGGGCATCATCTTCATTAGCTTCCAACAAGTTAAAACTGTTCAACAACCCATCTGTACTTCCGGTGGCTAAGAAATTGAATTTGTCTGGATGAAATTTAACCGCAGTCACATCATCCGAATGGGATTCCCAATATGCTCCCAATAATTTGTCTCCATTTCCTGCATCGTCATTCATTCTTACGTCCCAGAAGAGGATAAAAGAATCCTCGTCCACGAGTTCAGTTCCTACGGATTTGATTTTATAAACTTTATTATGCTACATTACATATAACAAAATTATATTATCTGAAGCATGGTCTAGCTCAAGCTCTCAAATTTGAAATAAAGTGTCATTGTCGTATAATTTGACCTGCACTCAGAACTTGGTCTCCCGGGCTGACGTCCAGACACAAAAGTGGTCGTACACGTTTGGATGCACTCTCACTACCACCGATTCGTGATGAGCCGCCTTGTCAAAGTTAAACGAATAAAGGAAATCATAATAAGTATTACACATGTACATCCCAATCTACAAACAAGTATACAATGTGTAGATCTGAAAAATGCAAATTATTCGTCCCTACTGGCAGAAAATGTTAGCGTTGGTTGTAAAGTATCCAGCCTAAAATCCCAGAGGCAAACTGTTCCATCCTTGGCACTTGCAGAATATACCAGCTCGGGCCGAGTTTTGCTGCATCTGGAAAATTTTAAATTTCGACACAATTATAGAAATTAAAATTATTTATCAACTATGTATTATTATTCAATTACACGAGCGAGGATAATTTTCGATGTGTCCTACAGAGTGGCAATTTTGCTGCCCCTTTTGCACTTCCTGTAATAGGCAAAGTTGGGCGACTTGTGTCCACTAAAGCGATACTTCCGTTGGATACTCCGCACGCTATCCGATCTTCCGTCCTATACATTACAAGAATCACTTTTACGATTTAATAATCAATCCCCAGACTTATTAACAACTAAAGAATGTACAAATACGGATTTGCCTACAAGTTGAGGTCAGAGTAGATGGTGATTGGCAGCTTTCCACCTGTGGAGGGTGACGGTGAGGAGCCCCAGGACGAGGTTGATGTCCAGTGATTGGGAAAGGCGTCGTTGAGTCTGGAGGGGGTGGAGGAGTCCTGGTCGTCAATTTTAAGCCTTTTTACCCCACCCAACAAGGTGCCAATCGAAGAGACTCCGCTTTTCTCCCCACCACTCATCCTATTTGGAGTCAGTCAGTCAGGAAGATAAATCACTCGCCGGGTTTTTGTGATTCTCGGGGTTGTTACTCCGATTTTCGGGGTTTTCTTAGCTGCTGCTCCGAAGTTTCCTTCTTCAGCTGACTCTCCTTCAAATTAATTGTTTATTCATTCACCAACCAATGACGAAACAAAAGGTCTTATCCAACTGTGCAAAAAAGTGCTTATAATTTATATTTCTCTCAATAGTTATTTTATCTCTAATTTTAACCAGTTGTAAAATTTTTAATTCACTCTAAACAAAAGAATATTGTATTTTTGCTAAGCGTGAATAATCAGACAAAAAAACAATTCCACGAGTTTAAAATTTTCCTTGTCTAATTTTACAATATTCAATTAAAAAAATCGAACTACTTACTTTTCAAGTTGAAAATTCTAACGTTTATAGTTTGGTTATTTGGTTCGACTATTGAGATATGACCTCCTCCTCCCCTTCGCCCGTGGCCGCAACGTCGATCTTGGATACCCTTAGGTTGAAACGTAAGCACCCAAAACTTTTGAAAACTATTATTTATTATTGCTTATAGTTTTCACCAGTTGAAGTAGGTATATAAAACAGTTTTGCATTGCACGTGCTGTGTCCAGATTATGTATACCTCCGCTTCCCAGTCTCAATTTTGACTCGATTTTACTTTGTCTGTGTACCCTGTAGCTTGTCTTTTTTTTTAGCTTTCTCGTAATTAAAACTATATCAAACGCGTTTGTTCCGATTTTTTAATAAGGTAATTTAAGGTTTTAATCGGCTCAGCTCTCCGTGCATGATATATATAGATACATACATACGGATTTTGATTAAACTGCAAGAAAAATTAATGCCGGTGACAGAACATTGTAGTTGAGCGTAAAGTTTTTTCCATAAAAAAGAAGATCATCATAATGAGGATATTCAAAGAAAAATTAAGTTGGACTGAGCCATAATTACGATAGGCCTGACTCGGACTTCTGCACGCACGCTGAAGGTTTTTATAAATCAGGCTTTTTAATGTGAAATACATGGCAGTAAGTAATAATTTGTGATAGATAAGAGTTATATCATACATGCATTTGTAATTAGACGATAAATCAATCAAATTATCTAATGGCATAATTAACTACGATAAGAAAGAGAAAGCGAAAGTGTACGGAAATGTGTATGCATTGTGGACCACCAGGACTGGATAATTAGATTGAAGTCAGAGAGGAGAAACTTGTAAATTGTAGAGATAAGGTCCATAGGGTCCAACCCCGTTTGCAGGGAACAATTTGGCATTTGTTTACACAAGCGGATTGGATTGAGATTAAAGCATATCCATCATTGCATATTGCATGACCTTCGTTTCTTACCATCGCCTGGCCTCATACTGCATACTGCATAAGTATCATTCTGGACCATTCTGGACCATTTCTGTGTTCTGGACCTACATATATATTCTGCGCCCATGATACTATAGACAAATCCAACCACCAACCAAATAGGTGTTCCCTTTGAGTCACTTTCGTTCCTGAATTACCATAAAAAGGAAAATACCTAAAGTCAAATATTTAAACGGACTTGGTAAGTTGCATACATATTTAGGTATGTATATATACATCAACATAGTTTACTTTGCAATCTGCACTATTGTGTATTTATCAGGTTTCTTTTTGTGCGCACAATATTATTCTGCATGCATAGTGCATAAAAGTACACTATGCATGCAGAACGTGCATGCACTAAAGTGAATAAAAGTTAAAAATGAATGAAATCCAATCCATCTAGAGGATTTCGTATTTTCATGAAGTTTTATATTGTCTTACCATGTCAAATGGGAAAGCACAACCCAAAATGTCAGTCTCAATTCATCCAACTAACAAGTCGATATCTTTGTGTTGATAATGTACCGATATTGTATCGGGAGATCTTAAACAGGACTACAAATTTATTTTGCTTTTAAGCTAAGCACAATACATTTTGATAATTGTAAACGTTGCAACTCATCGTGCTCAACAAGTAAAGAGTAGCAACTAACATGCCACATCTTCATTGATGACGATGCAAAATTTAATCGATATATGCAAATTCCTAGGGGTTATACACCTTTAAACTATAGGAATTTGCATATCGATTAAATTTTGTAATTGGTCTAAACTTGGGTCATGAACTGACTTTGTCTCTTTTTTCCTCGATTCGTGTAGCCAATATAAATGGTAGTCAGATCTGCTTGGTATAGATGAATAAACAGAGGAGCGATAAATTTCAAATTTAATTACACTGTCACGGTTTAGCAGGAAATTGTGCACTTAGGGTACATGCATATCTTTAAATATATGTAAAAATATAATAACGTCAGTATGCATTCTTACACGACTTTTCATACATATAAAGACGTCCTCAATCTTATAAATAACATTATTGTTGAAGTCATTTTTGGTTTAACTGATATCGAGTAGCCATGCACATTAAAATTAAGAAACTGTGAGTAGACCCTTTGGTTGTGATTTTCTGGATGTAGTTGAGCCAAATCGTTGTCATAACCATTAAAATTAGTCATAAAATCGAATGTGCTTCTTCGTGAAAAATCTACAATACATTTTCTACAAAGATTTAGTTTGAACAGTTTACCAACAACATTTGACCCTGACAAGCATTAACAAGACAAGGACAATAAAAAGTGTTTCGTCTCATTTCCCATTCACTCAAGTTACTCGGTTACTCAAGCATCAATCCCAAGCCCAACCAGCTCTTGTTTCACGTAACCTCATCCACAAAAAACATTAGTAGTTAGCAACAGTAGGCAGTTAGTTCTTGTCGTAAAATTCGTGGGGAACAGGACTCGAAAACAGAAGTACACAATCTTCAGAAATGCTTAGATGTAAATAAATTTGGATAAACAAATTTACCAAAAACCTTTCGTCTCTTGTCTCATTCAGAATTCAGTTCGAATGAGTAAGCGCAGCGTACGGTATGCCGTTTTGAACTACATGACTAATTTTTGAAGCAGTTGTCGCCTTTAGCAGAGATAATTAAAAACTGTCTCATATTTCGCTCACAGTTTCACCCACAACAAGGTCACAAACGCACTGTTAGAAACGTTTCCTTTTACTCAGCCATTACCAATATCTAAATTGTAAGTAGTATCAGGTTCTTGCTCTATGAACTTATCTGATTTACAATACACAACCCAACCACTCATTGCTAATTTTGTTTCCTTTGCGTCAGTGGTGGGAGGTATTGTATCTGCCGATTTAGTTTAGCTCGCCGTGCTGTGACGACGTGTGCAAAGCCATGGAGCAGCCCAAAGTGAACGAGAAGACGAGACGTGGTGGTGGTTCATCTTCGTCAACAGGATCAACGGGGTCCTTGGAGGAGCAAGACGAGGGCATCATCGACGGGACCTATCTCACCGACTCCTCCGACTCTTCCGCCACTGCCAACAACAAGGAGACACGTCCTTACACCCCCTCCACAACGTTCCAGGGTGCGCTTACAAATCGCTCGCATTAGTTGCGAATTTATTATTTGCATACAGTTTTGCTATAACACACTCAGCCAAATATATGCTTGATTATTTAAGTGAGGTTTACTGCGCTTAAAATTTCGTTTTGGTTTCAGCAACGAGGATTAAATTTTTTTGCGACATGGTCCACTCACACGTCGAATTACCTCTGATCTGTTATAAGATCATTAATACCAGACAGTTCCAGAGGTTGAGGAATTTGAAACAACTCGGATTATGCTACTACGTCTATCCTACGGCGTGTCATAACCGGTTCGAACACTGTATTGGGTAAGTATGCGCAATATTAAATATTTTTCGCATGGGGTGAGAAGAACATGCCATTTTTTTAATTTCATAATTCAGAACATCATATTTGGCCGGGACCTATTGCAAAATACTTCAAACGAATCAGCCAGAACTGAATATTGATAATCAAGATCTTCTATGCGTATACATCGCGGGATTGCTTCATGACTTAGGACACGGCCCATTTTCCCACACCTGGGAACAATTTATCAGCACCTACGATAAAAACTACTCGGTAAGGGTTCTAACATTGTTATATTGATTTATTGATTTATTTGCAATGAAGCACCTTTAAGTATAATATATTAACAGCACGAGGAAATGTCAATCAAAATGATGGACTACTTGTTGGAGTCAAATGACTTGTGGACCCTGTGCAAATACCAAGCAGGTCTCACTGAAAGAGATCTCGTATTCATTAAAGAGATCATCCTTGGACACCCAATAAGTGGTGATGAGTTTCAGGGACGCCCTCCGAATAAGCATTTCCTGTATCAGGTATTGGTGAATGAATCTCGGCATTTGTACAGTTTGCATGCATGCATATGTAATAGTAAAACTGAACACCACCTTACTTTCTTTTGCCAATAGATCGTATCGAATGACATAACCAAGATAGACGTGGATAAATTTGACTATATCCTTCGTGATTGCACACAGCTCAATGTGAAGACAGGATTTGATTTTCAACGGATTTTCAACAACAGCCGTGTTTTTTTCGTTCGACCAGGGCTAAAGGGAGCTGCAGTTGAGGTCGCCGAATCTGCTCAGGACAGCACTGTCACAATAATTGCATATCGGAAGAAAATTTCTAGTACTCTTCAAGAGTTATTTCTCGGCAGGTTCAGCCTGCATCAGAAAGCATATCAACATAAAGTTGTCAGGATTGTGGAAATGATGTGAGTTCCAAATAGATTTATATTTCTACGAGGAAAATTGAATATAATAAGTATGCATAACTTTATCTCTAGGGTTGTGGATGGCTTGAAAGCGGCCGAACCTTATTTCCGAGTCCCTTCTAGCACAGACCCTGCCAAGGTACTGAAACTATCCACTGCCCATCAGGATGTTTCAGCCTTCATAAAAATTACCGATAGCGTCTTGGAACAAATTATCGAATGGGGCAATGGTGGTGCAAGTGCAAGGAAGATCTTCAACGATATTATCAATCGGAAGCTGTACAAATGTATTGGCTACTTAAGCGATCAAATAAACGTGAGTTAACCTAGCCTAAATTTGCATTTTCATAAACTGGTTAAATATTTATGTAATGGTGAATCGACTCTGAAAACGATTTTTTCCGTCACATGAAGGAGGATTTACTTGATGATCTCAAAGCATGTGAACCGGCTTTGTTGCTTTGTTACACTTCGATAAACTACGGCAGAGGAGATGAAAACCCGTTAAATTCAGCCTTGTTTTATGTAAAAGCCCGACCTGGTCGACTCTTCAAACACAAATTTTCTGGCCCAAACTTGTAGTCAATATTCAATTAATCAATTCAATATTACATTTTGTAGTTGCATTAATTAAATTCTGTGGAATTTTTAGGGAAAGCAAGTGTTTTTTCTTGCTCCGTCCAACCTATGCATATGAAGAGGGGGAGACAACTTCTACAATTTCAGAGGAGGATGAGCAGAAAAGGATGCAACTAATGGAAGAGAAAGTGGAATTAATCTTGCAAAAACATGAGGTTGAACTAGAATTGGAATAGTTGTCCCTAGACGTCAAAAATATTTTCAGAATTACTCTTTTTATGCATGGTAATAATCGAAACAATCGTAATTTAGTATTTAGTTTTATCAGTAGCGTGGCGTATACAAATCATATCACATACAAAATAAATTGTGCTTCAAAAACTAGCGAAATTTCTGTTTAATCATGACTAGAGATGCGTAAGAATATTCGTTTTTTCAATATAAATCTGGGTTTTCTTGACCACTTTTATTGGGCAATATGTTAATTGTGATAGTAATAATTTATTTCAATCAATCCGAGCGACCCATGATTTGACGTGGAAAATTTCCACTCAGCTCTTTATGACATTGTGATTTTATAAATTGTAATTTTATGAATAATATAAATACCTTAGTTTGTCAAAAATTCATTTTAGCAAATTAGTTTAGCTGAGATACTGAACCATTACATTTCCAATAAAAGCTTTAATTATTGTATTTGAGTAATTGCGTGATACGTTTTGTATGATATGACGTTTGAAATTTATGCTCATCAGTCATCATAATAATGATCAAGAATAGTCAATACTTTTTGCCATACATATACCTACAATAATTGAATACCGTTTTGATAATGACAAAGTTGTATGGCCTATATACATATGCTCCGTATGTAACAATATGATAATTATTTTGAAAGCAATAACAATAAATAACAACGTTGTTTGAGATAGTTCAAGAAAGTCTTATTGTTGTACTCAAAAGCAAGTTATTTCTGAATATTACAAAAGATAATTCAAAAATAAATATAATGTTACACGAGAAGTTTTTCAATCTCCTGTTGAATCGTAGTAATTTGGGGCTTCAACTGCGAGCCTTCATTGATCGTCACGGAGGCAGCAATAACGGGGCGGGACACACCACAAGCCCTGCCAAGTGCTATACAATAGAGAATAAGAAAATGTAAAACTAGTAAAGATCCTGTACAATTTGTTTTGAGAAATTATTCACGTTATTTCAGTTAATAAATAATGTAATAAACTTGTTGTTGGGTTGTCCTGTGACTCACCTTGCTTTGACCTCACGAAAACGTACGGGACGTTCTTGTCCTCACAAAGGAGGGGGAGATGCAAAAGAATTTCAAGAGGCTCCGCATCTGCAGCCATTACAATAAATTCGGCCAGACCGCGATTCAACGTCTTGGTCGCCTCGTTTGCTCCCTTTTTCAGCTGTTGATAGTTGGCCGCTTGCTGAACTAAATTCAAGATCTTGGTAGTCAACGCTGCCTCAGCCAAAGGATAGGCCTTTGGATTAACTTCTGCGGATTCACTCTGCACAGGAAAAAATTCGCGCAATTAGGTCAATCCTGCATTCGTAAATACTACTATTATATTATGTATTATTAGCCCATTAATGGAAACAACGACGAGGGGGGACATTTCATACATTTTTATGAAATGCTGCCCCCCCCCAGATATACCCTCTTGGTGTGAGACACTTGTATTGCACAAATAAATAATACAGAATACTAATACTTTTACTATTTAAGCAATAATCTGCGAGCTTACCATATTCGCGGTTATTGATGTCGCCTATTAAGTTTATTTCAAGTGAAGTATTAACAAATAACCTGAAACAAAAGAAGACCAATTAAATTCAGAATTGATAAATAAATAAAAAATATGCATGAATAATAACAATAATGCTCAACTTTTGGATTTATATACTACAACCTACCCTCTCGGCACAAGCTTCACTGAGGAAATCTTGACTGCACAAAAACTTGTAATATCTGAAGATATTTAAAAGTTAGCACGAATATTTTTATTTATGAAATTGCTGAAATATATGATGTAGCAATTGGAAACAAACAGAACCAACACCGGAGACAACAACGCCGAACGATAGAAACATGTGGCTGTTTGAAATTGGAGCTCATGAAGCTCAGTCAATAAACCCCGAAATGATGTCAAATCAAAAAAAAATTAACTAATGAACTAATTAATACCAAATCGTGCCGAAATTTTGATGTGCACTTCATGATTCACAATTGACAATTTGCATTATTAATTGTTAATATCAAATTACTTTAATTAGTTTAATGTCTCTGTATTGTAAAATGTAAAATTCATATAATTTATATGTATGAAATTCAGATTCTGAATTTTCATGCGACCAATGTGTATTAAATATTGTACAGTATAATGTATTTAGACTATCATAAAGTTTAGTTATGCTTGAATTCACTTCAATTCGTCAGTTCCATAATTATTTATTGGGAACTGAAATTGTAACGATTGTAACTTTGGAATCGCTGAGACATTCTCAGCGAGAACTTCTCTTCGTCGGTTCCGTTGGTGACCTCGCGAACTTTTCTCCGTTTTTTTTCAGTTGACTATTTTCCCTTCTCAAGGTTGCCTCTGATCGTTGTCGCTTTCCAAATTCTATTCTCAATATTCGCATTTAAAAAAAATTATTTCAAATTAAATCCGTTTTATAAATTAATAAGTTTACAAACTGATTAGTATCTGTCTGTAAGTGTTTTGATAAATTGCTCACTCATGTCAAACGATCACAAGGGTTTGACTTGACTTGAGTCTTTCCCTCCCAAGTCCATGTTCATTTGCATTTCATATAATTTAATTTACACCTAATTTGTGGTTATCAGAAATGGCGACCAAGGCAAAGAAGCGTGCTGCAGATAAGGACGTCTCACTCACAGAAGATCAGGTCGTGCATGACCTTGATGCATCTACCGTGCTTGACGTGGACGACGATGAAACATTTTTTCAGGATATCGATCTCCTCCAAAATCATGGAATTGTAAGTCTATCTAATTAATTATGCTGGAGAAAAATAATTGCATCTTGTATTACATATCACAGAATGTGGCTGACATTAAGAAGCTCAAGTCAGTTGGGATTTGCACTATCAAAGGCGTAATCATGTGTACCAAAAAGAAATTGTGCAATGTCAAGGGCCTGTCCGAAGTGAAGGTGAATGAATTTTATTGGGTTTTAAATATAATGAATTGCTGCATATGCGAGCAAATGGACTGGATTAGATTTTATACATGTCGCAAATGTTGTGGACTAAAATATATGCATTAAACATAAACTCAGGTGGACAAAATAAAGGAGGCTTGTCAAAAGTTGGACAGCAGTGGTTTCCTTACAGCTTTGCAATTTGCGGATAAAAGGAAGCAAGTTTTCAGGATCACAACAGGGTCCCACGAGTTTGAGTGAGATTTTTTATTTGCTAAATTTTTTATCTGCATGAGTCGTTGATTGAAATAGATATTTTGCATTGCTAAACCATTTTTTTTGCAGTAAACTGCTTGGGGGTGGACTTGAGTCGATGGCAATTACTGAGGCATTTGGAGAGTTTCGAACGGGAAAAACACAATTGTCTCACACATTATGTGTAACAACACAAATTCCTGGCCAGAATGGTTATTCTGGAGGAAAAGTAATTTTCATTGATACGGAAAATACATTGTATGTCTTCAACAGAAATTAAATTACTCATAAATATGCGTGAATTAATGCTTGTCATCCTCGAAATTTCTTTGTACATAGTCGACCTGATCGACTCAAGGACATTGCAGATCGGTTCAGCTTAAATCAAAGCGCTGTTCTGGACAATGTTTTGTATGCTCGAGCATACACTTCTGAGCATCAATATGAGTTGTTGGATCTTGTTGCTGCGAAATGCCATGAAGAATCAGGTGTATATAAACTGCTGGTTAGTTGAGAATTTTATTTTATTTGAAGTTATTTTTCGGCATAGTATTGTTGTTATTTTTTACTTTTATTGTTTGTAAATATATAGATAGTTGATTCTGTGATGGCTTTGTTCCGTGTGGACTTTAGCGGGCGCGGTGAGTTATCTGAGAGGCAGCAAAAATTAGCACAAATGCTGTCTCGATTGCAGAAAATGTCAGAGGAGTACAACATGGCTGTGTTTGTTACTAATCAAATGACATCAGATCCAGGAGCGACAATGAGCTTTCAGGTTTTTTTAGAATTTGTTCTATGAATTATTACAATACGATAGCGTAACAGCTTTTGGAATTTGCCCTTCTTAATTTATTTAGGCGGATCCAAAAAAACCAATTGGTGGTAACATTATGGCACATGCATCTACTACACGGATTTCTCTAAGAAAAGGCAGAGGAGAACTGCGAATTGCAAAGATTTACGACAGGTTCATTCAACAATGAATATCATTTTCCAATTGACAATGCATTTATTCAGTTTTTCTTGCACCCCTGTAGCCCGGATTTGCCAGAGTCTGAAGCCACTTTTGCCATTTCCAATGGAGGAATTTGCGATGCTAAAGAATAATTCATCTTTCATCTTGGTGCATTTACTATAAAACCTTTTTGATGTTTTTTTGTCCAATATTTTTGCACAACTTTTGTATAAATTTTTGTTACGTTGTTTTTTTCTTTGTCGGAAATGACCTGTTAGTTCAAATTTTCCACCCATTCAACTACTTGATATTGAATTCTAAAAAGTACAAACCTGGATTTTCATATGCGTGTACGTACACATGTCTAATATTTTACTAAAAGTTTTTACTGTTTCATACAGTTAAAAATTTTATGTATTGCGCATAATTGTAGTTTCATGCGACAAATAAATTACTGTTTTCTTAAACTAACAAAAATCCGATGAATGATCTATGACCATTATATTACAATGATAAAAGTGAGAAAACAAGTAACTTCCTTCCAACCATGCAATCTGATTTTATTATTCAGAAGCCCTACACTAAAGTTTAAAATTACTAAACGTGGAGCACAATTTTCCATGATCTAGAAAGTTAGTAACAAATTAATCGTAAGTCCAACAACATTTGACGTAAATATCAAGGGGGAAGTTCTTTTTAAGTAATAAAGAGATCCAACTTGTGCCTTAATCGGTTCAAAACTTTGAAGTATTTTCATCCTCTTCATTATCCGACATCGTTTCCACTCCCAGAGTAGTTGGGTTGACCCTTGAAATAGTAGGAGCCCCTCAGAGTTGACACAAAACGAGAGGATGAACAAGGCGAACGTTCCCAGTGGGAAAATGAGAAATGAGGGTTGTGACACCGACACGAGTGGACTTTTTGCCAACCTCAACGTGGCAAACGTCATCCATGACACGAGAAAGAGTAAAAATGTTAGTCCTGCGGGGACGAGATATTTGCTGTAACAGGAGTGATACATATTTGTCATGATCTGCATTTGTCGGTAAGACAGCGTACATCTCTGACAGGCTTTTACACTGACTGGTGGGTGACGTCTTTGTAAATTTCTGTACACAGTATATGAAATTTGTTACTATAAAATATAATACTTAGAAGAAAATGTGGTGCTTACGCCCATTTCTTCAAATGGACTCCGAGGTAGTGCGTGTAAGATGAATAGGTGTAGAACATGAAGAGCACTATATTCCAAGTGTTCATTGGGATGAGGAATTCATAGCAGGTTATCAAGGCAAACGTTTTGCAGTTTTGCCAAGAGGGGTGCAACAGGCTCCAAATATATTGCACGCCATTTCTCCTCCTCACAAAAAGAAACGAGTTGCAGAAAGACTGCATATAAACTGCTGGGATGATCCAGGGAATCAATCTGGAGAACATGTCGTCATTATTACCGTCCTGCTTTCCTCCATTCACTCCCCCGGAAATGAGCAAGTTGAGGAACGCCAAGTATTCGTCATGTTTCCACCACAGGAAAGTCAGGAACAGGGCCCCAGCTCCAAAACCAACGGATTGATACGTGACGAAACCTGTTTAGGAGAGCCAATAAATACATATATCAGGTCAGAACGAAGGACCGCCCTCCTAAAACGAAATCTTTGTTCCTCCCAAATCCAGCCCAAGTTGGATTCGAAATTAAACGATTCAAACTTAAATTCGGATTCGTACGGAGCACTATTTATATGACACGACCACAAACCTAGGTCGAGAATGGGTACATGGTCAAACCCGAGGAAAAACATGGCCCAAATCATGCGAGAGGTGGAGAAGGATGCTCCCCATAACTGAAAGAGTAAGTTGGCTCCACACAACCATACCCTCAACGATGAGCTCGACTTATCGAGACCAAGCTTGCGCCTTGCGATGCAAGATTCATAGATGGGTGGATTGAGGTCCTATATGTAAGTGTATACATGTAAATACATAGAGGATTTTCAGACTTCAGAGTAAAGTACAAAATTTTTTCGTACTGCTATTCGTCGTATGGGAATGGAGTGACAAAATGAGGAGAACCTCAGGGAACGATGAACGAGGGTTAGAGTCTTCTCAGGAACAAGATTCATTTGATAATATGCTAATTTTACTCCGGTTGTCTATTTTTAAAGCTAAAATTTTTACATTTAAAATTGCACAACAAAAATTGTACTTTTTAAAATTCACCAAGTAAGTATTAGGAATGAGTGCGGTGTCAGTGAGTCAGAAATCCTGACCATGAACGAGAGAAAACCAAGCATGAGCTTCTACAGCTCTATAATTACTTGAAATGACAGCTTGATTGTAGCTCAAACACTACTAATTACTAGCATTTAGTAAAGTATCGTAATACGAAATTGATTGACAGGACACTTTGATCTTGTCACCGCATTTCAAAGTTATATAAATTCCAATAACAAATTTAGTCTGATTGTTGTTTGTTTTGCAGAATAGGCAAAGCTATCTAATTAATTAATTACTAGAATGCGGGTACAATGATAAAGCATATACAATTATTGGGAAAATGAATGTCTTATTTTACCCGATTATTTCATCCATAAAGGCTAAAACATCACTTACTAGGGATACCCTTTCCATGATAGCTGAAAGCGGAAACATTAGTTCCAATATAACTTTTTGCATACGTTATGATGTGCTTTGATTTCAAAGTGCAAAAATTTGTCTGCAAAACCAAATTAGTAATTTTTTAATAGCCTTCAAAGTTTGCGAAACTATGGCGCATTAGGTGGAGTGGGAGCGTATGGAGATGGGGGCGGCCGCGCCCCGTCACTATGCACTCATTACTTGTACAGGTTATTGTCATCTGCATGACTCAAGGAAATCCATTACTAACTTACATCAATTTGTGTTATTATTATCTATATTATTATTATTTTCGTTATATTGTTTAGTTTAGTATTAGGCATGAGCTATTAGGATTTTTTTGTCAATTTTCTGCAAATATAGCATTCAGGTTTTAATTTTACCTGATGGTGATGGAAGGGAGTTTGACTATAGTAAGCATTTAGTAATATTTCCGATGTCTGAAATAATTACTTACGTAGTGTATTTGTGCGTGTCGTATACTGGTTCGTCTCGTCCTATTTCATGCAAGCCATGCAAGTACTGACAATTATTGAGAGTAATTAATTTGATATTTCAATCGTTTATGATGCAAAGGATAGTGTTTTATTTCCAAACATAGAATACTCCAAAATTCACAGATTACCACATGCAATAATATTTAATAGAGAGGTGAAAATTGTTCTAATACTATTTGAAAGATTGTCGATTGTAGTATTCATTTAACAATCAGCCTCTGGTTGAGCTGGAAGAATGGAGACAACAGGTTCAACTACTGGGAGCTTGTTGGAAATAGATCCATCAACTGGAAGGATTGAAATTCCTCCTCCAATGATGGATGGCTTCTGTCCCTCGAAAATTGGAACTGGAACAATGGATGGCTGCTGTCCGCCGAAAGAAACGTCACCGCCAGAGAAAATTGGGACTGGGACAATGGGTGGTTGTTGGCCACCAATTGAAGCATCGCCACCTCCAAAGATTGGAACTGGGTGAATGGATGGCTGTTGTCCTCCGAAAGAAACATCACCGCCAGAGAAAACTGGGACCGGGACAATGGATGGTTGTTGAGGAATGATACCTTCAACCTCGGGTTGTTCGGCGACTGGAAGGATTGAAATGCCGCCTCCAATGATGGATGGTTTCTGCCCTTCGAAGATTGGGACAGGGTGAATGGATGGCTGTTGTCCACCGAAAGAAACATCACCGCCAGAGAAAACTGGGACCGGGACAATGGATGGTTGTTGAGGAATGATACCTTCAACCTCAGGCTGTTCTACAACTGGGAAGATGGAAATAACTTCCTTGGGTGGGAGCTTATTGGAAATAGATCCGTCAACTGGAAGGATTGAAATTCCTCCCCCAATGATAGATGGTTTCTGCCCTTCGAAGATTGGGACTGGGTGAATGGATGGCTGTTGTCCTCCGAAAGAAACGTCACCGCCAGAGAAAACTGGGACTGGGACAATGGATGGTTGTTGTCCACCGAAAGAAACATCACCGCCAGAGAAAACTGGGACTGGGACAATGGATGGCTGTTGTCCACCGAAAGAAACGTCACCGCCAGAGAAAACTGGAACTGGGACAATTGATGGCTGTTGTCCTCCGAAAGAAACATCACCACCAGAAAAGACCGGGGCTGGAACAATAGATGGTTGTTGTGGCTCAACAACTGGGAAGATCGAGATGACTTCACCACCTTCAACTGGAAGGATAGAGATGACAGGTTCCTTTGGTGGAAGCTTAGTACCACTGCCTACAGATGGAAGGATAGAAATTCCACCGCCAATGGAAGCATCGCTTCCTCCGAAGATTGGAACTGGAACAATGGATGGCTGTTGTCCTCCGAAAGAAACGTCACCACCAGAGAAGACTGGGACTGGGACAATGGATGGTTGTTGTCCACCGAAGGAGACATCACCACCAGAGAAGACTGGGACTGGGACAATGGATGGTTGTTGTGGAACGATACCTTCAACCTCGGGTTGTTCAGGGACTGGGAGGATTGAAATGCCGCCTCCAATGATGGATGGTTTCTGCCCTTCGAAGATTGGGACAGGGTGAATGGATGGCTGTTGTCCACCGAATGAAACATCGCCCCCGGAGAAAACTGGGACCGGAACAATGGATGGCTGTTGTCCACCGAAGGAAACGTCACCGCCAGAGAAAACTGGAACTGGAACAATTGATGGCTGTTGTGGAACGATACCTTCAACTTCAGGTTTTTCGACAACTGGGAAGATGGAAATGACTTCTCCTCCATCAACTGGGAAGATGGAGATTACTTCCTTGGGTGGAAGTTTGTTGGAAATAGATCCGTCAACTGGGAGGATTGAAATTTCTCCCCCAATGATAGATGGTTTCTGCCCTTCGAAGATTGGGACTGGGTGAATGGATGGTTGTTGTCCACCGAATGAGACATCACCGCCAGAGAAAACTGGGACTGGGACAATGGATGGCTGTTGTCCACCGAATGAGACATCACCGCCAGAGAAAACTGGGACTGGAACAATGGATGGCTGTTGTCCACCGAATGAGACATCACCGCCAGAGAAAACTGGGACTGGAACAATGGATGGCTGTTGTCCACCGAAAGAAACATCACCGCCGGAAAAGACTGGCACTGGAACAATGGATGGTTGTTGTGGCTCAACAACTGGGAAGATCGAGATGACTTCACCGCCTTCAACTGGAAGGATAGAGATGACAGGTTCTTTTGGTGGGAGCTTAGTACCACTGCCTACAGATGGAAGAATAGAAATTCCACTGTCAATGGAAGCATCGCTACCTCCGAAGATTGGAGCTGGGTGAATGGATGGCTGTTGTCCTCCGAAAGAAACGTCACCACCAGAGAAGACCGGGACTGGAACAATTGATGGTTGTTGTCCACCGAAAGAAACATCGCCGCCAGAGAAAACTGGGACTGGAACAATGGATGGTTGTTGCCCTCCGAAGGAGACATCGCCGCCGGAGAAGACTGGGGCTGGGAGGATGGATGGCCCTTCGACAACTGTAGGTTCACAGTCGGGTTGAACCTGTGAAACTTAATTTATTTAGTTTGTGCCTAAAGAAAAACTTAAGATATTACGAAACTTATGATATTACCGTGAGGTAGCGACCGGAGGCTCCAATGGCCAAGAGTAGCGTAATTGCTGCGGCAGCCTTCATGCTGGAATTAGCTTAGGACTTTCGGTTAATTTTTTTGCTGGAGTATTGTTTTTAGTTCTTTCCCAGAGATGAGAGAAAACTGAATTGATACCAAGTGAACAGTGTCCCGACTTTTTATACCCTCAATCCAATACTTTGGTAAGTTGTGCTCCCTATCTATTACATCAGCTATACAAAGGTATTAGGGATTATAGTAAGCTCATAATTACTCTAATTGCTTTCCACTTCAAAATTGTGACGCAAAGTTCGGTAGATATCTATTTGATGGTTGTGAATTATTCACAGCAACTAATATGATGGGTAGATGGTCTGGACAGATTAGACTCATAAAAACAATCGAAGCGTCACTAAAAATGTGAGAGATTTATGATGCGAAGTAATAAAATGTGGCCAAACGGAATCTCTCCATATTTGTTTATTACTTGATCAAAGAAATCAAAACATTTCACGATAATGAGTTTGTTGACGACAGTTGCCTCTTTTTTACTACCTAATTGGCTCACTTGGCTTACGTTTTCGTTAAGCTCAAAATTTGTACCAATTCGACAAAATCTGCCGAAATCATAAATTACGCAAGCAATGTGCGCATTCAATTTCACAAATTGTGAGATTTCTTATCAGAGTCCCGCAGTATATTTCAAAAAATAAGGCTGGCTTTATGTAATAAGTTACTGCTCATTATTAATTTATCATTTATGAGCAAATAATGAGCAAATGAGACACGACACAAAGATTTGTTTTGTCTCATCCAATATGAAATGAGACTTTTGCACTCTCGTGGCGAGAGTCTTGTCTCTCTGGCAGAAACTGCAAAATAAATGTACAATGAAGTATTATACAGTATAATTTATTCTGGCTGCATATGCAGCTTACATTAAGCAAATTTCTGTATCTTGCATCTTGGTAATGCCAAATATCTTTAAATTATATTTAGTTAACGTTGTTATTGTAGTGCGTGCGTTAGGTGCGTGCGTTACTATTTAGTCATTGGCACACTCATCGAAGAAAACGAGATGTCGTCGGTCACAAGTTTGAACTTAACCCTGTACCAGGACGATGTGACCGTGTATCGCCTCAACAAAGAGACACAGCTTCCCCCCGACATATTTACCCTTAAGTGGTTCACAATTAGCAAAACCTTGGTAATGGGAAGATCCATTAATTATGTCACGCTGGCTTACTGGAAGGGATATCTTGCCAATACTAGCCAGCGTGACATAATTAATGGAATTTCTCTAATAGGACGAGGTCTCGATAATACTCCCCTCACAGTGCGGATTCGTCATTGGGGACAAGATGACAAAAGCGGAGCCTGGCTGGAGGGTTATCAAAATTGAGGCTGTTTTGGATTTTGGTCTCGTAGGCACTCTCGCCAGCATCGTGACGCCACTCAAGGAGGAAGCGATTCCTGTCTTTGTCGTCTCCACGTACGACACGGACTACATCTTGATCAAATCAGAACATGTAGAGAAGGCAAAAAAAGCCATTATCAAATCCACTGGATATGCTTTCACCCTCAGTGACACAAGCCTTGTTTAAAAGAAGATATTTATTTGCCAAAGCCGTATTGATTGACGAACATATACTTATGCCCTACATGCATGAACACAATGTGATATTCATTCAGATACAACAGAAGAATAAAAGACATACGTAATTACAGGTCTTTATAAGGAGTAAATGCACCTTATCAAAACCTAACTAAATAATGACTAAAATTCGATCAAAATTTATTTATTTGCATATATTAAACTCCAAAAACAGATATAAAAAGATGCGGTAGGGAGTGACTGAAATTGCATATTATACTTATTTATAGTCCATATAATATTTAATATGTAGGGATTTGAAAACTAAGAATAAGCAGTTTTATTAATAGGCGCAACCACTACATTACATTTACCGGTCATGAGTGCCCCCGTTACGTTTTTGTTGCACAAGTAGTTTCATTTTACAGTGGTCATAGATAATGAAAGCGCGAGCCTCGATAAAATCTGTGACTGCTTTAGAGTCGGAACAAATCAAGAGATTCTTAAAATAAGAATTCTTAAAAGAATGATAAATAAAGTTGTTAAAAATTTCATCCAGCAGTCAAAGTCTAGTTATGGTGTGCCCATTGGGATGGGGAAGGTTGGTGGTGACCCCTTCCTCACCACATCCTACGTGAGAGGGGCACGACGAACTGGTTTCGAACAGGGGAATGATGCTGCGGAAGAATCGCTCAGGAGGAAAATTGACCCCGCAACTACATCAGTAAGTTATCACAAATTTCTAAGAGGCAATGCATTGTTTTGACGAAAATCTTGCTCTCTAACAGGTCGTTCTCTTTCCTGGCCAAGGAACACAATACGTTGGAATGTGTGGGAATCCTGCACAGCTTCCGCGATATGTGCAAGTTTTGTATGAAATCGCATCGTCAATCCTAGACTACGATCTTTTAGATTTATGTGCAAATGGACCGCAGGAAAAACTGGATCAAACGATTCATTCTCAACCAGCAATATTGGTGGGTTCTTTAGCCGCATTGGAAAGGTATGCATTTTTTGTACAAAAAAAGAACGACACAGAACACTACATTATGTTTTTTTTTAGATTACGAGAGGAGGACCCAGTAAGCATTGAAAAATGCGTTGCAACTGCTGGTTTTAGCATTGGCGAATTGACTGCTTTAGTATTTGCTGGAGTAATTAGTTTTGAGGATTCCATTCGCTTAGTTAAAGTACGGGCGGAAGCAATGCAGTTGGCAAGTGAACTCACTCCATCAGGGATGTCGACTGTGTTATATGGAGCCGATTCGAAATTAAGTACAAACAAATGATTCAACTCATAACATTGACCTAAAGCTAAATATCTATTAGCTCGACCAATAATGATTATTTACTTTCTTCAGACTATTCTCTCCTGGTAGCAAAGGAATGGTGCCGTCGAGAACATAATATAGAAAATCCTACCTGCTCTATCGCCAACTATTTGTTTCCTCATTGTAAGGTAGTTGCTGGTGAGGATTTGAAATACTAAAGTCAAATTTGTATCGAGACGAAATGTTTAAATGTGTCATAATAATTCGTTTTGTCCGCAGGAAATATCGAAGCTCTACAATTTTTGGAGATGAATTATAAGGACTTCAATCTAAGAAGAGTTAAAAGACTTCCAGTTTCTGGTGCTTTTCACACGGACCTGATGCAACCAGCAGTAGATCCATTACGCCAAGTCATGAAAGGGATGACAATAAATAGACCAAGAATGTTAGTGTTCTCAAATGTCACAGGATATAGGTATTTAAAAAGACTTTATGAAACGATTTATATTGTGGTCGGTCAGGTACTATAGCAGGTGATGTCTATGCTCACAGGTATCATGGTTCAGATGACTTGATGAGAAATTTACCCAAACAGATTGTACGACCAGTCATGTGGGAACAAACTTTACATACAATTTATAAACGGTAAAAAACTGAAAATTTTTATTGGGGTCGTGTCATATGAATTTATCCACAATTTTATTACATACAATCGTTGAGAGATGGTATTCAATTCTTTCCCGATTTTCTAAACTTGCAGACCGAAAGACAGTGAGTACCCAAATTCATTCGAGTGTGGACCTGGAACTTCACTTTCAACAGTTCTTAAACAAGTAAACAATAGAGCACATGCGAAATGTAAATCAGTGTCACCATTTTCCACAAATGCGGAATAATGCCATTAATAAATTAACCTAGTTCATTTTCATATTAAAGTTTATTAAAGAATGACAAAAGCGAAAACCTCAGAATGTTCTTAAAGATTTCATCATACATAGTCATAATTAAATGCATATGTTCCAGTATGTATGTACATACAGATACATGCTGGAGCAACATATTTATTTTTCAAGCTCGTGGCATCTCATGTTTCATCTATGAAAGAGTAATTGGTTTGGTATATTGTAAAACGAATGAGTTTTGCAGATTGGATGTCATAGATATGCTTTTTATCTTTACTTGAAAGGAGTTAACATTGTTAACAATTTATACTTACCCAATTGAGGCTACGTATATATGTATTTACAAATACATGTATCTGGGTGTAGATATTAACACCCATGATACACAATTTGGCTTTTCATAATAACTAATTAAAATTCTGCATTTGGCAATAGTTTTAAAGTTATCTCAATTTTAATTGTATGAGTCAATAGCTCTTACATTCCATGTCCTTCATTTTCTGCCCGTGTCGGCTCTCAACACGGCTTAGGGAGTGGCTCAAAACAATTTCTCGCTAAATAAATAATATTTCTATGCGTCCTTTATCAGACCGATAAGATTTTACTCATATCAATTTACTTGGTACACATAATATCACCTATGGGTATTTCCGCCATATAATCATGCTCATTATGGAAACTGCTTATTATAGACACAACTGTACTGTGTACCTGTCTGTACTTCACAAATTAAAAAAAAATGTATCTCCGATCAATTTTTCTCATGACATCAATTTGTGCTCAAGTCATCTCTGGTCGTGAAATCTTGACCTACACCAATCAGTCGGTAGCTCTTCTGGGCACTATTCCTGTGGAGGATAAGGACTTTGCTTCTTTGACTGGATTTGGGGGCTGCCAATATCAAACTTGTTGCAACACTCGTTTCCCATTTTATTCTTGCTGTGGTACAAATTCGGATTTTGTCTGCTGTGCTGGAGGGCTGTCGTGCTGCCCTTTTGGCTATCGTTGCGTCGCTGGCAACCTGTGCGAGTCTCGAGCGTCCGAATTAAGCTCAGGCAGCTGCCTTCTAGTTGTCATCCTAGTGTTGAGCCATGTTGTAGACGTGTTATTGGACGGATACTTGGCAGCAGGCAGCGTGTGAAATTGTACGATTTGTATTTCTCATATATAAGTACCTATAAATTGTTAATTAGCAAAATTGTTTCCTTTATTTCAGGATTACCTGGATTAGGATTATTTATGGATGTGTTATATATTCTAGAATCTTGAATAAAAGCTTACAACACAAATCTTGCGTCTTGTTACATGCTTAACTCAGGCACTGCATGTTGGCACGAAAAGATATAAATACGGTATGACCTATATATAGGTCTTCTTATTAATAATACCTAGAAGTATAAGAATATTATTACCTAGTAAATACATATGTGCATGGGTACATATCTATGGTGCTTACATTTAAAAACGCATTGGTGGCATTTGTTGAGTTAAGTAAAAACTAAATTGATTAAGACGCAATGATTTAAATCTAATTATGTACAAGATGTTCGTATAAGCATTATCTACAATTGTAATAAAATTTCATTAAAATTGTGTACATCTTTCATGTTAGACACTGCAACGAACGTTATTGAACATTGCAATTCGTGAACATATAAATATATGTATGTATACATTGAGGTTTCCGGTTTTCTTAATCTAAATTTGCGCATTGATCAGTGAAACTTCTTTGAAGGGGGTGCGGTTATGTGAGATGAGCAAATCAAGTTCTAAGATCATGCTACAATTGAATACTGTTTTTTGGGTGTGTAGTCTTTCTTCGAAATTATAAACTTGGAAAACGGGTTAAACTAGATTTGTAACTTTGAAATTGTAGCCTCTTTTAATCGTGTGTCTAAATATATTTAGATATTAAATCTAAATCTAGGTACTTCTCAAGTAAAAAAATACTTTAAGCATGAAAATTTAACAGTTATACATAACGTAGCACCGATAAGTTTTAAAATTATAAATTAAACTAAGGGACGGGATTATTAAACTGAGGGACGTACGTTCGATAAGTCCGGAGTACTTACAGATTCAGATAATACTCAAAGAAGTAGCAAGTAGTTCGGTTGAATCAAAATCCGGTGATTAATAACATCGTAAGGTTTATATATTCATACATATATAAAGTAATTGAATTTATTAATTCATTAATTACTTTTAGAAGTTTCAGAACAGTACATAGTCCAAACAAACTACTGGTTTTTCATGTATTTTTTGCATCCCTAACAAATCCTGTTATACAGGTTTCTTTGCAGTTTTTTTAGTCGGTCAGTGGGTTCATTAGATAGCTGAAATTTTCATTTAATAAATAAAGAAAATAAGCATACAAATGTGCGATAACATCTTAACTCCACGCCACTCGAACTCATTGCATTTGTTATCCGCATGTACGAGTTTATATAAAGTATCAAAATTGAAACAAGCAATGAATCAATTGGGTCGGTTTTAATGTTCTTAGTTTTCTACATTTGTACATTACAAAGCAATTGGAACCAAATTACGAGCATAAGGTAAATTTTATAACTTGGGCAGGTGAATGGGCATGCCAACATGGTGACCCATACTGATTTATAAAATTGTTCGGAAAAATCTAACACCTTTCATGTTAGGAAAATTTATGTATACTCAATAGCGATTTCACTTTTGCGTTGGTCAACGCTTACTTAACTAACTACTTAAATTATATTTGGCGTTTTTAAAATTAAGCAAATGATTAGAAAATGGCTGGCTCGGGTTTATAGATATCAACAAGTCTGAAGTATTTATGTACATAGGTTATAAATTCATGTAACAAGCCAAAAGGCGACTACAAATTATCCCGAATGAATTTCAACTGTATTTAATGTTGCTGACAAATACTTATGTAACATAAGTGGAAAATAAATAATTGTACATACTAATAATATGAAATTACTTATTTAAGTCGGCCATATACTGTGTTGTTGATCGTGGTAAGTATTTTAATATCCGCTACAACTACTACTGACTACTAACTACAGCCGAATTTGATAGGGATTATTTATGTACTACTGATATATCACAACCAATACGATTTTCAAACAAGACTGTATTTGTTTTCAATTCCGGTTTTATCCCTTCAAGAGCATGAGAATCATAAATGAGACCAACCACATGAATGAGCAAAGGCATGATCATTCTAAAATTGGTCAGTAACAAAGTTGATTTGCAACTACATTTTTTATATAGCTTCAACTGTGTCAAGCTCTTCATCTTGCTGAATGAGTGGGCATCGCATCACTGCAGCATCCCGGCTTGGTAAACTTGATATCTTCAAGCGAGGTGTGCGAAATAATAAGGAAATGTCGTCTGACTGTTTTAGTTTATCTTTTAATTTTGTATCTAAACAAACTAATTAATTATACATATCTTAATCATTAAAAATGTAACAATCACTTAACTTGGTGTGCAATTAGTGAGTTAAAATCTTCGTACCAGTGATATTTTGTAATAGCATTATATACATGTCGATTAGGACAAATGTTGCATTTACGACTCGATTGGTAGTGAACTTCAAGTACAATTTCGGGTCAAAATGACTCTGTCGCCAGTTTTTTACAATTACATATCATTTCGAAAGCAGTTCAATATGCGTGGATGTGTTTCATGCAGTGTTCCACTAGTGATTAGTTTAGTGCTGTTAAGTGGTAACATAAATGTGTGCATGAGTTGGCCAGTTGTCGTCAGTCGGCATGGATTTCACCTGGGAATCCTCAGTCTAGTCACTTATTCTTTATCAGGTAAGTTGATACACTATACTTCATCATGTCCGAATAATTTAGTATTTTGATGTGTACTTACATTTCTCAATATTTAGTAAATTCACAAAATATGGACCACGTCGCAGTTGCATTAAGTGTTTCGCCTGATTCGAAAGTAAATGAATCCACATCTGACACTGCTGAGGCTGTGACGCTGTTTTTGGACAATTTTTCATCCAGAAAATCCAGCAGTCTAACTGCGAAACGTCGTGGCCGGTCTTCTCGACAACTTCGCATCATTGCTTCTGCTCTTCGCACGATGGGCTGCGTCCCAAAATTTTTTTGCGGAATGAATTCTGAAAACTTAGGAAATTCCAAGAGCACGCTGAATGATTTGGCATATCTCATCAAATTTGCAATGGCGTAAGGTTTTTTATTATGCACATGTACTTTTGGGTTCACCACAAAAAAAACAATAATAAAATGATTTAACGATTTACTGACTCCATGCTAAAGGGACGCTGAATTTCCAGCCGCTCCATCCGACCAGTTAACCCCTGGCGACTCAGTATTCGATAATACTTTATCAACAAAGGGTCTTACTGGACAATATTCGCTTCGGAGTGGGTCACCTTTAGCCACGTCTACATTGTCCAACCGACTTGGTCATGATCAACATTCTCAATTTCGTACACCTCCACCAAGATTTCAGGGGAAAATGGCTCCGGCGATGGTTCATCACATGGCGAATTATGGTGGTGGGGCGATGGCGCACCCAGACCCTGGAAAGCCCAAAAGCAGTATGATATCTTCTCTGCTTTCTCCTTTCCATCGAATTTACCTCCGGTTTGGCCGAAGTGTTGATCGCCACCAAAATCATGAGCGTAATTCAGATCCTCCTGAAATCTTATCTACCCAGCAATTCAGCAAAGACATGGAAAGACTGCAAAGGTCGGCAGGCTTTTGGAAAGTATGTGTCATTTCAACTTAAACTTGCATTAAGTAAACAATATTTTCCATTGTCAACTGTAAAAATGTACTTATAAATATTTACTTAATAAAGAGAATACATTTCAGAGTCCAGAGTTCAAGAAAGAATTGAAACTAGCAGCCCGCATAGGTCAAGCCGCATCCGAGTTGGAGAAAGCAGAAGGCGAAGAACTTTGTTCTGCTACGTTCAATCAATGTCCATACACAGTTGACGAAATGAAAGGGATGATTGGAAGCGGGATCGGCGGCGGAGGAGATAATAAAAGTGACGATGAGGACGATGTGACATTTTACGACAAGTGGAA